TTCTCGAGTCAAGAATTTGCTTTTTTATAACATGCAATTTCGCAAAAATTTTTTCTTTCAAAACAAGATAGAATTGAGTGGTTACTAACGATTTTATTCGAATTTTCGTTCGAATTGAACGATTAAATTCAACGAAAAGGCGAGTGGGCATATATGTTCAAAAATGGTCGTAAGTCGTAACGCCCTGTATTGTATTTGGGTAGACAATTACCGTGGGTAGTCGCATATAAAAATAAAATTAGTTATTATTAGGCGCGCCAAATTATACAAGTAAATAACGCTGAGCCGTCTGCCAATCTTTTCCAGACTCGCCATATTTTCGTTAATCGACATTTAATCGTTCATCATTCGATCTTCTTGTTAATTAAATCCCTGTAAATAAGGACAATGCAATTTCATCAATCAACTACTAATTCAAGCTCCTCAAACATCGCAGTATTTTTTATCCTATTATCGTGTAAGTATCTACAATCCGTCCTTGATCCGTCTTCACGATTTTTTTTCTCTCAATCCGCTCTAAGATAACTTTAATTGATGTTAAAAACTCGTTTGTTTACTAATGTAATTGGATGCAGTTTTTCATGTAATCAAACCATCATGTCGTGTCGCTCGAATTACGAAATTAGGAAGTAAAATAAGGTTTTTCCGCGTCTATAATGATATATTATTCATATCTAATAGAGTCCACTTAAAAGCGTTTATTTATAATTATCTCGTTTATAACTAGCATTAGTAAACAAATAGTTTTTAGCGTCTTTTAGATTAAGTAATTTTGCATGTATATTTCATTATCTGTCAGTCACTCTATCCGAATGCTTGTTTTTATTATAGAGACTATAATTAAGAGGCATTGATTTACCTTTAATTTAATTTATTGCTGTATAACTAACTCAATTGTTGATAGTAAATATCCTGAAATCATAATAGCTGTTCAGATATTTTATTATTTTTCTATACAAAATTACACTGTTTAATTCAATATTAAATTATGAATTGATCCAATGATTAACTCCTATAATAGGCTGTAATCATAGCTCTGTTTTCTTGGGTAATACTATTAAGATCGTGAGAACAAATCCGCGTTTGAGTAGAAATGATCGAATTTGGAAAACTTAATTAGCTGTACAATCATTAGCTCAGATGATGATAAAGGTGCAGTTGATTTATATTATTACAAAATATCGGAAATTTACGCCAATTTAATATGTTGGAGCAAACAAAAGGTTAATGGGCCGTTTGTCCGATTTCCAGCGTTGAATCCTTGAGGTCAAGGTTACTTAGAACGCTATTTCGAACATATTTTTTTTAGAATTAATATGTCAATAGTGATATACCTAATTAGGGTTATCTCAAACTAATTAAATTAACAAGCGATTAGTCAACTGCTATTAAGATTACTGCTGATTCGTACCTACCACAGAAGATGAGAATTTTATTCTGAAATCATATTTGATCGCTTGGTGTATGCCAAACATGTGGATGTAATTAAAATGAATAATTAATATGCCACTAACGAACGTCTAGACTGGACTAGACTTAATTGCTTGCCGAAATTTAATTAACACAGCGAGTACGATTCGATAGTAATAAAAAAAACGTATCCTGTATGCTTTAAAACGTAAACGTGACTCTCTTCGCCGATTGAACGCATAATTAGACGTCTTCATTTAAACTCGTTAACATTATCGCGCAGATGAGATCTAGGAAATACTGTTGATGAGACCGTTTTCAATGCCACATCGAATCGGAACCATCGGCACTGAATCGAAATCGTAAATTTATCGACTTAAATTCGACGTATTGTGTAATAAGAAGAAACTCGAAAATTTTTATTACCTCCGTTATTAGTCGTTTTTAATTCAAATGTATCCAGCTGTTTCCTTAATTGTTATTACATTTTTATTAGGTATAACAATAATGCAACATTCTGCAATTAATTTTTATCTTCAAAAGAAAAAAAAAACCAAGGTTCTTTTGAGTATAGAGTCGTGATAAATTACTATACACATGGTGGATAACTAACATTTTTGTTTGAAGAAATTATTGATCGCCCTGTAATCATGAAAAAGAGATAAATTGTAATTTACACGTGTATTTATTCACGTAAACAAGTGGTAATTTGTTGAACAATTCCATTTGAATATGTATAAAAATTTCATTTTCATACATTATAAATTCCATTGCGGTGCGAATTTTCCGACAGGTGTACCAACAGAGCAGTCTGTAAGTCTGAAAACTTCGAATCGAACCGAAACTATGAGTAATCGTACTAAATTTACGACTGGCCAAATGGATAACAACCTTCGACTGGAAATTTGTTTAGAATAATCGCACAAATTAGCAGATACATATTGCCCGAGGTGCTCACAAATCACCTTATCGTAAACACGAATTGATTTGCAAAACGCCGTTTCATTGCTTCAAAGGGCAACATTAATCGAGTATTTTTTAATAAAATAATTCATATCTTTGCAAATTGAAATGCCGCAATTAATTCGTTTCAACTAATAGGAAGGTTATGTATGAATGAGTGATAGGAGCTTGGCGCCACATTATTTCATGATAAAAAAATAGTTTACAATATTTATATTTATACAATTCATTTACGTAACATTGTAATAAATAATTACGATACTACACTGAGAAAACTACTACGCTAATACAAATAATTTTAATTAAGCTGAATCAACTTATTTATGTTAATTCTTTATATACAGGTAGATATAGCAAAGCAATTATTCATTTTATGCCATCAACAATATAACGGAAAAATAAACAAACTGATAAGACCGTCGGAAGGCATATGCAAATTTCAATGCACAATTCTATATGTTTATGAGGCTCGAATACTTCATTCAAAAAAACCACTCGAAGTGATTTATGATAGCAGATAAATTATAATTAATGCAAACTAGGAAGCGACAATTAATATATCAATGACATTTTAGACGAGTGTGTAATTGTTGGTACTCGTTGAATAGGTATAGTATATGTGTAGAAATTAAAAATGTACGTAGTTATTATTAAACGCCCTGTGGAAAATTATGGAACAGGCCGCTTGCTAAAAACTCTGGGTGTTTATGCGTTTATTCGGTGCATACCAACTTAATCACGATTAATTTAACCAGTACGTGGCGGTAGGACACTTTGTAAGTACTTTACTTACGAACTTATCGCTACAGTGATCTCTCGACGGGTACCATTAAAAATTACAGCGTCGTGAAATCTTTATTAATTAACCTTTTTTTTTCGATGCCCACATGTTAACGCTTAGTTAGCCTGTAGTAGATTGAACAGGAACTTGTAGAAAATCGTACGAAAATCAATAATTTGCCTTAATCTTAAATCAATAAAATACGTATATTTGAACAGGAAACGTCGTTTGTACAACCGGCAATGTCCTTGCTTACGAGTTTCCGATTCGCGTTCGCCGGACGGGCTCTTATTCATTTCGAACATCTTGATATTTCATTGCAAAGAAAGCGATACACCGTGGGCGGTTGCAATATTATATACCTACTTGCATTGAGGAACAATGCGCAGATATTTCATAAATTTCGTCGATAAAAAGACGAAACAAATTGGTTCGATAAATCGTCCAAAACCGGACGAAGATCATATCGACGTATGTACATTTATGTTCGATGGAATTAAAATCGAAGCGAACGAGGAACTTTTGCCGGCATTCAATTGTGTCTTGTTCAGAAATTCTCTCTGTATAATTAACTTCGTGATTAGATGATTAATTTTATTATTTATGATGGTCAATAAAATTTACTGAATGTTAATTGAAAAACATAAATTATTTTAATTTATTAGTAAGTAAGAATGATAAGGAATATCCGAATTTAGGTTACTCAATATACTTTGACATCACTTACCTAGTACATATATTTTCATTTTTAATGCCTATGCAGTAATAGTAGCATTTTTATAATGAAAGAAATCACTCTTTAAACATTTCTGAATGACAAAGTAGAAACCAAACAACCAATCTGTTTATAGTTACGCACCTAATCTTCTTCGTATTGTCTGGAATAAATTGGTTTAGATCAGACGAATCATCAATCTAGCAAGTCCAGTAGTGCGGAATTTAAAAATCCGATAGAATTCCCCGCGAGTTGTAGACATTGTATCTTTGTAGCCGCTAGCTGGGCGCGTAGGCAGAAAATTATATTTATTGCTTTGGCGAACTGCAAAAATGCGTCGACTTTATAGACATAAACATTGGCGATAGTATGTAGGTAAGGTTGGTAGAATGAACTTTAAATGGGGTTGAAATTTCACTTAATATAAATTGAAAATATGTGTAAAATATGGTTAAATAGGTCGAAATATAACATCAATCACTAAATTTATAAGTATTATATGCATTTACTATAAGCGGGCCATTCTCAGGCTATTATAATATTATAAATTTTAAAAGTTTCATTGATTTCATCAGCTTCAAAATCTAGTATTCATTAATCATTAATATTTTAATAGATTTTTTTGGATAATTATAAATTAAAATACTTATTGCTTGCTTATGTACTATAAAAGTGCAATTCCATCGATCGTCTGCAAAAATCCGGCTAAAAATAGCTAAGTGAAATTCATATGAGTAGAATAGAAATTGTCATTCTGTAAAAGATGTAAATGTTTTCTTTCAATCTATCGACTCGTAATTAAAATGCTCGTCCTTTAAGATGATTAGATAACGAGCGAAATAAACGATTTTTTATGGGATCAATCACCTTCTAAACAGTATACATAATTATCCGCTTTATTTGTTCCAATTCCCTTTTAATTAATAGGCATGTTTTATATCTTTCCTTAATTGTAAACGCATAAAGAACTATTAGCATTAAACGATGCATTTCTTCTCATAATCAAAGCCGCTTCTTTTGGTAATAAAAAAACGCACTTAAAATAGTTCAAAAGTCCCGAGAGATCAGAGATCAAGAATGTCCATTAGCGTATGTTTTACGTTAATTTTACTTACAATTTTTTTGTTGCAGAAATAATCGAGAAAACGCACTTGGATGACATCGAGACCGACGACATAGAATTCGTGAAGCCCATGAAAATCACTTCGCACGTATTTTACGGCGGTGAGTACATACTTAAAAATTACAAGCAAAAATTTCATAAAAACGTCGTAATTATGATATACGCTCCGGCGATGAGATTTACGTCCGTGTCCTACTGTCCTCTCCGGATCGTCGAAACAGAGGAAAAAAATATCGCTATAAATAAAACGGATTGTTAGTTTGACGCCGTTCGCCCGTAAATCATCCGCGAGGCCCGTAAAGTGTAATTTTTTTTTTTTCAAAAAGCGCGTCTAAGACTCCGGCCGGTCGTAAAAACTCCGGTCGAGGTTTCTTCGTAACGGGACGGCGACACGGATGTGTTACCGCCGAATTTTTCTATTTATCCCAAATCATCATCTCGTTGAATGTGAAAAAACAGCATCAGTAATTTCTCGGAGGCGATGTATGCCGAAGGATCGTCAATTTCGAACGTACCAATCCTGAATTCAACTAAAATAAATATTCGTTATGAAGGGTTTTCTGTCTTATTGAATTTTTAGTAATTTTAGGGATCTAGCAAGTTTAAAAGAATTGGGGATTTATTTTTTTTTTTCATGGAATTTCACTATACTATATTCTACTATACATCTGATATTTACCCATCAGAAAAATCTGGTGAACTCGATATTCTTAGATACAGAATGATCGAGAAGCTAGTATTTTTGTATTAACGCCTAGCCAGTAGGAATGATAGGAAATCCTTTTTTTTTTCTTTTCAGAAAATCCATCTATAAAATACCATTACGGTCATTTTAGACAGAAACAAGCGGAATCCTGGGACCAGCATCCTCTTTACGAAATCGATGCTTTCGGTAAGAAATTGATCTTAGAATTGGATTACGATGGGAAATTCGTCGCGCCAAATTTACACGTAAGTTCAATTCGAAATAATTCGATTGTGTTGGTGGAATTGTCAATGAATGTGCTAAATCAATGGGCTTGTTTCTATAAAAAAATCTCAATAATTACATACATACGTTTCAATTAATAAAACAAGTTTGTTTTTAATTGGATTATTATTGCATTATGAATTTGACAGTTCGCTGGAAAATATAATTTATTGTTTTTTTTTATTTTGCGTTTTCTTTTATTTGCATAAACACCTGCTTCTTAACGTTTCTATTAAGTTATAGACATGATTTATAAGTTTTAAGCTAAAAAACGTGAAATAAAGGAAACATAAAAAATACGTTTCACCTTCTTCCTGTCTACTAACTTATTCAATTAAAAATTTTAGATTTGTACTTAATAGCATGTAGTGTATGGGTCTAACAACTGCAAATTTGCTTTTTAACAATCAACAGGTAAGTAATACTCTGCTTTACTAAATTCTACCGTTTCTCGCATAAAGTTAGTTAGATTTCGTACGGTGTATTTTTGTTTCAGATTGTAACACACTTCAATGAGAATTTTACTCAAAAAACGAAACACGACCGCAGATTATCGGGCTGTTTCTACACGGGGAAAATCAGAGATGAGGCCGAATCCAGCGTCACAGTCTCCCTTTGCAACGGAATGGTAAGTAATTTTTATCTCGGATTGTTTACGATATACTATTGGTTATTTCGGGATCGACCGGTTTTCGAATAAAAAAAGTGAGTAATTCGTTTATGCGGGATAAACGAACATGTGGTCGGATTATCGAAATTATTCAATATTTATTTTGAATACCTGCGTTTATATAATCCACGTTGATAAATGTTGTATACAATGTAGCTATTTTATCCTTCCTTGTACGTCAGTTAGTTTTAATTTTCATTCCAAGGAAAATTCGAGCTTTTAAAGGGGATAGATCGATAGGAGAATTATAAATGCTTTGCATAGTTGGCTATAAAATATCGATTAATAACAATTTGTCCAATGGAGTCGAATGAATTTATGTTTCGTTATTTTGTTTGCGATAACAATTATTAGAACAAACGCTTCGAGAATACAATAGGTTGATGCGGTATACTACATGGTTTTCACTTTTATTTTCAGAGATGACACCACGCAATTATACAAAAATTGGTGAATGAACTTTGTTATTGTTTTGATTTTTGTCGCGCACTTGCACTTTATTCCAGTATAAATTTAATAATCTTTCAAATCGATTATTTTTAATTATAAACATCTCTATAAATACTTTTTACGAAGAAAATGCAACGCGTTAATTTTCTATTTATATTATCGGATTCGGATAATAAGTGGGTCAGTAGTCGTTGCATCTGCAAAACATCATCCCGTAAAAACAAGATATTCTTTGTATTTTTTTTATATGAAGTCTCGCCTTTGATAAATATTACTTCCTGGTGGGGTTTAAACGACGAATATAAAAAAACGTCGATGCTTCCATATAGAATTTAATAAGTCAATAAATATGCATGAATTTTGCATGACCAATAAAGCCGATACGCAACCGCACAAAGCCGAATTAATTACAATTAATGTAACATAACGAAATTAATATAGCAATTTTCAACTCGGTGAACACGTTACATAGAAGGCCCATTTATAATGCCTCTTGTTTTTCGCGTGTACGAGTCGAGATTTATACGTTTTACTTCGAATCATACGGATCATTAAACGCAGTTTTATATTGCCTTTCATTCAGGATTAAGGATGAAGAATTAATTATTCAAAAGGCTCAACAATGTTGTGCGTGGAATTCAATATCAGTATTTTTTATAAACTCTTTTTATTGGTCGTATTAATCGCTGCGCAAGCTCGATATTTTTTTACGATCAGAATCTGATGGGTTACTACTTAATAATAAGTATATTTCCCAGAATTATAAAAAAAGCGATAGTAGGAGGATTGGTTTTCTAAAAGCTTTCAAAATGATCATCATTCTTCTATAGAAATTCTGATAACGGACAAAGAGCAGGAAAAAAAATCGTTGAAAATAAACTTCTATACGGTCATCTCGTGATTTCTTATCAAAACATTTCGGTAATGTGTGAATAGGACCGAATCCTGAACAAACAAGAGGAATTTTAAAACGTTTTTTTAACTCCACGAATACTATTAGGAGGTCGAAATTCAAGATATTTATTTTAAGAGAATTGATGAAATATTTACTGATATTGTAGAAAAATAGGGATAAAAAATTGTTATAATTTAATTCGAATAACGGTATAAAAGTAGGGAAAATATCTGGTTATTAAATTGATCTCAACACTAATTTTATTTATCATAATATCAATATTTTAGCAATTAATCCGTATCTAAGTATACGCATAGACCACGCATCTGCGAACACACATGCTTAATGGGTCACGAATTAAATTTTGAAAAACTTTTTAATTTATAATCTCTGGTGACTTTGAAGCCACATGAAACCCGACCGAGAAAAAACCGATTCCACAATCCACAACTGCGGCATTCGAAAATAAAACTCGTTAAACATTTTTTTCCTTCGTAAATAAACCAGATGTTACGCAATCGCGAGCTTTTACCGCGAATCGTAAAACGAAAATTACACAAATTCGTAGTTACCCGATCGAAAATCGCGCCCGGCCCGCGTAATTTTTGGTCATTGGCGAATTAACCGAACGTGATCGGTAGCGTAAACACCCGTTTATTTGGTGTTTGAGGACAACAATGTTGTTTTAGCTGCAATGAAATTTGTGCACATGCACATGCATAAATTTTGCAATAGCGACACCCTAAATTCTACAAAGTCGCGTTGTTAATGGTCTGTTACAATTTTTGCAATAGTTGAGAAATCTACAAGTTTCATTAAATTATGTATACAGAGCAACAGGTATAGCTGTACATACGTGGAACCACAACACATCGCACTCTACTCTACTGCTCTATTATTTTAGAGTTTTCTTATAATAAATATACTTTGCAATTCTGTTTACGCTATATGTCATATGATTTTTTTGATTGCTGAAATCCACTATCACTTATCGAGGTTGTTTAGTCTAATATTTAATAGATTTGTTGATTTTTTCTCTTGGTTATATGGCGATTGCGAAAAAAGAAGTCGTGAAAAAAAATAATTAATGGTAATTTGATCAAGTCGATATGAAAGTTTTTGCTTGGAAACAAGTTTTTTTATTCTCCTGAAATTTGATACACGCGCTTTTTGAGATTGGCATTCTCAAGTAAGAAATAATATGTAGTATGTAGTTGTAATTATTATTTGATTAACTTGATGAACTAATACAACTGCAAGCAACATTGAGATGTTAATTTTTATAGACATTTCAATTAATTTAAAAATTTCGTGCAATCAAAAACGATTGTAACGGAATGATTGACGTCGTGACTTGACACCCGTCGAGTTTTACAACTTCATTAGAAACTCGCCCGAAACCATCAAACAATCGTCCTATTTTTACACAAAAGACTTCAATCTTGCTACACGAATTGTTTGTATTACGCGCCCGAATTTCTGGACAGCGTTTCTGGACAATCAGATGCGAACTTTACGCACCTGGAGCAAAAAAAAATAATCGAACCGAAAACAAATTGTTGCGCCTATTCGCGGTGTTTAGTCTGCGTTATTTATTTGCCTGTAGCGTTACAACTTTTTCGGTTCCCGGTTTCCTTGAGATTCGGGAATTTATCGTATTACGTGCGTGCGTAGCGCGTATGGAAACAAGAAACTAACATGCGAGCCGACGAAACGTTCTTTTCAATATACCGGACAGGTGGTATGTCTAGTTCAAGATCTCATAAACAAATTTATTCTAGGCTCTGGAAGATGTACCCACTAACTTATAAGCATACATTATCTGTTGCTTGGAAAGAGTAGCTTAGAAAATTCTATCTATTAATGAGATCTATTAATGTATGTTAATTACAAGCAAAAAATTAAGTAAAAAGCTCTTAATAATTTGCATTAAAGCACTGAATCCTTTGTAGTGACTTTAAATATTGTGAATTTGGGTGTTCTTAAACATCTCTATAGAAATACAATAACAATGTCTCAAAGTAACAGTTATGTTATTTTACAAACGCTCACCTCTAGTAAAATGCATTTATTCGTATCTCATGAATATTATTGACAAGTATTAAAGTTGGACGTGTTCATAAGTAACAGGTAAGAAATATAGTCAGGGCTGAAACAGGGCGCAGTTGGATTGTGGTATTATCTATTTAAGAAGTCAAAATTATACTCTTAGTTTAGAGTTATATTTAAAAGTTGTCGATCCCTAAAGTGATCGAATGTAAACTATTCTTTTAGTACCTACTATCATATAAATAGGTGGTCTAATGAAAAAATAGATGCAGGTATTTAACACCAGGCGTTATGTAACAGTCAAGGACGGATATTTTTTTCGGTCTTTCGTTATTTTTAGATCGAAGCAATAGGAGAAATTTAATTATTTTCGAGTGGATAAGTGGACTCAGCGAAAGACGAGTTATTGTTAGGAGGTAGAGTAATAAAAAGAACAATAATTTATTGTTAGCGCAGCTGGATAATATGAATTTTTAAATGTGGCAGCAACGCGTTATTTCATTACCTGACATCATCTCCAGATTATCGTGAATGTATTATAGGTAGGTTATTGTTAAATTATCACTTGGGACACTCTTGAGTTCATGTAAATTATGCTCACATTTACACTGTAGGTAGTAGTTATTTACATTTTCTTAATTGTTGAATTTTGCAATAGCCATAAAATATCCGAATCGATTAATTCGAACATTTCAGGAATGCTGTTTAGAAGTTTAGTATAAATAAGGCGTACACAATTTACCTGTCAGTAAATTGAATCCGGAACGAATTGTTGGTTTCTTTATGATTTCTGCGATTGCCCTACCTTTGTAATATGATTTAAAAAGCCTGTATATCGTGAGTAATGCGTTTCGACCGCACGTGAAACGCATACCGGTAGCTCAAATAAAAAAAAATAACTACCAGGAATCGGAAAAGTTAATCACGTACGGGATGGAAACCCCATTATATGTAAATCGCATATTAGAAAAGTACATTAACTCGCGTTTACCTTGAATTTTTAACTACGGCAATTAACGGAGTTTAATTGAAAATACCTCTCCTTATTCGGATGAAAATGTACTCTTTTATTGTTAATTAGCGGTTTTGTAAGCGCTAGGTGATGTGCATAAATCTTATTTGCTATAAATTACTTTGGACTGTACCTACGTAATGGAGATTCGAAAAATAAAGCTGTAGAAGTCTTTGATTGACTCGAACGTATTCCGAAGGAAAGGAGCTTACCGGATTTGATTATTTCTCAAAAAAATCTGGCTAAAGTTTTTCCTCACACATACCCTTCCATAAGACTTTTATCCGACATGGAAACCTTGTGCGTAACATAAAAACTAACATAAAACACATACCTCTACTCGGTCCGATGCCGAAGGTAATAAATATAAATAAAACGCGCTTCATTATACGGACTACTTAAATTCGGATGACATAATATTGATGTTTGGCTGTTTAGAAAGTCGAGGCGCGATCTTATCTCGCGGATACCATCCGATTTCGAGCTCGTAAAATCGACGAGAGCCAGATCCGAATCTGGACGGGAATGAATGTTTCAAATATACGATTTAATTAAACTAGAGCTGGCCTCAAAAAATAATTTTATAATCATCAATCTATTACTAATAGATCTAATTGTATGTTTATTGGAGAATTTTTTGCAATTTGTATCGAATATTTTTCCTGCTTGTGTGTAGTTTTTCAAAAAATGTATACCGACTCGAGAGTGAAAACTGAGACCAGGAATTCTCGCATACCGGACCGAAAATGTGGCCAATTATAAAGGACCCCCGCTGGTGTTTATCAATTTTTTTAATCAGAAATCGTTTTTATTAGCATAATTCGTTTAATGCGTACACAAATTGGTTTTCTAACGGAAGAAAATTCCTCTAAATTAACAGAATTTATCTGCGAAGCTAACCCATAATTTCAGCAATTTATTAATATAGCGAACTCTTCTCATTTTTCGCATTAGCATATTTATAAAAAATACCCAACGGATACAGAACCTCTACAATTAACAGGTAACGCGTCTAATTTTATGGGCCTATAAAAATTATTTATTGCTGTTAATCAAATCATCCTAAATATCTAATTGAAAACGAAATGGTGAGCAAACAAACTCGGTTCAAGAAAGCCTTGTAGATATAACAGTTGCGTATATGCTCTTACATAACGTCGATTTTTACGTTCCTTCTGCGTTTCGAAAAGATAGAACATTAATTTTCTGTAAATAAATAATATCGCGATAATTCGTTATGCGTTATCGCGAAAATACCGTTCGGCTTTCGAGGCCTCCGAAGTGGGTTAGGCGAAAAAATGAACGCCCTGTCGAATTTCAGATAAGGCAGAAATGGCCCAAAGGGTGGGCTGTACCCGTTCCACTCGATTTAATTCGATATCGTTTTTATTTTCCTTTCCAATTTTGGTGAAACTCGTCAGTGTTGCCAAATTTTTGATGATTTTTTTTCCTGCACATGTATAAAAGATTCCATTTTATGGCAAAAATTGCTTTGTTAATGGATGATTTCTTGGAAACATTTTATTGCACTTACATTGTAAGAGTGTGTTAATAATATTTCTAGTATAGATATTAATTTTTCATTAATTTAATTATACTGTTTAGCAATATTTAATGTTAGAAAATGTTAAAGATTAAATCACCTATGATTTTTATAAAAATTTTTCTCTCATAAACATCTTAAGAATGTTTTTTTTGAAAATTTCTTGTAAATTAATAAGTATTTAAATGTTATTCAAATGGTTTATTTCAACTAGTTTTTTTTTAATAAGCATTAAAAATCAATTTATATTGTAAATTTCTTTTCAAATATATGGCGTTAATCATAAATTATCCTTAAAAATAATCCTCTGAAATAATAAGAAATACATCTAAAAATAATCTATTATCACGAAAAAACTTTATTACGTAAAAATGCAGAAAATCTTAAATAAAAAAACCTTTAAATAACCTTTTTAAATTGTTATTATTTAATATGCGTAGATTGGATTATTTTATTATGAATTAACTTTTATCTTAGCCTTTTTCTCTGTCAAATTCTCTCTAATGATTAAGACAAGTCTGCGCATACGACTCAGTTTCAAGTATTTCTATCGATCAGTAAATACACTTTCTCAACAAGCTAATATTGTTAATTATGGAAAATATAAAAAGTCCTTTTGTTTCAGACAGGTTATATTAAGGCGAAAGACAGCAGTTACTACATCGAACCGGCGGAGAAATTCGACGAAGGTTCCCCGACCAGCATAATTCACCGGATTAAAAAACTACCTCACGCGACCAGAAAACTCAACGACGTCACCTTCGATTCGAACGCCTTCTACGAAAATAGCGGTAAGTCGAACATGTAACATAAAAATTATTATTTATACAAAAATAAAAAGAACCACGCCGAGCCAAACCGAGATCTTATTAGACCACCCGGTACAGGCGAGACGAGCCTGCCCGCGGCGAGGTCGTTGAAAAATTGCGAACATATAATAACGAATAACCAAGCGGAAAATAAAATAGAAAAACTGATGGGCCGCACAAACCGACCACTTAACTCGCGACGTAAGCGCAGTTAGTGCTTGAAAATATCGACTGGCATTGTGCGTTTAAAAAGAAAAAGAATCGAACGAAGAGCGAATGACTTGGTGCGAGAGCCGCTTCGACGGCTGTCGATGGGAGCACCAGACTGCACGGCTCCTCGAACGCTCCGGCACCGCTGTAACACCGAGGTAATCAGATTCCCGGCCGGTGCGCTATTCCTCCAACGATCCTTCTTTATTCGCTCATTCTCTGTTGCAATTATTCAAAATAGCGAAGACAATTGTTCGAAAATATTGAGGGTAGTAGAAAAAATTGTGACGTGGCAACGCTGTAAATTTCGGGATTTTGAAGAGCATCGTTTTCTTTTCGAAATGAGTAAATTTTGATGTTTGTTTTACAGGGCGAAACACGCTCAAAAGACTTTAAGACATTGTAACTGAAAGCTTTCAAAACAAAAAATATGAGGAAAGTTACCAAATATAATATACTGCTCCACAAAAGTTAAGGAAGTTCACAAATATTGAGATTAATTTAAAAGTTGCAGGTTTTTTGATCGCCAAATTTAGTATGAGATGTAGAGGTAGGGGCAAAAAATCCACTCAGATATGAGAGAAAACATTTAATTTCGCCTATTTGAAAATTTGGTGATCAAAAAGTCTAACTTTTAAAATAATCGCAAAATTTGAGAACTTCCTTAACTTTTGTGGAGCAGTTTATTTTTAAAGACCAAAGTTTTTCTCTCAAAATGCCTCTGTTTTGATGTGTTCTTCAATATTCCTTGAATTGTAAGAGATAAATAATAATAACAATCCTTTTTTATTTCAAGCTTCACAAATGAAAATTTATCATAAATTATGAGTTGTTCAAAATTTCCATCAATCAGCACACTTTGAAGGCCTAAGGTCTTCCTTAACTTCCTTAACTTTTGTGGAGCAGTTTATTTTTAAAGACCAAAGCTTTTTTCTCAAAATGCCTCTGTTTTGATGTGTTCTTCAATATTCCTTGAATTGTAAGAGATAAATAATAATAACAATCCTTTTTTATTTCAAGCTTCACAAATGAAAATTTATCATAAATTATGAGTTGTTCAAAAATTTCCATCAATCAACACACCTTGAAGACCTAAGCTTTTCTTTCAAAATGTACCTATTTTTATTTTCCTACCAACTTTCATTATGTACAAGTAAATCGTAGTTATTTCCATTTTCTTAACTCGTAGAAAAATGAAAATTCATAACAAATTACTTCACTCTTATACCCTCTTAAACTTATTACACATATTATTCATCATCATCTTCTCCACATTTTCCATATAATTTCGTTCCAATCGCCTAACGCAAGGAAGTTACGGCACCCCCGTGCGATATTGCGCTATGTAATAACCGCCCATAAAACAAAATCTCCGACCGGCAAATCCGTCCGGAGTTGCGTTTATCGTTCTCGCAGAGTTACAGGTGTAACGCCCCGAGATGCATATAAATATTTCCCAAATCGAAACGCCGATCTCTCGAGATCGCCGACCTTATAACATCTAATCGCCAACGGGCGATCGCTTTGATTGACGTTTCGTGTGCATTCTAATCGGATTGTTATTAAATAGTTGTCAACGAATTATAAAATATTCCCGTACGTAAAAACCGGCTGTGATAAACGTCGTAGTTTTCTAATGCATTAAAGCGTTGTACGACGAATTTTTGATGTGGAAGATTAAGCAGTAGGTGGTTACGAAGCGTTCGATTCCATCGAGATTATTTATGATCGATTTTGTTTAATATTAAGTAGGCATAATTCACCCGGCACACCTGTACAAACGATTCGGTTGATTTTCGAAGAATACTCACTAATGAAATAAATCTTGTAGAGAATCATACCATCGTGATCGACGACGTCGTGGATAATCCCAAAACACACCGATTGAAGCGGTCTTTGCACGACGCCGACGGCTTCGAGGGTACTTGCGGCGTCGCGACGAATGAAGATAAAGAACCATCTGAAGAGGCGCCGCGATCGCGTCGCAACGCCAAATGGACCAACATCAACAGGATAAGCAACGTTTCGTACGTAAAAGTACTGATCGTGGCCGACAGGACTATGGTGAAGTATCACGTAACACAGGACGATTTGACCTACTACATTTTAACCATTATGGGACACGTAAGTGTAGGTGTGCTTTGTGTTGGAAGAGGTTTGATGAGAGTTTATTTGCAGGTGTCGTTTTTGTATCAGGAAGAAACGATAGGTAACGCGATTTCGGTGTCGCTGGTGCGCATAGAGGTGTTGACGCACTTGGATTTTTCTAATACGAATTCAGCAGGTGAGATTAAAAAATCGATCGCGATGCCGCTAATTTACCAATAGAACGCGTTTGCAGGAATGTTACAGAACTTTTGCAATTGGACGAGACTCAACATACAAGATAGGTCGCATAACGTTGCCGTTTTGTTGACCAGGTACGCACAAACAGAACCTTTTTGGAACCAATAAGTGGATTAATTGTAATGTTTTCTTCGTAGGGACACCATTTGCAGGAACGATAACGACATTAACGAGCACTGCTCGACGTTGGGAGTAGCTCGTGTGGATTCGATGTGCCAGTCCGGATGCGCCATCGTTAAGGATAAAGGTTTGGCCACTTCGTTTACCATCGCTCACGAAATTGGGCACGTACTCGGGTAATTATTAGTCCCTAAGTAGCCTTTCGTGTGTTCGTTAAATCAGTCCTCTTTCAGCATGCCTCACGACGAAGATAAGAAATGCGAGAGATTTAACAAGGGCATCAACACGAACAATATTATGACGTCTGTGTTCAAGAGGTCCTTTACGTGGTCTCCTTGTTCCAGTTATTACGTCACTGAATTTTTAAAGTGAGTTAATTTAATTTATTTAATAATTGGTTTTTTTATCGTTCTCTAGTAAAATTGTATTAGTAGATTGTTTGTGGTAGCGTTCGGTATTATTTCTCACGGTACGTTTTTTTTTATATGGTTGTAATGAAAACAGTTCTAAATTATGGGTTTGCGATTGACCAACGACGCTAATCAATCTATGTTATCTCCTTAATACCTATAATCGATCAATGGAAAAATTACCGGCCTATGCTATTAACATGATTCCGAGCACATTTTTGCAAAGGTCAACACGTACGCTAAAAATTACAAAAAAAAACCTTATTACAATTTCTGTACGGTCAACATTGAAGTTGTTTGAGAAAAAATTGTCTACGCTCGATTCGTAAGGACTTTTCTCAGTGTAACGTTCGGCCCGATTCCGCTTGCGCATTGTTCGATATTTTTTTATTTTCGTTTCGGAATTTAATTGACATCGTTTCATCAATGCTCGTAGAAATTGCGAAAAAATCCGGGTCGACACTGGAACTTCCTTTTAGGGTTCGCCGATGAAAATGGCGAGCCTTTGTCCGACGGCCAGACCAGGTGGGATGCGCTGGAGAAGCTCGTTTCCTCTTTTGCGTTTACGTGTCAATGTCTCCATCGAATCATCGCACTTCCTGAAAGCTGCAGTAGCTATTACTGGTTATCCTATATACAGGAAATTTTGCTCGTCGAAGGGAGAAAAATTAATTGTTTTATAGCGTTTAGATATTTTAAAAATTGAAGAGAACAAGTTAAATTCGCCGACTTACTTCACTCCTGTTTGCTAGCATAAGTTTACTTTCATGGGAATTGGTTTTTTTTTCAGTTCTGAAAGATCGAATTGTTTGAGCAAGCCGCCGATGAACGATTACCTGCCCACTTACGCCTACATAGAGACTTTGCCGGGCGATAAGATTGATTTGGAGAAGCAGTGCGAGCTGGAATTCGGACCGGGAACGAAGGTGTGCCTCTCCACGGAAACCTCGGAATTGATAGGCTACAGATCGCACGAGTGGCTATCACCTGGCGTAAGCGATAATTAACTAATATTAGATTTTTTTTATATTATAAAACTATTTTTTTTCTCTCAGATGTCGACGCCTTGTCAGTATTTGTACTGTTTCAATGCTAACAAAAGCCAATGTACTTCCACGTTTGTACCTTGGGCAGATGGTACCAGATGCGGTGATAGAAGGTGAGAAAATTTGCAAAATAACGAATCAATTTTTGGTAATTTCGGTTTTTTAGAGTTTGTTTCAACGGACAATGCAGATACGAGCACGAGCTGGTAACTAGAGATGGAGGTTGGGGACCCTGGGAACCGTAAGTAATCCAATAAAAAATGTAACTGTAACTGTACACACCAAAAATAAATTAAAAAAAATGCACTACTTTAGGATTCTAATGGAAGTGTCGGTAACTCATCGTTGTGTGTAATTTGTAGGTACGGGCCGTGCAGCAGAACCTGCGGCGGTGGAGTGGCGGTGTCCAGGCGGTACTGCGATTCCCCGAAGCCGGCGAACGGCGGTTCGTACTGCGTGGGCGAGAACGTGCGGTACCAGTCGTGCAATACGTCCGATTGCGAACCGGGCGCCGTCGAGTTTAGAGAAAAGCAGTGCGCCGATTTCAACGGGAAGTACGTTGAGAATTTGAATTTGGCGGATCAGATCAGGTGGGAGCCGGATTACGATAGAGGTTAGCTCGTTGGGAATTTGTTATTGGTCGTTAATTACTTACGTTCGGTTTTGTTTTTAGCGCTGCACGGGGATAATCAGGAGGATTATTGTAAGCTGTTTTGCATTCCGAATAAAAAGCCGAGTTTTAGATTGATGGATAAGGTGATAGATGGTACGAAATGCGGACCCACCGGGTTCGGTATTTGTGTTAATGGTATTTGTTTGAAAGGCGGTTGTGATAACATTCTCGGTTCTCCCATGGTGCTAGGTAATACCTCTAACATCGTTTTTTGATATTCAATCATCTAATAAATAATCTTTTAAAATAGATGAATGCGGTATATGCGGAGGAGATAACAGCAGGTGCCAGGAAATCACCAAAACCTACAACAAAACCGCAACGGCTATACCTAATTACAACAAAGTCGATCGAATACCAAAAGGAAGCTCCAACATCAACATATCCCAATACTCTTACCCGTACTTAACCAAAGACAGCACTTATCTCGGTAACTTTACTAAATATACATCCATTCCATATAATAACTGTGAATTTTCAGTATTAACGGACGGCGAGACGGGCGAATTCCTGCTCAACGGCGACCGGCTCATCAACATGGACCCTCGCGAAATCAAATTCGGCAACATGAAGTTGAAATACAGCGGCGCCAACACCTCCACCGAATGGATAGCCAGCGAGAAGCACAGGAAGTTGCCCAAGGATTTGATCATACAGGTGCTGTCGTACGATTCGTCGCCGCCGAACATCCGCTACAGATACATCATCGACATGAAGGAGGCGCCCAGGTAAGTAACCTTTGCGAACGAATTGTTTCAATCGCTATTTTCATTCATTCGATTCACTTTTAAGGACTATTGGCTGGGTTCCAAAATTGTATATTTGAACGCCCCGAGTCCGTGTCGAATTTAAATTTATTTATAATGTTGATTTTTTTTAATGTTTCGTTGTCAGGTATCCGAGATATCATTACAGTAGCTACAGGGGATATTCGAAAAGGTATATTTTAAAATTCTTATACGCTTTGAATGTAGTAAGTTGTAAATTGTAACTATTACTTATTGTGGTGTGTGGGTCTACGTTTCTGGTAATTTGTGGTATTTTGTTGCCTACGCGAGTATATTATTAGAATTCGTTTTTTTTTTTATAATAAAAAGCTTTTTGTTTAATCGTATAACCTGCTTACGTAAACTCCAATGTTACGGTCTTCTCTACCGCTCGACTCATTCATTAATTACAATGGATTTATATAAAAAAAATTGACATTCACCTAACCGAGTCGATTACAGCTACGCCTGGCGACTGAAGCCGAATCAACCGTGGAGCACATGCAATTCTATATGCGAAGGGAAACAGTACAGGAAACCCGTTTGCATGGATTTGCTGACCGACGTCGAAGTGAAGCCGCACTTATGCGACAACATGGACGACAACGCCATTCAAGAAAGGGACTGCAACATGCAATGCCAATTGACGTGGAACATTGCATCTAAAAGCGCCTGCTCGCCTCAATGCGGTTTAGGGTAAGCATACACAATACTTCTCCAGTTGTTTTTTTGATCTGTTGCAATGGTTTTTATATATAAATTTATTGGTCCGTATTCAGCGCCTCTGTTTAACTTTAGAGTGACTCTAAAGTCACGTCAAGTCTTTAACTTGACAGATTTACATTGTTGTTATGAAGTATCTAGGGATTTGAGTGACTGTAGAGTCACTCTAAACCGAGGCGCTGAATACGGGCCAATGTAGTTGTCTCATAGTGATGTTCGTTAGTACCGTTGTATAATGCATTATTTTTTACAGAGTTCGTAATGTTTATTACAACTGCATGAAAGTGGATAAAAATAAGCCAAATTACAACGAATTGGTTAACGAGAAACATTGCACAGTGTTAAAACCGCCGACGGCCAGGGAGACTTGCAATACCATTTGTAATTCGACTAGGTGGGATTATTCGCAATGGTCAGAGGTAAGTGTTAAATAATGTATAATTTTTTCAATTTGACACATCAATATATATTTTTTAAATTGCTTCGACATAAATTGTTTTCATCTATAATATATTTTGACACTTAGTAATAGTATATAGACGTATTGGTGTTTCATTTTTGTATCAATCAGTCTGTTGTATCCTGATGACTGTAGAATTTGCGATATTCGAAAAAATCGCTCAAAGTTTTTAAATTTTGAGCATTTTTTTCTAAAATAAACGAACTCTAACAGTTGCAGGTAATTTGGATTTCTACATAAGAAAAATAGTACATATTGGTCTCAATTTGCGATAAATTCATTTCTAAATTTATAGATTGGTGTTTTTCGAGTCTTACATTAACAATTATTATATCCTACGTGATTCACAATGATTAAATTTGTCAAGGGAATAGTAACACGTGAATAATGAGATCAAGTTAATGTAAATGAAATCAAAAAAATGCAAACAAACGTTCTCATACTCTATCATTCTCATTTTCTATTAAAATACTTACCCATCTTTATCCGTCTATTGTAAATTCTACAGTGCGATAAATATAACTATAAACGTAAACTGCGCCAGCAATAGCAGACTCTCACGTCTCCAGCTATTCTTGTCTCACTGTAAATTGATGTAAAACATATTGGTTTCTAGTGCAGTAAAACGTGCGGAGGAGGTGTACAGAGAAGAACGGCGAAATGCATCGATGACAGTAACACACCTATAGATGATTCTTATTGTAATAACAGCGAATTGATCATAGAGCAGATATGTAATACTGAAAACTGCCCTATTTGGACATTGGCCGAGACGTCATCTGTAAGCAAAAAAAATACAAACGTAACGTTAACATTTTTGCGAATCGTTCAAATCCGTAGTGTTCGAGACCGTGCGGGGGAGGTTACAGAAATCTGACCTACTACTGCGCGTTGGATGGCCGAATTCACGACGACTACGCGTGCGACGTGCATTCGAAACCGCCGCACCGGGAATTATGTAACGACATCCCGTGCAGATGGTCCCCGATGAACAGTTATCACTCGTGTTCGGCCACTTGTGGCGAAGGCGTGGAGAAAAGGGTGTTCGTTTGCAAGACGTTCGATTCGGAAGAGATCATAGACGATAGCTATTGCAGGGACATCGCAATGCCCACGGAAGTCAGACCTTGTTACCAAAAGAAATGCGACGTAAGTACAATAGAAAATAATCTTCAATAAACATGAATAGAGACGCTGTAAAACAATTTAATTTGCAGTTTATGAGCAACTTCTTCAAGAGAAGATACTCTATAAAGAGCGACGTCGACAACGCGATTGAGGAACCGTTTGTGCGAACGCGAACATACAAATGGGTCGGCGGTGATTGGTCTACGGTAAAATACACCTACACAATATAAAAAATGATCCCGTTTCTAACACGCAAAGTAATTATTTTTAGTGTTCGCAATCTTGCGGTATCGGCGGTAAGAGGAAGCAGTACTTCAGATGTTTGGACGATAACGGCGAGGAGAACGGGAAAATGTGCGATCCGACCGCAAAACCGAACAACGTGGTCAGTTGCAACCTGATCGCTTGTCCCAAATGGAAAACCGCCGATTGGAGTCGAACGTGCGATGCGAACTGCGAAAGATACCGGCAAGTCGGTTGTGCAGATAGTTCAGGTAATTTCATAAATACTATTTGAAGAGATTAGTCGAGCTCGATCAGCAAGACTCTAGGTAGCTCTTAAAAGTAAAGGTTGTACAGAGGATGCTTCTTTTGCAAGTTAGTTGAATAAATATTTTTATCTAGGAAAAGTGGTAGAAGATTATCATTGCGACGTTGCAAAGAAACCTCAAAATTCGACCAAGTGCAAACTATCGGAATGTTCGTACATACCAAGAGACTACTTCAGCTTATCAGAAAAAGGTGACAAACGGTACCGATGGAAAATTGGACCGTGGAAACCGGTGAGTTTCAGCTCATTCTAACACAAAATTTGTACAAATCACTGTATTTAAAGTAATATTTATTAGTCCCCACACGTTTCTTCCTCCTGTTTTTGTATTTAGCTTACAGTGTACCATGCTTTAAATTTGATTACTAACTACCAAGCAAATGTCACGTTTTCCTTACGTACACGTTTCTGTTTCACCACATCAAGTGTTCCAACTTTTGCGGCAAAGGCACCAAGCGACGTCACGTACAGTGCGAGGACGCTCTCAATGAGCTTACCGTCGTCGACGCGTTTTGCAAACACGCGAAAAAACCGAAAACGACGAGACCGTGCGAACGGTATAGCTGCAAATTCGCCTGGATCGAGGGGTACTGGTCGGCTGTAAGTTTTTTCATTTTTGACGTACAGTTTCCCTGCACGTTGAACTTTATTCAAACGATGTTTCTTTACCAATTACGCGTACGTTTGAAATGAGTTCAGTAGTTGTACAGGAACTGTAAAGCAGGTGTTTTTTGTTAATATTTTTTGGAATGGCAAATGAACATGGAGAAGGTACTACTACCGGTGGGAGAGGCAGTTATCACAAAACGAAAATCTTGCACTATTATACTAACTCCTCATTTTTTTCAAATGTGCTTATGTTGTAGTGTAGAAATCTATACATACATTATGTAGAATAATGCACTGTAGTATTATAAATTTGAACTATTTTAGGTACATACGTATGCCCAATAAATTAGGTTATAAACATATTAGTGGAAATCTTTTTGAGAAGATCTCTGCGGAAAGATTTTGTCGTTCTAAATATTCTTTGATACACAGACTTTCCACTAATATGTTTATAGTTTAATTTTTATACACTGTTCGTCAAAATTAGTGGACTCACTTTTTTGGCCCAGCTATAACATTTACAATAATCGTGTCAGAGACGTCAAATTTTAAGAGGCCTTAGCCAAATGTCTCATCTTCGATGTTCAGAAGTAACATCACCCCATTTACCCCCAAAGGGGTTGAACCACCTATTTCAATGAGACTGCAGAAAATATCATTACCCCATTCAAAGAGTTCATCCCCTTTGGGTATAAGTAAATGTTACTTCTATTGAGCAAAATCTGCTTAAAATCTCACGTTTCTAGCTCGGCTATTGCCAATTTGATAGCATTCCAAAAATGCGGGTCGCTAATTTTGACGAAGACAAAAAAATTACATCGAAATTATTTTGTAGTGCTCGGCATCGTGCGGCACTGGCGTCAAAAAACGCAACGTGACATGCCACAGGGTATACAAAGGCGGTATAGTAGACCCGGTACCTTTGCCGGAACATTTCCACCACAACTATTGCTCTCTAAAAACCAAACCACCAACGACATCCAAATGTATTCTGTCGCATTGCGGGGACCAATTCGTATGGCAAACGGAACCTTGGAAACAGGTAAACTATAAAACGATTTGTATTCAACATTCGATTATTAAACAATATAAATTCTTCCAGTGTTCGCAACGGTGCGGGAAAAAAGGACGGCAAGTGCGCGCCGTTCAATGCGTAAACGCTTGGAACAAACAAAAAGTGCCGAGGTACCGTTGCCGTAAAAACCTAAAACCGCCGAGGAAACGAAAATGCAACCAATGGAAGTGCCTCTACAGGAGTTGCAGGGAGATCAAACATTACACGGGCACCAAAACGAACAGGGACTATGTTATATTACTGCACGGTAGGCCGGTACAAATCCATTGCTACAAAATGGACACGCCCGAACCGTTGGAATACATCAGTTTGCATTCCGATGCCTTGAATTACGCGGAAATATACGGCAAAAGGTAAAAGCTCGCGCAGCTGGCAATACCACTAAAATAATACTGATTTACTATTTCCAGGTTAAATAACGAACGATCGTGTCCGTCGGGCGGACAAAGACGAGCGGATTGTCCGTGCGAGGATATCGGTTCCGCAAGGTCTGGTTTCACTAAATTCTGGAAGGTCAGATTGGACATATCGACGATGAAAATCATCGGGGAAGATTTCACCTTCTCCAAGCAGATCAACGGCACGCACGTACCCTACGGTACGGCCGGCGATTGTTACAGTTCGATACAGAACTGCGCGCAGGGGCAATTCGAAATAGACCTAATGCACACGTCGTTTAAGCTGGCCAAAAGCGTGCGATGGGAGAAATTAGGGCCGTATGCATCAGCGCAAATTCGACGATCAGTAAGTATAAATTATCTTTCACTAAAGTTTTATTACAACAAGAGTTCTGGAGCGTTTTGATTTATTGGACTTGTTTGAAAAAAATCCTGTATGTATGGTTATTTTCCAGGATACAAGGGCTTCCGGTAAATGCGGTGGTTATTGCGGAAATTGCATTCCCGATCCTAACATAGGTCTTGCAGTAGAAATAACCTAGATTGTTCTCTTCGATATTTGGATATGTATTGTGTTCAGGCAGAGAGATATAAGACCAAACAACCGCTATGTAAATCGATGTTTCAGCTTTGCCCGGAAAGGTAATAAATACGCAAGAAAATCCTAATTAAAACGCAGATGAATGTACAAGCAAAACCGTACGTATTTTTTTACTGTCTGATTATTAAAAGGGGACAAGACAATCAAACGGTTCTCCGGCATTTTACCTTAAAAGATAACAAATTTAAATATTTTCCTGTTCGTTGCAAATTAAGGTAATAGCTAGCGAATCCTACGTTGGAAAACGATACCTTCTAATAAATAACAATAAACAAACGTATCGTCAAAAAAGACTTCAAACTGTATTATACAAAAAAATAAACTGCCCAGTATTTTAGTTTTAAAAAACATTAAAAAATTAATTATTAAAGTATATAGGTTAATGAAAACAGATGCCATACCAAAATACTTTTTAAAAAAGAATGGGTTTGGAATATTCACTTGAATATTTTACCGACTTTTATTAGTGTGTAAAAGAGATGCGAATGATGGTAACAATTTATTATGAATTATTAGTTTTATATAAATAAATGTTAATAATTGTTACTCAAATATACGAATTTTAAGTTAATCATGACAATTTTGTGATCCTATCGGTAAAATATAACACTGCCGTTTCAAAATAAAAAGAAACTTATTTTGGTTTTATTGGTATTATAAATTGCGAACCCATTTTTTTAAATTAATTATGCCTCATATTGAGGCCATGTATTTTAAGTTATTTTGCAGATTAAAAAATCCACTCCTAACTAACAAACTCTTTTTTTTTTATTAAAAATGTAACTTTATAACATATTTTGGCAAAAAGGTTATGTGCATAAAAAATTATTAACCGCATTCATGATTCAAAAATGACACAAATTTTAATTAACTTGTTAGTTATTTTCTCAATGTTATAAAAAATAGTAAAAAGCTTTACATATACATAATATCAATATTAACTAGTCTAGTAATTATATCCCATTTTTTTTTGTTTTTAGTTTTTAATTTATTTGTCACTCGACCAGTGCTGTAAATAATTGTATTTATTTTATTGTACACCAGCGGACTCGTCAATATTTTTTTTAACTTTTATGTATACGAGTAAACTGATTTTATCCCTTTATTTTTGTAACTTTAAATATTCCATTGCCGAGCCCGCTAGTTCATATGCAAAAAGATTTGTATAATTTGTTTTATTTTAATAAACACTATAAATGATTGTATAAACTTTTAGACCAAAATATGTATAAAAACTGCCATAAATTATTAAAATGTAGTTTTTTTAATACCACTGGTATTACTAACTAGTAGAATAGGAAGAAAATATATGACAAATGTGAACATATTTACAAGTAGTTGGCAAATTTCAGAGAAAGTATTTTTTCATACCTATACAGTGTGAATCCTTATAATTTAAAAAATATTAATTTGAAAATTTCTTACTTTCTTTTAACGATGACGTCATTAAGTTTTCTCAAATTCCAAACCGGGAGCATTATTTCCCAACACGCTTTGTATCATCTCTACGCTAGTGCTCCAAAGTAAATTGGCGAGAACATCATCTCCTGCTGCATCACTTTCCTGACACCGAAAGCAGTTGTTGAAATAAACACCTACAAAACAACAATATTGAACGGCTTCATTTTTTAAAACTAGTAAAAAATGCATACCAGTAACACCAGTCAGCTCTTCTGCAGTAGCGCAAAATACAGTAGTACTAGCGGCTTGTTGTAAACTCTTGGTAAACGGTCTCACGATGGCGAACAGGAGTTTATACAGCCACCAGTTTCGAGCCAATTTCGACGAAACCATGTTGCCAGGATGTAAACTGAACACCGATATCCCATAGGCTTGTAGGTTTTTCGCCAAGCGACGAGCAAACAAAACGTTACACAATTTCGAGTTGTTGTAGGCCATCATGTCCCAATATTTACTAGGCAACTCGGGCGAAAGAGTGAGCGATGTTAGATTTTCGGCCGTTAGATCGGCAAATCTAAACAAATTTACACACGATTTCAAAGAGTTAATATAATTGTTTGTTTGGATATTACCTGTGCGACTCCGATGATACGATGACAACCCTCGATCCGCTGACCAGCAGCGGTCTGAGCAGTATTGTAAGGTAAAAGTGCGATAAATGATTCACTTGAAATGTCGTTTCGAATCCATCCTGAGTTTTACTAAATGGAAGCCCAAAAACGCCGGCGTTTAAAATCAGCATGTCTATTCTGTCGTATTTGCTTTTTACTGTATTTGCAAATTGAATCTACAAAAACGATAATTAAGAGTTCATATAGGAAATTATTTTAAGCCAAGAAATGCACCAGTACGGAAATAAAGCTGTTTTTAATGATAGTTATTTGAGAGAATTTGTATTTTTTATTTACTTATAAGAAAACGCACTTTTTCTCAGCAAACTGTTGCATTTTCATAGATAATTTGTCTACATTTACCACAGAAGAGAGTGATGTTAGGTCCAAAAATATAGCTATGCAATTTTCCCCAGCAATAGGTTTATCTTCTTTTATTTGATTTATTGCTTCTTCCGCAAACGCCAAATTCCTGCAGGCCATAATCACATTGCAACCGTGTCTGGCTAGAGACCTTGTCGTTTCGAACCCTATGCCTGCATTTGCTCCGGTAATTAAAGCCACCTTACCGTTCAAGTCCCTTCCGTGCAACACCTGCAATTCCGTTAGAGAAATTACACAACAATCGTGCAACTCGTCGGGGTAAAAACGCACCTGCAAGGCCGTACTCGAAGCATCGAACCTTTGCCTGTAATCGTTGACGTGTTCTTTTTCTTCGACTGCGAAGGCCAGTCTAGGATCGGTGTAAGTCGTTCGTCTGTTTTCATGATCCACGTATATTACTTTTCCTGTGTTTTTATCGGCGCATCTTTGCCAGCCGAATGGAAGTTCTCCAGACACCTGCAATGCACAATTGAAACACTCAATACTATGCTAAACTTAATATTATAACCTGGTTAATTATATCGAGTATTGGAGTTCTTACCTTTTTTTTCTTGCCTGTTCTGGGGTGGGTCCACTGGGTGTTTTTCGTTAAGTGATTGGCATAGTAAACGCTTCCGTCCACGGTTACTCGTTCTTCCCAACCTGGAGGTAGTTCGTCTTCGCTGTCGGATTCCGGTAAATTCATTACTTAAACTAAAAAAATCTATATAAAAACTCTGGATTTGCGCGTTGAATTAATATTATTTGCGAAATTTAAACTAATTTCGTTGTAATCGAGCATAAAATCGCTGAAATCAGCTGTTAAATGTCAAAGGTTACTGTTAAAAAAAAAGGGTGTTTTTCTTCTTCTTAATTATCACAATCATAATGGCCTCTACTCTTAAGGAAAACTAGTTAGCAATAAGATACAGGTTGTGTAATGTGTGTTGCATAATAACAAGTGCATTTCATAAATTCTCATTTCAAAACAATTTGAATGCAAACGAGGAATTAATAATAAATCAATGTTTATTTAAAACTGAGAAATTATGAGATAAACTCGCAGTCGAGAGGTATCTCGACCTGTAAATTATTATTGCATAACTTACAATTTATTTGATCATCGTATTTTAGTGTAAACAAAAGGCTCGTGATATGTGCGTAATAATGAGTAGGTAAATCATATGATGCCATGCCATAGATTAAGTAGTTAGTAGTACTATTTTCATTCATAAAATTTTAAAAAGTATTATATCCAATTAACTATGAGGAATTACTTATCAGGTTATTAGGGATTATTATAGTGTACAAAAAAATTGGGAATCCTCCTACTTTCCGCAGAATATTGAACTAAAATTAAGGCAAAAAATAAGAGAAAGAAAATTGACATATTTTTTAATACATAAATATTAATCGTGTTATAAATGCAAATGTTATTTATTCATTTTGGGTCAAATTTTGTTATTTATACTTTTGTTTTTAGAAGATAATGTAAGTTGTACACAATAAAAGATTGTGTTGTTTAAAATTAAAAAGTTCGTAAAGTTTGCATAATTATAGGCAGTCAACAATCATTTTAAAGCAAAAATAATAATGTTTCCTGATATAAATTTATGCAAGTGGGTTTGAAAATAAATTATAAAAAGTATACCTATTTGAATATTTTACGATATATTTTTCATGTAAAATTGTTCAAAATACTATTGTCCATGTGAAAAGTATGTATAATACAGTACAGCACACTGTTATTATTTCTTGTATTAATTAGATTGTGATTAAGATTCGAAAATTAATAATTAGTTAATTTGTAGGTGAATTTTGGAACACCTTGCATATTTCTCATAATAATCAATTTGTTATTTAAAACAATTGTAATGTGTTCGAGTATGTACGTACGTAAAATAAATAGTCGTTCAAAAAAAGTATCATTATTGTAGTTACCATATCGTGCATAAAATTTTATGGTTACTAAAAATTATGCAATATTTCGTAATTACTAATAACCAATTTAACTGCAATTAATGGTTAATAAACAATCGAAAACGCCAGTATGTTACAAAACCAAACAAAAATCCAAAAATTCGGCCCGAAAAACTGTTATTTAAAACGATTAAGACAATATTATCAACATTCTATTCTATTAATGACACCAACTAAGCGATGTCTTATATCGGCCGGTCATGTTCTCGATTGCACCAAGGCACTAGAGGTGGTCGAGAAAAATACCAGTGAAATTAAACTTATCCCAATGACCTATATTTTCTTGATCAAAATGAATAGTTCCTAAAGCAACGAATCTTCGTAAGTATAGAGAAATAGAGAAAAAAACAAAATGTACGAAAGTAGATTGATTAAGATGAAAAGTTGGAAACTTCGAAAAACAAAGTATTAAAATGAAAGAGTTGGAAAACTTCGAACAGCAACCAGAAAATAGGATAAATATTCAGAGTAAATTTCCTTGATAGAAGGATTATTTGGTGTAAAATACGAGTGGAAATTTTTGGATCAAAAGAGGTTTTTTTGATATAAAACATTGTGAAAATTCAGGGAAAGGATTTTATGTAATTTCTACCAAAAATAAGTAGTATGTACATCCGCAAAAACTTATATGCAATTCCAACAATTTTGAATAAATTTCTAACACAGAAAAATCAATATCCATCCTAGCGCCCACTCGACAAATCTTTAGCGTCTTGTCCTTTAACTAAATAACAGACGTATTTACTCTGTTGCTAATGCTAAGTGCCAAGATGATTAGAAAAGGAGCAGTTACAGTAAGGCGTTCCAAACGCGTCCGCCTCTATACCGGATCAAAGTGGTATAGGATCAATGAAAAGAGTTCCGCGCCGAGTGGCGTCGAGGAAAACCGAACGCTTCAAAATATATTATTTCGCCGCCGTTCGCTAGGTTAGTGGAAACGCACTTTTGACGATTTAGTCGATAATGTTACATACAACGGGGTTAGAAGTTATGTAACATCGAGCGTACGGGTCATGCATGCTGTAATAAAATCGTAACCTCCGGCTCAAGCTATGTGATCGTGCTTGTGTTAGATTTCGAAATTACACGCGGGATATATTATTTTTGACGAGAAAGAAATTTTCCGGAAAATCCGGAAGGATCGGTTCGAAGAGTTCGGTATTTTCGAAAAGACCGTCGCATCTGATGGTAGGTGGGGAATTTTCGAAAAGAGGAGCGTTTTGAGAAAATGGGAAAAAAGGCCAGGAAAACTAGGTGGCGTACTTTGGAAATTACCGGTGAGTTCCAATCCAACAGTTTATATTTTCATTTATCACTTGGCAATTAAAGTTGATTGGGGAATTAAAGGATTTATTATAAACGCTTACGATTTACCCGGAAATATTGCATGTTTGGAGAAAATTAAAAACTAATTCGCATTTAACTCTCTCCAATTTATCAACAAATAAATAGAATATACTAAGTCGGTATTTTGAGTTAGTTGGGATATTTTTACTGTGACTTAAATCCCTCATTTGTTCATAACATTTTACAGTTGTTATAATCATTCCAGTATATTTAATAAGCACAAAATAAATATGAAGTAAATAAATTTTATCAAATTTTCTTAAATAAATCTAGAAGTATTCAATTGAAGAGCATTCCACTGACTCCGGAAGAACCACTCACCATAATCCCTTGACGAAATAAAATATATCGATGACTTCTCGATCCTTTTAAACCTATTTAATCGCTACAATTAAATTCCATCTACTAAATCCAAACAATGTTTTCATACCCGAGTGACATTTCAAGAGCTATTCCTGCCTGGATGGGGTCATAAAATGTGTTTATTGGAGCTGTTAATTATCTTGTGGCTAAGCACGTGTTAAGGACGAAAATTCAACTTCTGCATTGGAAATGCCTTGTTAAGATACTAGAGCTTATCGTTAAATTAATAGAAACATTAGGCATACGTTATGATTACCGATAAAAATATTCCGAATGACTCGCATTAGGTCCCAAACATTTATTTTTATTAGGCGCGTCGATTTATTATAGACGATAAAATCGAAATTCGACTCCCGATAAATTCCAATTACTTTGAAACACCAAAGGGGCCGCATAATTTTTAACCGGCACCTGTACGTAGAAAATCGCGTAATTAACCATACGGAAATCGAGAAGTTTCGATCGAGCTAAATGTAGAAACTATCGGAAGTGCATTTGAATCGATAAGGGCCTAAAACCGTCGAAGAAACTGCATCGTGATTTCCAACTTTCACGGGAACGTTACGATAACGCATTTATCAAAAAGCATACAAGTGCATTTTATGTTATTTTTAATCTCCACAACGGTGTAACACCGCATTTTTATCATTAAGCAAACACACTTACCGGCGTTTCGCGTTACTTATGCTCATTCTAGGAAATTTAATATGATTTTAAGAGGCTCTGCAAACAAACCTTTGGAACATTATCTTACGAAATTCAAATGTGTAAATACCGAGTAAAAATGTATCTAGAATTTGATTAGCGAAACCCGTTATTTAGCGATATTATGTAAACGTCGAAAAATGTAGAACTTGATATTACTTATTTAAAGAATGATTTCAAGTGTACAAATACAAACTACAAATACTTGTCGACAAAGTAAAAAAACGCCGTGTGACTGTAAATTTATATCCATTTTTTAGTTTACCCTATGTGTATACATATATTTTATCCATTAAGAGTGTCTCAATAGTTTCCGAACCAAGAATCATTAATTATTAAGAGTCATATCCTGATTTAAATAATTTTAAACTATCAAAATTGAAGAGACACACCTCTAAATAACAAAACTTGGTTACCAAAAGTTTTTTGATATTAATGGACAACGTAAGAAAAACAAATCAATCAAATCGTATGTATTTTTTCTTTACTTTCATCGATATTGTATTTAATTAATCACGTTTAATAGCAAATCAAAGTAACAAGGTTAAATTAACGATTCGAGTTTTATTACACATTTAATACACAATATTAATTAATTCCAAATTAAATTAAAAAACTATTAATACGTGTGTGTAATTAGTTGTTGAAAGATTTCAATTAAGGGATTGGACGCAGGTATGCAAAAATAACTGTACTTTAATCAAAGTTATTTAAAACAATTCCAAATTTGCACTAAATTTTTTTAGTTACAAACAATTATATTTAAGTAACATTTTTGCATTGATTACGCTCGATTTTTAAACGAGCTGCATCGATTTCTTCTTCATAATTTGTTTATCAGGCAAAGTGTTCGACTTTGGGCGGGTGGAGTGCTAATTAAATTCTCACTTTAGTTTATTGCTTTAAAACGCTTTCGGAGTTTTCCAATCCAATTTTCTACAGAAACCTCCGGAGGTAACCTACACCTTCCTGATCAGCTGAGTAAAATAAACTAAATAGTAAAGTACCTAAATAATTAATGCCTCATACAACTTACTCAATTTAACTTGCTATTCAGTTATTTAATAAATTTAATAGTGTAAGTTTAGGGCAAATATCAATGTTATGTATTGGTTTGTGGTAATTCCGATAATTGAATTGGTTGATTTTTACTTCAAACAATTTCCGAACTACAATCATTATCTATTTACATTACGGTAAAATCGGTGTCGTTAAAACCCAATTTGATGTTTATCTTTTATTTTTTATCTTTTATTATCCACTTGCAGGATTCGAAAAAAAATACGAATTATTTTCTCCCTACTTTTCGAGTCTACTTACATACATATACAGGACGCAATAAAAGTTGGGGGAAAATCCAGTCGTAGACGTTTTAGTTTCTTTGGAACTTATTATTCCGAAACCCGACATTTTTTAAATAACTCATTTGGATTTATTTTTATCAACCGAACGTATGTTCGAATCCTTTTTTATTTTGTTTGCCACATGACAGTCATCAATCAAGACGACACGGTTTCCTAGACCCTGGCAACGACTTCGATACGTTAAGTATATGTAGGAAAAAATGACAAAACCGTTTGTCTGTCTAGGAAAATATGAGTTAAGCACAAGCTAGGATAATCACCAGTGGCGTTAAGCAATGTTGTGTTTAACAACAGAAATAGCTTACCGGCTATTTTTAAGAAAAAAATTATAGTTTGTTGAGTGTAATCGATTAAATTTGCTGTTTGTATAAGTTTAAACAATCGCTTTTCTTTGTTTTGTTGAGTACATGGAATATATCCTATCTGAAGATACTCGATTTATATTATAAGTTGCTTAATTATTATAAGATAATAATTATAAATAAACGACCCCCCTGGTTGCTAAGAGTTAATTTATATCGCGATAAAATTTTAAAATGGTAATAAGAAGGTTTTTATCATCGTCACTAATGATTTTATTACAATTTACTTAGAAAATATTAATGACACGCAAGTTTTCATTCGGTCTTAAATTTGTTTCCCACATACATTTTATACATTATGTAGTTTTAATGCCAATGGATCGTTCTTTTTTACGGTCTGATTTTCATGTAAATCCAATCGCTTGGAAATCGGTTGTTTGTTTTGTAATGAAATCGAATGTAGCGTTTTAAAACGAGCTCTGTAACTGAATTGATTTAAACGTAATACCTGCCGGTTTTTGCTAGTTTAAACTAGCAAATGCCAGTGGCAACGTGTAAATAGTAGAAAATTTCATTACGGATAAATTCTAACTAAACAATAATTGCTGGTTAAATTATTCAATTGTGTGCAATAAACAAAATGCCGCTGTGTTAGCCTCCTAATTATAACTTAATGCGTTCTCTACATAGAAAAAATAGATCAAATAAACAGTAACACGTGGAAGAGTAAGGTTTTTTCTTAATGTTCTCAATTTAGTAGAGTTTATACAAATCCCTTTTGTGAGAAATTTATTCTATCTACCTTTTTATGACGTTATTTTATTAGCAGGGCGTGCAATAAAGATGCTATATGCATGCTGTTGGCATAAAAGTTACCAATAAATATTTTATTTCGCCGGATATTGAAAAGAATCGAGATAATGAATAAAAAACTAACAATAGTTTTCAATTCCCACACATTTCGATTTTCAAAAAAAATATTACCGTTTATTCCTATGCGTAAAACACCTTATCACAATAAAAAAGGCAACAAATTTAAGTTTAATTGGCGATATTGTAAAATATTTTTTTGTTGAAAAAAAAAACCTGAAAGTAATTCACATTCAATTTATGGCCTATTATAATCGCAAAAACTAGGTTTCTATTGTATTTTTTTCGATTGCAGGCTATAAAAATTACACAAGTTGTAATTAATTTTTGTTTTTCTTGTATATTATTTAATTTAATTAAATCTAGTAAAAAACAAATTAATTATTTTCTATGCATATTTAAATTTTTTACAGCTGTAAGTGCACATGTATGGATGCTAATTTAACTTTTGAGCTTGTTTATCTTATACTTTATTTAAAAAAATACTTTATAAATAAATAACTCACAATAATCCAGGTAACGGTTAGAATTTTTTATTTAATTTACGAAATCAGTCACGCGACTCTGTTAGATTCTCATAATGAGGTACCATTTTCACAGTAAATCTGTTATAATGTGGTACCAACCTTGAACTTTTTTTCTAATATAGGTAAAGTCATTTCCAACAAAAAATCTATGCAATACATTCACAATAACTAACATTCAACTGCAGCTTTTATCTGTAAAGTACCATCTTATCTATAAAAAGAAATATTCTCGGGTTTGTTTAACACTAGAAAAAGTCACTGAATATGTGATAGTTTTGAAGTTATCGCCCTACCAAGATCCTAATCATTTTAGTGACTAGACTTTAAAAAAAATCACATCCGATGGGGCCTTCATAGATGCATTTCATTATAAACTATTCGTTATCGTTCATAAAAGAAATTAGAATAGATATCGATCCGTTTGAACTTTGAACTCCTAGCGTTGTTGTGGAACATTGGACCTTCGAAAGCATTACTATTTTCGACCACTTTTTAACCGATTATAAATAAGTCGAATAGGAAGTCAGTTCAGAAAAGTTTAAAGGTGCATGATCTTCCCTTACAAAAACACTGAAGGAAATCGATTTATTCATATTTATGGTATATTGCATTCACGCTAATTCATAGATGACGTTACGAACTATTTTTTAATGATTGTATTAAAATAAATAAAGGTATACCTAGTGGTCTGGAATTATTTTTTAGCATTATTTTCAAATCACAATCATAAATAATGTTATTATGAAACGATTGCGGACAGAAATACATTCGTAGACGTCAGTATGTTATTTAGTTACTCCGTATGCTTTTATCTTAATTCTCAATTCCACTTGCACATTAATTAGTCTCCATATTTTCATGTCAAGGTATCTAAATATAATGGCTGGAATATGTTTATTTTTCAAAAAAAGTAGGCTTCCCGAAAGTAAACTATTTTGTAAAAATAAAAATCACGAAAAGTTTACAGGATATTGTCCAGCGTAAAAAATGGGAATGTAAATAGTCCCAATTAATATTATTCGAATAACCCCGAAAAAACACAGAATAAACGGGAATTGATGAGATTTTATATTTATATTTATACCAAGGAAAAATATCGAGTTATCATTAAATTAATTTTAGTTCAATTAAAACCGAAGTAAGATAATTAGAAAAATACTCGAATTGTTTTGATATTATTTGTTATTCCAAAAATACATAATGACTAGACTTAAAGCAATGCGTGTAACTTTGTACCAGAAAAATGTTCAAACGAAATTTGCACCCTAGCTGCATAACTGATAAAATGCAATATTATGCAATAGTAACAAACAAGTTATAAACAAGTTTTAATTTTTTCTCATATATTGTTTTCGTTTGATCGCCGTTATATCGGCGCAGCGTGTTTTTTCTTGTGCTCCCCGAACCGCAAATAATTAAAAAAGGTCAAATGGGCTGATATCAATATCGTTGCCATAAATATTTTTGGCTCCCTAACTACTTCCTTGAGCAAGGTTGCCATTCTTAGAATCTTGCTACTACATTTGCTAAGGTTTCAAATATTTGATAATTGCAAAAATCTAATTATAGCGTTTCCAGAATATATTACGGCATACCATATAAAATAACTGGATTTAACAGGGAGCCAAACTTTCATGTCGAGACATCAGTGATGCCACCATTTCCACTAAACTTTTGACACTGTCAAGTGCATTAAAAAATAGAATTTATACAAATTAAATAATGGAAACTATTATTTACTGACTTTTTATGCGTTAAGCTAAAAGAAAACATTACAAGGGTACAAAATTTCTTCGTATTTTTAGTCCTCTGTCGTGTTTATTCCGTATCGACCGCGGGGAGTTGGAACTTCCGAACCGTGAAAGAGACACGACAATTCTGTTTACTCACGTGTTTGATGAATAAATATAAAATAAGAAACGAAAGTCAATAATATTAGATCATACAAATCCCGGAAAATTATTAATTTCCGCAAACAATTATTATTGCAATGAGAATCCAATCCATTCCGAAGAAATGCACTTCTCATTGCACTTCTCACGTTATGCAATTTGCTATTTTTACTCCAATTATCTATACTCAAAATATAAATTTCTACGCTTTTTAGATAGATACCGAAATGCAAAACAAATGCTTCAAAATATGTTTTTAAGTGATTTACACATGTTATTCAATAAATATTAAAATAAAAATGTTAAAATTCCCGTTGCAGTATCGCCAAAATAAAAACGTGATCCAGCGATTGAGGTGTCACGTGAAACTCTTCTCCCGGCATTTTAAAATAATTTACGAACCGCCGTTATTTTTAGAGCGATTGTCGAAATGGAAATAGAGAAACGCATTGACGTTAAAAGCATGTGATTTCGAATGTTTTCGAGTAATATGTGTTTCTTTTTTTAAAATAGAATTGTGTGTGTGTGTGTGAGCGAGTCTCAAGGGAATGCCGGCCGGTTTTACCATCTTACAAAACCACAAACGGTCTTTTACCTAGTTCGTATTCACCCATAATATTGCATAGAAAATTAAATGTTAATATTTTAATGTCTATTACTAATTTAACGTGAATATCCAACATCAACTCGACAAAAATGTTAATATTGGATTAATAAAAAACACGACAGTTTTCTAGGTAATAACTAATTAGAAGTAGGTATTCGCTATTTTTATCACACTGATAAAACTATCCTATAATTGACTCGAAATTTCCAATTTAACTGCAAACAATGTATGAAAATGTTAATGGCTTTTTGAACACGACGACGTACTTACATGCCACTCTCGCGTCATGTATTTTTAGCATTCATAATTTTAATCATAGGTAGGTACCAGGTTATTTAACTTTTGGCAAGACATTATTTCCTCATGACAAATGGAGTCATAAGGTTTCCTTTCAGTTTTTTTTGTCGATCGACCACCGGTGTTTCTCGTCAAGTCGAGCTTCAACAGGAAAAATACCACGTTCAACGTTTTAGAATCCATTTTGAACTGTTTAATGATCTGGTGTTTACAAATCTTTTGCATCAAAAATATGTGCTATGAAATCATTCATTATATTATTATAGATTATTATTAACCGGCTAGATAAATATACTCATCAAAAATAATAGTTTTATATACTAATCGGAACTTTATCTAGGAAATAATTGCAAATACACATAAGTGTAAATTTGTACGCAATATATGGTTTATGGGTGCAAAAAAGAAAACTACCATTAGTCCCTTATAAAGGAAAAAGAAAGAGTGCTATTGCGGGATGAAAATTCCTCCCTCTAAAGTCTAACCGCTATGTTAATGATTTTATTAATATTGCAAACACGTGTGCACTTACCCACATACCAATACAATGGACTGCACAGTGTAATACATAATAAAAGTAATCTATAATTCGGGATTAATGTGCACCTTTTTTATGTGATATGTAATCAATGAAACGAATTTATACAATCAAACTTTTCAATTCATTCGGATTATATCCATTTATAACGAAGCATTGCAAGAAACTGACCTTGATTGAATAACATAATTGAAAACTTATTGGTCGTAAATTCCTGGCAGACCGAATGCATTTTATAAGTGGAAAAATCACATGTCGAGGAAACCATGTGCTCCCCACGCATCATATTCGTAGGCAATTAAAATCTATTAATAACCGAACCTTTCATGACCAAAACATCGCACCGCTTTTGATTTCTATCGGATTAATTCCTCACGTGAGCGAGCTGTAGGTGCGATAAAGTCACGGGTGAAAATTTTCTAAAAATTTTCCTCTAAACGTGTTTAAATGATTTACGATCGTCGCGGCTAGACCAGTCTGCTGCATTCGTGTAGGTGGATTTTTTTCGAAATACCAGTCCAATTTCCTTGCACATTTTAATTTGCGGCTAATTTAAAGCTTCGATTTTTTATAATTTAATTTTCAGTTTAGTTGCAGGATTATGCAATTTTTTAAATGACCTTAGATTCGGTTGAAACGAATAATTAAATAATGCAACTGAATAAACGATTGTAGTTTTTTCTTAAAAAACCTACTAATAATTATTATCCTGTTGTCATTGAATTCTCGTTACATAAAGTCAATAAGCAGTTAACAATAACATCACGTTCACAGATCGAAGTATATACAAGTTGTCCTTTAAATAAAACTAAAAACTTATACGTATGTATAGAACAATAAAAATGCAAACATTTTCTTCCTATATTGTATAATCTCCCTCAATGTGTTTGGCTCTTCATTTGAAGATTACAATAGGCTGTATTTATTAAAAAAATCATACCCTTTTGCTTTCAAAAAATGAAGGAATTGCTTAAAGGTATATGCATAAAAAAGAAGTGAAGGAAGAGAGGTTTCGCTTCGAGGGCCCTGCTGTTTCTTTAAAGCAAAAAGTTTTATGGTTAAACCTTTTTCTCTTACTTTTTGCTTCTACCTTTTACTTCAAAGTAAATGCATTATTTTTATAAATATGGACTAATGTATAAATATTTTTTTTTGTTTTAGACGAACACAGTGACAGCGAGGAGTCGCAAATAACCAACGGTCCGAGGCTACTACCTAAATCGTTTCAGCAGAAATCTTACTACAAATTACCGTATTCCAGTCAATCGACGCCCAGAAGAAAGTACCAGTATGATAGCGCGAAATCTACTAGAAGCAGCAGTACGACAAGCGAAAATAAAATTACTTTTAATGAAGGTATGCATTACAACTTTATTATTGCAGGCGTGGGACATTATGAAACTTTCGGGTATTTTATTGACGTTTAATCATGCATTAACACAGTACAAATAGAACAATTTATCACTTGAATGTGTGCGCTTGCTGTTGCCAATTATTTGTCTAAGGGATATTATAAAAAGTAATTTAAACGTATAGGAGACAATAATTAGCGAAACGATTTTACTATTAGCAGTTGGAATTTAAGTAGGTGTGTAAATAATAGCTTTAGTGTACGAAAAATAGGCAAATATCTAGGGAATCGATAATCAGTTTGTATTGTACCTTAATCTCACGAAAATCAACAACAAAGCGCGTGTCGAATTAAGAGGAGTTTTACTAATTTTCCAGAACCGGATTTACTTGGGTAATCTGTACTCTTATAATAAATCAAAAGGGTTCAAGGTAACAGAAATGAATATTTCATTCATATAGCGATTGCCCCTCCGGAACCGAATTGTTACATTTTTCATATTCCCATCAATCGCGTGTACAACAGCATCGGCTTTGACAAAGTGCTTTCCGTTCGATATAATGTAATTCCGTTTTAAAATATAATTGCTGGATTACATGACAGCGCTCGTTATACATACTACATGCACCGATTCCCACGCCCTCAAATCGGTACTCAATTTCCAAATTTTTAATCAAAACACTCATATACAATGCTCACATTAAGACAGCGATGGCGTCATGACTAACTAACAATTAATGCCACGTATTAACACTATTTAATGGGCTCATGTGCCACTGTCGAATTATGATGTCGTGTTTAACCAAACAATTGTCACTCTAACAGTTATCATTATCAATTTCTTTAAAATATGCATAAACAAACAATATGTTTGCTGCGCCTTAGTAAATACATCCCCCGTCGACCTCCTAGGTATATGCGTAATGTTTGCTCTATAATTAGCATCGCTACCTCAAATTACTCATGTGCATTGACTGCAAATGGATACGGTAATAGACGCTCAAATATTTGAGCTTAGGAGTTTCAAAATTTCAACACGACAAGCGAATGGGGATGAGTAAATTGAAGCGGAGAAAAGTCAGAATGAAATGTCGACAACCAAATATTAAACAATTTGTAGTAGGTATTCATTAGACATTGGAATAGTATATTAGGTTGCGATTGTATGTGCTGTGATATTATTAATTTTTTTCGTATAGCTTATTGCTTCCAATTTGCTCGAATTTCCGCTCATTACAAGTTAAAACAACTTTAGGACGGATATTATTGATGTTTTTAGGTCGAAATAATATTTTAGTCAATTATATTTTATACAATAGTCGAAAGAAAATTGAAACAAAATTATAAAGTGGAACGGGCCTATTAAGTGCAGCATTAAAATCGAAAACAAATTACAACGAAACATTTATGCTTATCAAATAATATTTCAAATTTGTGAAACATTACCATAAAAATACAGCATAAGAAGTGAAGATAATTAAATTACAGAAAAAAATATTGAACGTTCCCTGTATATCCAAAATAAATCAAGCAGACTTTTAATTAGTACAAAAAATACAGGAAGTTCCTCTTCGTTAAAATGCTGGTATTTCAAAAGTTCATTAAGACGAATTTTGCTTTGAACTCGGTCCGAAAATTTGGGAAAATTACATAAAACAAAGCGATACGGAAAGAATATGATTTCACGGTTTCAGAGAGACAAATGATTTCTGTTCCAGAAATAAAAGAACTTGGGAAATGTGTTTACCAATCGATACGAAACGTCTTGTGTACGTTATTTGTGGGTGTATAAATGTGTAATTCGAAGATCGGTCAATAGAAGTTGTAGTTTATGGCAGGAGGATTTTTATTTCAGTTTAAAAATTTATCATAAGAGACAGATCGATCATAAAGAAGAGATAATAAAATCGTAAAAAAGTAGATGTAATTGATGAAATGGACAATCTCTTATACAGCGTAGATATAAAAGTATTCAGTAGTTTTAACAGGAATGGGGAAATGCGAAGGGAACTTTTATTAATAGGGAAATTCAAATACAAAGCAGTATGTACGCTCATCCAGTAAATATAGCGAGTAAACATTATTATCAAAAATGATGTAGCTAAACAATTTCGTGTTATAAATTATAAAACTTTTAATTATTTCCTAACCGGCGTTCGCGTTTCGTGTGAATCAAAAAAGAGTTCATCGTCTACACTACACAATATCGTAACATTTTTATAGGGAGCCCGCATTTACAATGGCTTTAATTAAATAATAACATAATAAAGCTATTATTAGTTTTGTCACTTTTTGGTAAACCCATTAACTTCTCTTATCTACTTGGCGTATAATGGAGAAACTTCCGTCATTGAAAAAGTACTTTCTATTGCAGATGAATACACTAGAATCACGACTCCTAGGCAAGATGTTCTATTTAAGAAGGGTTACTTGAACAAGCCGAAAACCTACCAGACTCAAACATCTACTGGTACTTCGACCACTTCTACCAGCAACTCAACGGGCAACGGTACTCCTGATCATCAATCGACAGGTGCGTAATGCATTTCAGTTGCATCACTTTAAATTCCTTGCGATTGTTATTAACAAACGAGCATATTTTACCATTAACTGCTACTAATCAACCAGCCTGTATTGACTTCAATTTTAAATGGCTATTGTTAATTGAGTTCGTGTTGACGTTAATTGCGCTTCTGTTCTCATTGAGTTCAAATTTTGTTGAATTAAAATGCTAGATGCTTATTACTATTGTTAATAATCCCTTGAACACCAATGTTTCTTTATTAATTAATATATAGATTCAATTTAGTTTGGTAATGACGCCTAAAGCAGTGTTGTCACATTGTAATTTTTACATGCATATTTAAGGTTTCTGAACAGTCATTGTTTATTTTCATGTCCTATTTTCTAGTGTAAATGTGATAAATATTTTCGTATTTTCTTTACAGATTTAGATTATGACTCGCAATTTGTCTTCCCTAATGGTTTTGTCGATCAAAACGGAATCTACTACGTCAACAGTAAGTATAAATTTACCTAAATAATATTAATTATAAATTTTCGTTTCAAAGTATGTAGTTTGAAAAATTCTAATAAACTTTAAAATTTTCCGTTTCATACCTTAGTACTATTTATGAACATTTTTAAATTTTACGAATATCTAATTAATTGAGTAATTGAGTTCATTTCATTTCGTGGAAAAATCCACAATGATATAATCGGACTATTTAGAAAATTGCTTATTGACAATTTTCCTAGCATGCATGTAATACAATCATTAATTGGCTTACCCAAGATCGTTGTTTGATATAGAGCGAAATTAATTAAGTCGAGGGAAAATAAATAATTAGTAAATTGCCATATATGATAATTATTCGAAATAAACTTTGTTACAGGTTTTGAGCCATATCCTTTAATGCTGTACAACCCCCCTACGTACTACAATGAGTTTTCGAACTCTAAATCGAAACGGTACAGCACAGGTTCATTGGTAAGTATCAAATAATTCAGCAGAGTAGCTTAACTCATAACATCCATACAAATATTCAATTTGTATAGAATTAAATTACGTTTCCGCGCTCGCACCTTCGAATGGGTCTTTTTTGGCATAGTCTTCGCGAGGCAAGCCATAAAATATTCAGGCTAAAAGCTTTTCCTCATCTGCCCATCTTACATAAATTTTCATGTAAGAAACCCGCCACAAATCCGAAAGGCGAGAACACAAAGGGGCCGTAATAATAGAATTAACATCGCAAGTGACGATGAGGGGTAAAATTTAAACTCCTAAAATCATTACGGAATAATTTGCCGGGGAAATTAGAATTTCTCGAAATATGAATTATGAATCGAACCACGCGAATTAGCGCTCGCGAGTGCTCGACCAATCGAAGACCTATTGATCGCATAAATAGATAAAATGAATTAAATTATGTGCCCGGTTTACTCGGCTAATTGGAAAGCGTTCGATCAGATATCGTTGATCATTTGATACTTAGCCAAATATTATTTTCGTCTATTTTATGACTCACTAGGAACATGACTTTAGTTTCCATTTCGGCAAATATAGATATAAAATAACAATTTGTAGGAAATTTAAATTATCTTAAAATTAAATATACCTAAATTTGTTTTTTGAATTTTTATTTACACTTAGGTGTATTATGGAGATATGAGTAAGCATCCGAAATTGGAGCAATGGCATTGATTCAACTCGTTAAACTACCTCAGTAGATGTTTTCTTTTATATCGTAAATCTAATTATATATTAATAAAAGTCGTCGTATCCAAACAAAAAGAAATGAATATATTACAAAAACCTTAAAATCCGAGATTGTAAATCGTTAAGAATTTTGAAACTGCCCGTTTATTATTATAAACTTTCTTATCTGCCAGAATAATTGTGTCATTTATTTTCGTGACGACATGTAATATAGGATTTCGTCTTATCACGAGGTTCCTAAGTTTTGATAAAACAATTTAACGAGTTTTAAAATGCGTACGCAATATAATAACGCTGATAACGAGTCGAAAATCCTCCACCCATAAATAAATCCGGAAGGATTTTAATTACAAGAGTAAAAATAAAAAAAGAAGAACAATAAGTTGATTTCTGGTTAACCGATAACAACTGTCATCAATAATTATGATTATTTGTAAGTGTTATAGAACTCGATGCAATATTATCTCTTTGTGAACCATTTGGTGTTGGGTTAATTAAAGAGATAAGATTTTACATAATGTGTTAGTTCAGAATTCGAAAATAAATAGAGTTTTTGACAGAATTCCCCAGGAATAAATCAAAAAATAAAAAAAAAACGCGTAACTGGCAGAGACGCGACAAACGAGCTCTAAAATAAATAAATCAACAGCAGACGACGCCGCGCTGAAGATTGACGAAATTATATTTAACATTAGATACACTAGACCGGTATGTTGATAGCTTAATTATTTCGCAGTCGGTTTTTTAATATTGCCGAAGCTAAATCCTTCTGGCTCATTAAGCTTGCTCAATGGAAACTTAAATTGCAGACGGAATCTACGAGTCCGAACAATGAAGAGGTAACTAGTCAAGAATTGAGCGGCGGAGAGGCCTCTAACAACGTTTCCGACTACAGCGGCCACCACAGCGTCTACAACATGGTCTATCCCGGCTACTACGTCGACGGCGTTTGTCCGAACGAAGGTATATTTCCCATTCACCAGCTAGCTTAACTTAGTTTAGGAACTTCATAGCTTGATTGTGTTTCTATTAGAAAGTTATGGGGGGACAGTTGCAGAAACTCCTGCAAGGGCCAATCTAATGCAATATATTAACTAGTGTTGTAAGTGACATGTATAAATATAAATCTGTCGAGTTAAAGACGCGACTTTAGAGTCACTCTAAAGTTAAACAGAGGCGCTGAATACGGGCGATTTAATTTTAATAAAGTGTTATTTAACATGTTAATTAACGGTTATTTTCACACTAATATTAACTTGTCCAATTTGACTTGATTATTATACAAATTGGGTTGGCTATAGTAATTTAATAGGACGTTATGTTCATCGATGGTGCCGCTTTATTTTCTCCTTAGTCTAGCTTTTGGATTTGAAGCTAAATGATTTCTATTCTATTAGATATGCTCTAAATGATGGTATTTTTGGATTCAGAATAGTATCGTTGCTTGTAGACTAGCCAAAGTAGGTTCAAGGATGACTAAAAGGTGTTTTTCCATTAATTTTTGTTCACCAGTACAACGCTAACAATTATAATCAACTATAAAATAAAAACAATCAATACACATCTCATCCCAAGGAGACACCTACATAATTTTGTGCAACTAAATCTAACCAAACGCATCATTTGCGAGATTCCAAGAAACGCCACTGTAAAGTACATAGTAATTAGGTAATAACATAATACTAGGTAATAATTATGAAAATGTAAAATTCCAACCTTGAGGAAATTTACTCATTTTTCCGCTTTAACGCGGCCGTTAAATTTCTGCGCTTTAAGATAGAGTTAATGGTTATTCGAATATATTAATTTGCTTTTGAGTGGTTCAACTTGGCGGTTACGAAAATAGAGTAAGGTTGAATGGTAGATAGGGCAAATTCTCGTCGCTGTCAAACTTTTGTTCGGTGTATAGCAGCCGAAAGGCGAGAGGAAAGAGGCGTGTGACATAAGAGTATAAACGTCTTGAAGCCTTGCCAAAAATGCGTTTCGTACCTATGAAATTAGTTTAAATAATGATGAGCGCCAGTCAACGGAAAAATAGATTCATTGTACTTAAAAATAGGTATTTGGCATTATTGTATTTTAATATATTTTAATTACATATAGAATTACGTTATATTTTTCCATTGCAGATTCATCGGATACGAACAGAAAGATAAAGAAACGCAGGCGTCGAAAAGTATCAAAATCGCAAACGAACAATCAAAACGACAGCACCGAATGCAGCGAAGACGAGGATTTAACGCACGTAGAAGCAACGGTAGTTATGCCATCTAGTCCCGTCGCTGAAACCAACGCGGAAACTGTCCAAGTCAACGACGAAAAGCCGGAAGAATACGTCGAGGAGGACCCGCCTAAGCAGCAAAAGTACGACCTCAAACCGGACGCGGAGGAATTCGTACCGAGAGCGTACCGCACCACCCCGGAAATCCCCCTCAGTCCCGTTCAGTACATCAAAGTTCCGCCTAATTTCGTACAAATCCCAATAGTGCCATTCAACGGTCAGATGAACCCAGCATTTATCCCACCGGGAGGTATACCGATAAACTTCATACCTCCCGATCCCAAGCTGTTTCCGCCGAACTTCGTCAACTTCGCCGCCGGCCCGCCCAAAGGCCAAGACGTCCTAGAGAAAGTCGAGGAATCGACGACGAACGACCAAAACTCGAAGGTCTGTGATACGAATTCGAACACTGCCAAAGACGAACCACCCGAAAAAATCGTTACCAACAGCAAAAAAACGATCGACATCGCTACGATCGTTTCCAAACTAGAAGAAGCCGCCAAAGAACAAGAAAACGACGACAAACCAGTCGAACAGAGTCCCAAGAAGAAATCCTTCAAATACAAGAACTACTACAAAAGAAACTTCTACAACAGCCCGAGGAATTCCCCGCAAAGGCAATGCGCGACGGACACCAACGAAATCAAACATATCGCAAACGTTATACAGACTGATTCGGACGCGAAATTTGCGAGGAACAACTTCAGAAAGAACTGGAAACCCAAAGATGCTTACAAAAGTCCGAAACACAACGTCGAGACTACGCACGTCAAGAAACACTATGCGGACGCGTTCAAAGCCAATTCCAACCCCGTCGAAAACACGTCAATTCCTCCGTCGCCGAAAATAATCCCGAACAACAAAGTACCCAACCAATGGATACCGGTGTCGAGCAGAAAGAAAAGAAAAAACAAAAATTTCGATGAAACCGACGAAATTCTTACGATAGAAGAACCAACGCAAATCGAAGAAGACCAACAAGACGAATTCGAAAGTTACGATGTGAATATGCTAGTCGACGTTGTACCAAATGAAAAGAACGTCGAAAAAATTATTAATTCCATAGCACAAATTGAACCGGATAATATTCAAATACAACAAATTCGAGACATACCATCAGTTACGGAAATCGAAAGTGAATTAATAACGAAAGAAGAACCACTAAAAGAAGAAACTACAAAAGAAGAACCAACAGAAGAAGAACCATCAAAAGAAGAGCCATCGAAAGATGAGCCCAAGAAAACCGACGATCAGCCAGACATTATTAACAATGAGACTGAAATCAAACAACTGTCGAAGAAGAAATCGAAAAAAGGCGCTCAAAAACCTGCCACTAAACGAGTCATCATCACAGATATCGATCTATCCGACAATAAACACGAAGAGGTTAAAACTCCGACTAAAAAGATCGTTAAAAAACTCGATAAACCCAAAGAGGTAATCGAAACTAAACAGGAAGAACCGATTATAAAAACCGACACTACGCCGGAGCCGGAAGAAGATAAAAAGAAAAACAAAAAGAAGAAGAAAAAAGCTTCGAAAGCGACCGGCTCTGCTGCGTGTAGCTCTACAAACTCAAATACCGCTGAAGACGTATACGATATGTTGTTAGAAACGACATTAGCGACTGAAGCAGACAAAACCAACGACGAAATATCCGTCGAACTAGAAAAGATGATCCAAAAAGGCATGTATAGCAATCTAGAGGAAAAGATGCGGTCGCTAAACATAAACGAAACAGACGGATTTCTCAAATCCGTATTCAGCAAGGTACCGTTAACGTCCAGACCCGAACCAGTGGGCTTCTTAAAGTCGCCGGACTTTACCAAAATTCCTCTAGTTAAATCGGATCCGGTAAGTGAAGACCAAACTTTAGATCGTAACAAAACTAATGATGAATTACCTGCTTCAGAGTCGTCGGAGATTTTTCTAGAGAATTCGCGCCTCATCGTTAATCGAGCTGAGGAGCCAAAGAGCCTCTATCCCATCACCGAGGCAGTTAAAGAATGGATGTGCAAAACGCGCGAAACCACACCCGACGTGGAAATATTCAAAAGTCCGCGCACGATTTACAGGGAATTCTGCGACAGTGATACTAATAGTGACACTGAGGCGGGGAATTCCCGCGAACTGAGTGCTAGTGTTGACGATGACGAAATTACTCTGTTCACCGCAGACGAGATCGATAAAACGGCCGACGATAACGAAGATCTTCTCGAATATTGGGAGGATTTGAAGATCGACGAAAACAAAAACGACGAAGACGATATCGAGATATACGAGAGCAAATACGGAACTAACGAGGACTATCTGAAGTTGCAGAAGGAAGTGCGAGAAAAAACCAAAACCATGAACCACCCAAAGAACGGCAAACTACCTCATAGAGCAGTTTGTTGTAATATTATGTAAGCTTATAAGAACACCACAATTATTCGTACAAATTTTTCAGGGCGACTAAGAACTTGATGCAAATAATTTGTGAAGCGAGTAAGTGACTAGGAAATTTTTATATCATAAATATCTCAAAAAGTTTTATATACATAAATAACTAACATTATTTTAACCTACTCACTCGCCCATAAATTATTTGCATCAAGTTTCCGTACACCCCGTATAATCCAAACGGAGATATCTTTATAAATTATCACAATCTCTTATTCAACGCTATATAAAATTAGTTATTGGTATTAGGAACAGAGAGTTTGTGTACCTATCTAAAAATAATTTTTAAAAACCTATAGAATTTTCTTGGCAATTATAGTAGGTAAGTTTAATTTAGGGTTGTAGATAAGCCGGATTACGCTTAATATAGTATACTAATTTCAATTTAAAATGCTCGCATTAGGTAGATAAGAATGTTAGAAATGTAAAAAAATATGTAAGAGGATGTGATAATCAAGCCTGCGAAGAATCTCTTTGTTAATTTATTCGTTCGTATTTAATGATACGAACTTGTGAATAATTGTAATATTAGAAGTGTTTATTAAATTGGATAATTAAAAATATAGCTAATTAAATTTAAACGAATAATCTTTCAACACTTCTAAAGTCGCAATTATTACTTAAAAATCACAATTTAGACGTGATTACTGTTGAAACGACTAAATTTTAATAGAGTATCTACTGTGAAGGAACACAGTTTATCCGGATACTTTCTACTATAATTTTTATGAAATGCAGAATTTAATGTTCGTTGTATTTCGTAAAAAATTTAATAACTTGTTTTCTGTACATAGCGATTTAAATGTTTTTAAATGCATAATATACGGAAAAAAACGACGAATCTGCCTCTGTGCGTGACAAAAACTTGTTGAGCAATTAATATTTTAAATGTACTTAAACGTGTTGTGATCAAGCAATGTTCTCAAAACGCCAAAAATAAAATCGAATCGAGTCCGAAACGGTATGGAGCAAGGGTGCGAATTTTTAACTAACCCGAAAATTTACACGCTCTCTTAGCAAATTATTCTAAATTCTTCCAATACAGTTTGCGTTGAATGTACCGTTACCATGTGTTAAAATGATTATTTTTTATGCGAAATGTTAATATTCGACTTGACATTATTATGTACATAAGAAGCGGTGACAGGCTGTTAATAATCCGATGGAAATCGGCGCTCAAAAATTGTTATTGTTGTTGAGAATGTTAAAATAAAAAAAAGGAAAATACTTTGTTTCATTTGAATTCGAAGTGTCGCTTCTTATTGAAGAAACTTCGATTGGCGATTGAATTCTTATGAAATAGATATTATAGTATGGCCTATTTGGAGACTGAACGTGGGCCGTATTTTCGGTAAAAACTAGCTTATTCGACTGATGTTTTACCGAAAATGCTTCGAATGGAATATGGTGCACGATATAAATGATACAGGACGTCTCGCGCACGAGTTGTTATAGATATAAAATAACGGGACAACCTGCATACATAATTTTGTTTTATCTTTTTTTTATTGTTAAATGTTGTTAACAAATTTAGCGAATAGGTTTAGGTGTACATCACCTTTCGATTGTATCTAGTGGTGCATAATTTTTAAGCGATTTTGTTTTGTAGTTTATACTTTTGAATGTTTCTAGAGAGATGCCGAGCCCAATTTGTAATATTTTGCGTGTATCGAAATGCCAAGGACATTTTACACTTTCGTTAAATAATCAAGTAAAAATAACCGCATATCACGTTATAAAAAAATTGGCAGTTCGAATATAATTTGGCATTATTTTTAGAGAGAAACCCGATAAAAAAAATAATAAGCGCATATGCTCCCCGTTCGTATGAAACCAGTGGCTTAAGCACGTCAATGACAATATTAAGTATTCGAAGGGGATTTTAGATTAATTTTAATTTTGGATTTTGATTAGGAAGAAAAAGACAGGAAGCAGTGTGTAAGTGAATAAGTTTGTAGAGCGTTTTTCTCGGTTTTTCGTTTTTTGAACTTTTATGTATAAATTTTTGGTTGTATCTGTGTATTAAGTTTCATTATTAAGTGGTTATTTTTTTGAGATTTGTGCCTTCGCGATATTTGTAAAATAAAGAAAAATTCACCAACTTTGTACTTTCATTTTTACCACCAAATAATCAAAACGAATTAAGAACGCTGTTAAATAGAACAAAGTTTGTAACTAGTACTTATCAATAACAAAGTTATAAGGGCGATATTTTTAAACACTAGTAAACAAACTGGTAAACAATAAACAATCAATTATCATCAACAATAAGTGATTCAGTAGAAGAGTATTGTAACAAAGAAAGCGTAACACGATGTGGTTTTTTTATACATCAATTCACTTGTAAAGTATTGTATAATCATTTTGATTTTAGTTAAAAAATATAGAAGTTCTACATACCTTATACAAGTTGGTGCATTGAGGTGTTCATCTACTTGATACTAGATGTTTCCTTTAAGTAAGAAATTTGTCGTCTTTTATTAATCAAGAATAGCTCTCATAATTAAATTATTTAAGAGGAGAATTTAAATTAGGAATAATTAAGTGTTTTACATTAGTTTTCCAAAATCAATTCAATATGATTTAAATGTACCAATTAAATCAACGATTGTTATAAAGTTAAATAGCTAAAAGCTACTACAGGAACCATATTTTTAATATTTTCGAATAAACTAATAAACTTTTTGTACAAGATACACATAAAAGAAGAGTCCTACAGGTGGTTTTTATATGTATTATTCATTTGACTTTGGAAAGACTATACAACAGTAAATTTACAAACTTAAGATTATTTATAACAATTCATTTAAATTTAGTTACCTTTATTCATTTTATTCCTTTAATTAATCTTCACTTAATCACTTCCTTTTTTTTGTTTTTTTGCAAATTGACAGCTGACATATTTAAGAAACAAATTATTATTACCAACCCAAAAATATAAACAATTAAAATAAAAAAATATAGGTACGCAACCAATTTTACAAATCGATGAATTTAGTTGCCTAACTTTTGGCGTTGTATTTTGACAGTTAGTAGTTCGTTAATGGCTTCCACGAGCAGAGGTTCACCTGATGATGACGGCTACAAACGATTTACAGAAGATATTAACAATGTGTCATATGGTTCAAATACAACAAGTAAGTGTAGTTCGTAGATAAGGCTTATCAGTTACACAATAGAATTGACTTGTTATCGCAAAACGGGTTCTAAAATCGGCTGACATAAGCGCTACTTTTGCTCGTTTACCGATATTCCAATTTCCGATTTTATTTGATTTAATTTGTTTTACCTTAATTTACGATATCTCGAAATGAACAGGTGTGATTGCGATTCGGTAGCCGAAGGGTTTACGAGCCAACCATGTTTTTGCGTAATTATTTACACTTACAAGAATGCACGTAAAGCAATAATAACATTTGAATTTACATTTGTAGATCCAATTGACGAAATGGGAAGTAGATCCAGCCTTAGCAGGGATGATCTCGCTGACATGGATCACTGGGAAATGAACTACCACGAAGCTGCAATATTTTTGGAGGTACTTTCATTCATTCCCATTCAATCAAGTAAAACATACAAACAATACAGTACAAAAAAGCATTCTATAAACAGCTGTTTAAGCTTTATATTTTGATGTAAATGAGTCATGCACAATACACATAAATTGTAGGAATAATACATGCAGTCTTTTACTCATCATCGCATCAGCACTAATTTGCTCACTCCACTAAATTCTCCTGAATTGAAACGTTTCAGGAAGGAGCGAATAACGAAAAATTCGACTCCCATCCTCGTCACCCCTCCGCTCTGCCTGCTTACCTGCTGGTGCACAATTCTTGGTATTATGGGTTCGACATGTTCTTCTCCATGCTGTTGCTGCTGCTGGCTCTGGTGGAAAAGCCTTCTTTGGAAAACGTCGATTTCCCCGTGGGCATTCACGGTACATTCGAATTGGTAGCGCTAGGCGGCATCGGCGTGGAGTTGATGATGAAGCTGAGGTGGATTGGATGGAGGACCATATTGAGACACAAAAGGACTATGGTGAAAGTGAGTATTATATTTTTAGTCTGTTGAGGTCAAGTGTACATTTTGTAACGTTTTTTTTTAGTGCGTTACACTTTCGATTATGGTATTGGAAGCTATTACGGTATTGATTAGGCAGTCTTCCCATTTTAGAGTTACCAGGGCGTTGCGACCCATTTTTTTAGTCGATACGAGAGCTTGCGGAGGAGTGAGGAGGTAATTACAATTAACTAATGACTTACTATTGTTAATTAATAAATAATTTGTAGATACATTCGACAAATCCTTCAATCATTGCCTCCGATTCTCGACATGTTGGGGCTGCTGATGTTCTTTGTTTGTTCCTACGCTCTACTCGGATATTTTTTGTTCAGCGGACACGAGACCAATCTTTATTTTAAGACCCTCGGTGACAGTTTTGTTAGTATGTTCGTCTTGTTGACTACTGCAAAGTAAGAATATTTCATCTTGTAATATTGTTATCTACCCCCGTATTCAGATGTTTTTTATAATCAAACGGTTTTGAAACCAATGATTATACATATATTTCCGATTTTAAACAAGGAAACGTTGCTTATTTGAATATTAAACACGATGAGAGTGAAGTTAATTTTTTTTGTCATTCTTATGCCATTTAGAACGCTTTAAAATCATCTAGAACTGTCTAGAACTATTCAGAACTCTCCAGAACTCTCCAGAATCATTTAGAACACTCATGAACAATTTAGAACGCATCAGAATCATTCAAAACTGTCTAAAACCATTTAGAACGCTCCAGAACCATTTAAAACTATTTAGAATATTGATTCTGATGCCTGAATTGGAAGAAGAATAATCACAAAAACTAACACCATTACCTCATTTTCATCTTGTTTCAAAATAGCAACGTTGCCATGTTTAAAATTCGGAAATATATAATCGTTGGTTACAAAACCATTTGGTTATAAAAATACTTCTGAATACGGGGATAATATCCTAATTTTCGTAGTTTTCCTGACGTAATGATGCCCTCGTACGCGATAACCAAATGGAGCGCTGCTTTCTTCATCTCCTACATTTCCACCGTACTATATGTACTGATGAACTTGGTAAGTTAATAACAAATAATAATTGTGACAATTGTTAATTGGTGCTTTTAAGATGCTTGCCGTAGTGTACGAAACTTTCACTGGATTGGAAAAGGACAAATTTAGGAAGCTCTTGTTGCACAAACGACAAGCCTGCAAATTGGCCTTCAGACTGCTCGTCAGCAAGCAAACGCCAAATCATATCAGATTTAAGCAATTCCACGGTTTAATGCGGTACTATTCACCAAAGACCAGTAGGTTACTTAACTAATTTTACCGTTAGTTGTTATTTTCCAAGCTGGAATATCTAATGTTAAAACACTATATGCATGTTTTGCAGAACTTAGAGATGTAGTATTGATATTCCGGCAATTGAACAAATCGAATAGCGGCCAGCTGAGCCAAGACGAGTTTCTTAACGTTTACGATAGCCTGACGTTAAGATGGAGGAACAAGACGCCGATAGATCCTTGGTTTTCGGCAGCTTGGCCTCCATTGAGGATGTTCTGCAGGTCCGCTAAAACGGCGGTGACTTGGAGGTTTTTCGAACACATTGTCTGTACGATACAGCTGTATGATTTATGATATTTTTGGTTTAATATTGCCTTATTTCAGACGTTTTGATTATAACGAATGGCATCGCTATGTTTATAAGAGTCGTGCAAACCTCGTCGAGTTTAGTAGAAGGAGCTAGATTGTTTTGCGCGTCTTGGGATACTTATCTCTTCTTGTTTTGTGAGTAAATTCGTATCTTCTTGTCGCATTTTATTGACGAATGTTGTGTTTGTTTGCAGTGTTTTTGTTGGAAGCTGTGCTAAAAATTATTGGACTGGGTTGGGCGGAGTATACGTCTTCCGGATGGAATTTGTTCGATTTATCAGTTACTCTTATGGCGTTGTTCGGGGCGTTTTTATTAACAATGATGCCTAATTTGACCATTGTTGTTATATTAAGACCGCTTAGGTAAAGTTATTAATCACCTACAAATATGGAAATTGATTATTAGGCCGTATTTATTAAAAGAAACAACCTTTTGCTTTCAAAAAATGAAGGAATTGTTTCAAGGTATTTAAAGCAAAAGGTTTTATATGCTTTCCGTATTTATAAAAAAATACGGAAATTTGCTTAAAAATAAAAGGATTCGCACAGTTTGTAACGTAAAATTTTGTGTATTTTTGATTGTAGAATCCATTTAGAATCATTTACAACTGTCTATATCAATCCAGAACACCCCAGAATCATTTACAACTGTCTAGATCAATCCAGAACACTCCAGAATCATTTAGAACCATATAGGACGCTCCAGAATCCTTTAGAACTGCCTAGTATTATTTAGAACTGCCTCGTGTAATTTAGAACTGTCTAGATCAATCTAGAACTCTCCAGAATCATTTAGAACGCTCCAGAATCGCCTAGAACTGGCTAGAGCAATTTAGAATACTCCAGAGTCATTTAGAACTGTCTAGAACCATTCAGAATGTTCCAGAAGCATCTAGAACTGTCTAGAATTATTTAGAATTGGCTAGATCAAACTAAATCGCTCCAGAATCCTACCTTTCGCTATCTTTTACTTTAGTAAATGCTTCATTTTTATAAATATGGACTATTAAATCATTTTTTGAACACTTTCAGATTATTGAGATTGTTCAAAATCAAAAAACGATACAGAGATATTTTCGGAACGTTGGTGCTACTCAGTCCTCTGATGTGGTCCACGGGCATCGTAATGATGGTGATGTATTATTTCTTCGCGATCATCGGCATGGAATTGTTTTCACCATACAATCTGAAGAATTGCTGCGTGTAAGTTTTTTCAATGTTCACGCCTTACGTTTGCATTATTCGAGCAATTTTTTTTATTTTTAGCAATACAACCGTCGAGGACTTCTACAAATCTAACGGAACCTCCAGCGGCATAGGATACTACTATCTGAACAATTTCTCCAATTTACTGATATCAGGCGTGACGCTTTTCGAATTGACCGTGGTGAACAATTGGTTTATCGTAATGGACGCCTACGCTTCGGTTGCTAACAAGTACTCCAGATTGTACTTTATGCTCTTCTATCTGTTTACGATGGTCGTTTTAACCATAGTGGTGGCCTCGGTATTGGAAGCGTTCCGGTTCAGAATCCAATACAAACAACAGACATCAAAAAAAGACGGTAAAAAGAAAACCAATTACCAATTATCGTGGACTAAACAAGGTTGGCTCAATTGGACTATGTTTTAATGACGTCATAATAAGTTTACACAGATTTATATGAGATTGAGCAATCCTTGTTAGTCCTACCACTCCCCAGTTATGATAGATTAAACAAGATTGGCTCAATTGAACTGTCTTTTACTGACGTCATAAATAAGTTTACAGAGGTTTATACGAGATTGAGCAATCCTTGTTAGTCTATGCACAACCTTCACATATTTAAACCTTTACATATATTCCAGAGGAACTCATGCTTCACGAGGAAGTCATTGTGGATTGGGTATCTCTGCAATCTCAAATTCACGAAGTCCGTTTACTGGAAACGCTTCAAACCGATTTCATTGTCGGGGTAAACAGTATAAATTTGCACTCGAATTTATTTTATTACATGTGTTTTGTTTAGGGAGTGGTGGCTTATGTGGGACGACGAAGGAGGACGAGGGAAGTTTTGCAACACCACATGTACGCTACTGAAATAAAACAGTGGCTGGACGAGGCGGAACAAGCGGAAGGGGAAGATATCAATTTGATCATAGAAGAGGCGCAGATCAATGCGAGATTAATAGCGGCTTAGGTGCTTAGGTTTTATGATTTTATGACTGTGAAGATGACCCAAAATTTCATATCTGCATATTTACTAACAGTAACTAATATTAAGGTTATAATTTTAATGCAAATGTGGCACAATATGGTAGGAAACTCTACGAACCTTGCACATAATTAGAGTTGTTATTGTGGATATTTTTTTAAAATTAGGTAAGATTGACTACAATAATATCAATCTATAAAACGTAGTTTTAAAAAACTATATACTTATATTATTGTATAGAAATATTGGATATTCTAAATGAACAAAAAAAGCTATATCTTTACAATATTAAAAGTAATCATTAAGTACCTATACACAAATTATCGTAAGTCTGTTTTAAAAGCATTTTTTATATTTATTCGTTATGTATTATTGATGTGTAGAAAAAGTGTGTATAACAGATTTTTAAATCGCAGATATTACTATAATAGTTTAAATGACCCAATAGTGATTTATTTTTTTAGTGGATGTTGTGATATTTCAATCTCGTGTATTTCAATACTAGTCTATAGAATTTAGGTACAATAATGAGCTTATTTATGCTTTTTACATAACAGTATTGATATTTTTAATTTTTCAAATTTACCTCAAACATATGTCTCAAAAAATATATCGTTTATATAACTGTAAGAAATGTAATATGTATTGGAATTTTTTGGGAATTATTTTTGAAACATACTGCTTATTATATGAAAATACTCATTTAATTTACAGAATTTGTATAACACAAATAACAAGCTATATGATTGTAACTTACATTAATTTTTTTATAACATGCGACTTTTATTTATTAAAATTGCTGGTTAATATAATTATTTTTCATTATTTTTCGATTTAATTTATAAGTTGAGATGAGAAATTAAACTGTTATTCCTGCATGGGTAGAGACCAAAGAATGATGCAACGAAGAAGAGTTTAACTTTGACAGATGACGTTTTCCATTGTTGAAGTGGGGGTCCACAGAAACTTTACTTTCGTTTTCGTTCGTCTTTCGACTCGTATTCGTACTTAAGGTTTATTGGGTTTATTGCAAGTATTCAAGTGGCTTCGTTGCTTTTGCTGTGTCCTATTGGTATATTGTCTATGGTCCTAGTCCTATTAGTCTGAAAATAAACTAATTACCATTGATCAACAAACCAAGCGATAACAATTTCTTTAGATTTCTTTTGATGTCATTGAAAAAGTCATCCTGTGTTGTTGCTGATAATTCACCGGTTTAATTAGAGTAAGTAAAAACAATTCATATCATAAAAGTTTTTAATATGAAAAATAGTATTTTAATAAAATTAACCTGTCGTTTTTAATTTACATATACACATGTGTATATTAAAAATTAAAATGCATATTGTGCATGTGAACATCAGAACATTAATATGTTTTACTAAAAAGTAAACATTTAAAAAATTTAGAAACTGCAGGGATTTTAAGGCAAGTATTGAAAAAGGCAATAATATATTAATTAGAGAAAAATTTCCGTATAAATATAGGAGTGTATCTATCATATAATGTAGAATAAAATCCGGTTTGTGAAAAATACCCAGATGTTTTTACAACCGCCATTTATAAAAGACTGTATTCTTTTTAAACGTTAAATACGTGTTTTTATCTGTACATTTTTATATTTTTATTATCGAGTATAATAAATAACAATGGACGTTGTTTACATTAAAGATAGAGACTCTCTAAATACGTGTTTAAAGTTAAAGAGGGTCGCTGAATACGTGCCAAATCCTCTACAATATTGCCTCTTATAAAACACCTACTAAATGATAGAACATTAATAACTAATAACAAAACTTCCTCATTCAGGTCTTCCTTCAAGCAGCGGAAATGGACCCCTACAATTACTTTGACAGAGAATTTCGGGCCCTCGACCACATGATGCAACAGTTCAACGATGCCCACTTTCTTCCTTGCGACTACTGCGATGATAGTTTTCCTTCCCAAGAAGACTTGGATGAGCACGACATGAACGCGCATTTAATTATTGTATGCGATCATTGCGATAAGCGGTTTAGAGCCTACGATCATATGTATCAGCATAGGGATGATAAACATTATTTTCCTTGCAATTACTGCGATTATTACTTTTCTTTAGAAGAAGACTTGGATGAGCACGAGAAGAACGCGCATTTACCTGTTAAATGTGATCATTGCGATAGGCGATTTAAAGCCTCATATGATATGTGTCAACATAAGGATGATAAGCATTATTTTCCTTGCAATTACTGCGATGAGTACTTTATTGTACAAGAAGACTTGGATAAGCATGACAGGGAGAAGCATTTAACTGTTAAATGCAATCATTGTGATAAGCTGTTTAGAGCTTACAATGATATGTGTCAACATAAGGATGATAAGCATTATTTTCCTTGCAATTACTGCGATGAGTACTTTATTGTACAAGAAGACTTGGATAAGCATGACAGGGAGAAGCATTTAATTTTTAAATGCGATCATTGCGATAAGCTATTTAGAGCCTACAATAACATGTGTCAACATAAGGATGATAAACATTATTTTCCTTGTAATTACTGCGATGTTTACTTTACTTTAGAAGAAGATTTGGATGAGCACGACAGGAACAAACATTTAACTTTTAAATGCGACTATTGCGATAAGCTGTTTAGAGCCCACGCTCATAAGTGTCAACATATAAGCGACAAACATGAAAATGTTGATTATTTCCCATGCCAATATTGCTCAGAAACATACCGTGATGAGTCGATGAGACGGGGACACTACCGTAACTTCCACAGAATAGCCCTTTAATCGTTCAATGCTTAAGTACTTACCATTTGAACAATTACTGTTTTTTTCTATCCACTCCAATTAAAATGTAACTAAACGTTTGTTCTAAGTTCTGTTTGGATAAAAATAAAAATGTTCGAATTACTTAAGTTTGAATTATTTACCGATAAATGTTACTAATCTGCATATTTGGATACCACGTCCTTTTGTTTTTTGTGTACTCTAATTAAAATGTAACTAAACGTTTGTTCTAAATTCTGTTCTAAAGTTTGTTCTATGTTCTGGATAAAAATAAAAATGTTCGAATTACTTAATTTTGAATTACTCACCGATAAATGTTACTACTCGGCATGTTTCCCTAAGTCTATAGAATTAAGGTACATTAATGAGCTTATTTATACTTTTTACATAACAGTGTGTTGATATTTTTAATTTTTCAAATTTACCTCAAACATATGTTTCAAAAAATATCATTTATATAACTAAGAAATATAAGAATAAATAAGAAATATAACAAGTATTGCAATTTTTGGGGAATTCTTTTTAAAAGATACTATATTAGGTACTTATTATATTTTAAAATACTCATATTTAATTTACAGTTTTTGTATAATTTAAATAACATGCTACATGTATTTTAAATTACATTAATTTGTTATAACATGCGACATTTAAAAAATTGCTTACATTGCTAAAAATTAAAACAAGAATTTGAACTGTTGATCCTGCATGGGTGGAGACCAAAAATTGATGGAAGGAAGCAGAGTTTGACTTTGAAAGATGTTGTTTCATTGTTGAAGTGGGGGTTCACAGAAACTTTACTTTTGCACATTTATTGGCTTCAATTGTTGTGTCCTATTAGTCTAAAAATAAATGAGCATTTATCATTCATCAACAAACCAACCGATAACAATTTCCATATAGATTTCGTTAGATGACACCTATTTATAAAGTCATCCTGTGCTGTTGCTGATTATTCAATGGTTTAATTAGGAGTAAGTAAATTAACAATTCGTATCATAAAAAATTTTAACATGAAAAATATGATTTTAATAAAATTAATCTGTCGTTTTCAGTTTACGTATACACTCATGTTTATATTAAAATGCATTTTGTGCAATTGAACGTGAACATCAAATTTGACCTTGGCGTATTTTGATACGCGTAAGCAAAAATATTTTATCGAGCCGATAGATGTTTTACTAAATAATGAACATTTTAAAAATTTAGAAACTACAGGTATTTCAAGGCGAGTATTGAAAAAGGCAATATTGTCTTAAATCGATAAAAATTTCCTATTCACAGTATTTAGCGCTCCTTTTAAAAGTTAAAGACGTGTCTGACTTGACATTTTTATATTGTTACTATGGAGTAACTAAGAACGTTGAGATTAACGTTAAAAAAGACTATTATTATTATGATTATTACGTGTTTAAGGCTAAAGAGGGTCACTTAATACGTGCCAAATCCTCTACAATATTGCCTCTTGCTTAAGAAACACCTATAAATGATAGATTATTAATAACTAATAATAACACTTCCTCGTTCAGGTTTTCAATCAATCAGCAGAAATGGTACCCTGCAATTACTGTTACAGAGAATTTCGGGCCTACAACCACATGATGCAACATTGCAATGCTGTCCACTATTTTCCTTGCAATTACTGCGATGATATTTTTGCTTCCCAAGAAGATTTGGATGAGCATGACATGGAGGAGCATTTAACTATTGAATGCGATTATTGTGATAAGCTGTTTAGAACCACCAATGCTATGAATCAACATGAGGTTGCTAAACATCATTTTCCTTGCAATTACTGCGATGATATTTTTGCTTCCCAAGAAGATTTGGATGAGCATGACATGGAGGAGCATTTAACTATTGAATGCGATTATTGTGATAAGCTGTTTAGAACCACCAATGCTATGAATCAACATGAGGTTGCTAAACATCATTTTCCTTGCAATTACTGCGATGATATTTTTGCTTCCCAAGAAGATTTGGATGAGCATGACATGGAGGAGCACTTAACTATTGAATGCGATTATTGCGATAGGCTGTTTAGAGCCCACGCTCATATGTATCAACATAAGAGGGACAAACATGAAGATGTTGATTATTTCCCATGCCAATATTGCTCAGAAACATACCGTGATGAGTCGATGAGACAGGGACACTACCGTAACTTCCACAGAATAGCCCTTTAATCGTTCAATGCTTAAGTACTTACCATTCGAACAATTACTGTTTTTTTGTATCCACTCCAATTAAAATGTAACTAAACGTTTGTTCTAAGTTCTGTTTGGATAAAAATAAAAATGTTCGAATTACTTAAGTTTGAATTATTTACCGATAAATGTTACTAATCTGCATGCTTCGATACCACGTCCTTTTGTTTTTTGTGTACTCTAATTAAAATGTGACTAAACGTTTGTTCTAAATTCTGTTCTATGTTTGTTCTAAAGTTTGTTCTATGTTCTGGATAAAAATAAAAATGTTCGAATTACTTAATTTTGAATTACTCACGGATAAATGTTACTACTCGGCATCCTTCCCTAAGTCTATAGAATTTAGGTACATTAATGAGCTTATTTATACTTTTTACATAACAGTGTGTTGATATTTTTAATTTTTAAATTTACCTCAAACATGTTTCAAAAAAATATCATTTATATAACTAAGAAATATAAGAATACATAAGATATATAACAAGTATTGCAATTTTTGGGGAATTCTTATTAAAAGATACTATATTAGGTACTTATTATATTTTAAAATACTCATATTTAATTTACAGTTTTTGTATAATTTAAATAACATGCTACATGTATTGTAAATTACATTAATTTCTCTAATAATCGTTCAATGTTTATGTACTTAATATTCGAACAATAATTGTTTTTTTTTGTATCTACTCTAATTAAAATGTAACTAAGCGTTTGTTCTAAGTTCTGTTTGGATAAAGATAAAGATGTTCGAATTACTTAATTTTGAATTACTCACCGATAAATGTAACTACTCGGCATGCTTCGATACCACGTCCTCTATCCATTCCTTGTAGTTTCCTACCTTAACGTACACACCTGGTTTATTGGCGTAGCCGCAATGCTGTCCCCAGGACGTTATGCCGTACAATGTGAAAACTCCTGCAAAAACCAACGAATTAAATTAAAGTTGCGATGAAAATATCGAAGGTTACCTTGATCCAGGCAAGCCAAAGGCCCGCCACTATCACCATCGCAGGCGTCCAGACCGCCTTCCATTGATCCAGCGCAAATCATGTTGTCGGTGACGGCCTCGCCGTAGACGTGCGGCATCTTGCAGATATCCTGTGATTGTACAGGTATCCATGCTGCTAGTAAGTTGCGAGAGTAAGCTGAAACGTGGGATTATAAAACTGGTAATTGAAGTACCGCAATGAGTACCTGAAACGCCACTTTTAACCGAACCGAATCCGGATATCGTGCAGTTCAAATCCCTGTTGTAGTTGGTGCTGGAATCAGCCAAGCATATCGGTTGGATGTGGTCGTTCAGTTCGAAACCGCTGCCCTTGACTTTGATCAGAGCGATGTCGTTGTTTAGCTTGTGGCCTTTCCGGAATTTTTCGTGTATGAAGAATTCGTCGATGTATTTTTGTTGTTCCGTGCCTTCGGTTTCTTCGGTGTTGTAGTCACCAGCTACTATTACGTAAGCGCCTTTGGTGTAGCCTTGCAGGCAATGGGCTGCCGTTAGTACCCATTTGCTGGATATTATAATGGCCCCGCACCAATGCGCAGATTTTTCTTTGACTTTCACTTTTAAAGCGGCCTATAAAATTAAATTCTTACTCGAAACTTCGAAACGTACGGAATGGGAATGTTACCTGCCAAGGGTAGTCTCCCTTTTTGGCTACACCGCCGCCGATTACCCTGGCCTGGATAGCATCGTGTATGGCGAACTGGTTGTCTTTCCTGTAACCGCAGTTCTCGGGTAGACCCGATTCGATTCGAATAGGAAGATTGGAGTGTCTTTCGATTTTGATATCCTGAAGATCGTTGGAGCATATTACACCGACGTCTTCGCTGTGTTCGCAGTTGTTCTCGCCCCAATTCCAATGCGTGCACTCTTGTAATCCGGTTTCGTTGCCGAAACACGAGACTTGATCCATCCAAATCGGACCGGTTCCTGCGATTAATTATTATATTGTTTTTTTTAATTAATGGAAGGGTTTTCGAAGAGTTACCCGCTCCGAAGTAAGCTTCTTTTTTCACCGCCACGATGCCTTTATAGCCCAAATTCTTGCACACGACTTTGGCTGCATCGTCGTTGAAATCGTCGTCGCAAACGGTGCCCCAGATGCCATTGTATTTGATTTCTACTCGACCACTTAAGTAATCTTTACCACCTACTAAACGAAGCTCCGTTGGTCCCTAGGAAAAACAAATTTAATTATTCTAATTGTAAGAACCCTTAGAAATTAAATTAACTTACATCGCAATGTTCGGTTTTTTCATCGGAATTATCAAGGCAATCCTCCACACCGTCGCAAACGAATTCGAACGGGATGCATTCGTTGCCCGAATCGCATTTCCACGAATCGTTGCTGCATTTCTCTTGAGGTGTTTTGCAAACAACTCCAGCTATTTCTTGGTCTCTGCAATTATGCACGCCCCATCCAGGGAACTCACAATCTGGAAAACGCAGAAGATATCGTAGCACATGCAGAAAAAATTAAAGGACCTAAAGTAAACCTACCTATGATTGAAGATTCGTTTCCTCTACAATTAAGGTCGTCTATCATATAAAGAGTGCTGCTTTCGTGCAGATCTTTGGCAAATTGAGATTGGCCTTTTATTTCTGCAGCTCCTAATTCGAATCCCAGTTCAATGCATATCACGTTCGCATCCTGTATTCCGAACCCGTCGTCGCAAATGTAGCCGGTACTACCGAATGCTGAAAGGCGCAAGGAAGAATTCCATTTTTAAACACGTTTGATTAGTACCTATAGCACAGGTTTACTGAGAGTTGAAGTATTCTTGATAACCATCATTTACCTGTAACTTCCACTCTTCCTTCATGCTTCTGCTGCGAGCCGGCCAATGCGATTTTGTAGCCGAACTTGTCCGGACTGCAATGCTTCTCGTCTTCCCTGTTCCCGCAATCGTCGTACCCGTCGCACAAGTAATCTTTAGTCAGGCACTTTTTGTTGGAGCACTCGAAATATTTCGACTTATCCGAACAGTCCACGCTGCCGTCTTTCAGTTCGTAGTAATCGCTGGAATTGTGCGATTGCAGCGCGCCCGACAAACCGATGTTTTTATCGGACAAGTAACAGGTGCTGCTTCGTTTGTCGTAAGTGAACGATCTGCAGGTGAATTTGGTGTTTTGGATGCACAGCAAAGAACAAGTGGAATGCGTCACGTTCAGCCATCTTTGGTTTTCCACTACCACTAATTTGGAGTTTTTGGTGACCGAGAATCGGCGAGTGTATTCCTGGCAATTCAATTCGTCTTTACCATCGACGCAATCCTACATAAAGTTTTTGTTTAAGAATTATGTACGATGCTCTAAGGTTTACCGACTTACTCTCACTCCATTACAAACCATGGTTAACGATATGCACAACTTTGGAGTGCATCTAAAATCGGAGTCTTCGCAATTGGTACTTCTCTTCTGTTGGGCCACAAAGATGTTATCGGCTTCTAATGTAACGGGAGTACCGTCATCGTAAGTGAAAACGTAGTCAACTTGACCGATATCGTTGTCGTTTACTTGATACGGTGGTGGCCAAGAACTCCTAGCTGTAGTTGCGTGTCCTTTAACATCATTGGGGTTATAAATGTCATCATAGTCGAGTGGTCTTTGAGAGGGTCTACTAACAAATCCTGCAAAATTGATATGCTATTTTAATTCAATGGCTCGATATTCGCTGTATTTGAACATACCTGTTGTACTTTCGGTTACAGGATACTGTTTGTCCCAGTTATCATCGGTTTGCTGGCCCCAGTCATTATCGATTTGCTGGCCCCAGTTGTTGCTTGAATGCCCTCTATTGTTCGTTTGTTGATTGGAATGTTGTCCCCAATTAGAACGTTCTGTACTTGTAGGAGTTACTGGGGAACCTCTGTGATTATCGACAGTATTATGGTTCCAATTGTTCGTGGATTGGTCCCAGTTAGCACCTGAATGTTCCCATTTATTCGTTTGTTGTCCCCAATGCGAACGTTCTGTACTTGTAGTAGTAGCTGGATAAACTTTGATGTTAGTGTTTTGACCCCAGTTGTTCTGTTGATGTCCACTCCAGCTTCCTTGGGATTGCTGATCGACGGATTGACCCCAATTGCTGGACTGCTGATTTGTTGATTCATCGGTTTGTCCAGCGGTAGTTTCGCATTGGACGTTGTAGGGAAAATCGCACATTCCGGTTTTCGCGTTGAACAGAGTTCCCGGTGCGCAGTCCATAACGAAAGTTTGTCCGCTGCCGCATTGCAAGAACTTTTTGCAGTCGGTTGGATGTTTGTGCATGCCGACTAACCCGTGCGGACAAACAGGTTGGGTATTTGTTACCTAAAAAATCATATTTTTGTTCGAATTGCGTTCTAAAGCAGCTGACTTACTTGTTGGGTTGTTATAACTGATGGTTGTTGCCTGCAGCTATTATCATTCAAATTGCAAATTTTGTGGTAATTGGGTTGTGATTGCCCGTTATTCCTGTTGTGGTCATTTCTTCCAGTTTGTTGGTTGCTCCAATTCTCATTTTGGTTGTAATTTTGTTGACCGTTATTCTGGTTATGTACATATCCATGGTGTTGGTTATTTACTGCATTAGTTCGCTTGCAGTTTTGGTTATTGCTTGGATCACAATAAGTTGTTTTGATATTTACATTCCTGTCTTCGTAATCGATTGTCTGCTGTTGCCCTACGTTTTCTTCTTCGACAGTGGTTTGACCTTGCGCACAATTTCCATTTGAAGTGCATCGTTGAGTGTATATTAAATTCGGTTTTAAATTGTTAGCGCAATTTTGCGTTCGAGGATTGCAACCTCCCTGGTTGGTCAAATCGTTGGTGTTGACGATGCCTTGGTCACTGCAATGTTCCGTTAATGGATTGCATTTTTGGAGGTAATTATAATTGTAATTGTAGTTTGTTCCGGATTGTTCGTAAGTGTTTTGATTGTAACCGTTCACACCTTGCTTGCAATTTTGAACAGCAGGATTACAGCGATGTTGATCATTTATTTGGTGAGTGTTTGTGGAGTATCCATCTTGAAAATTCGTTGTGATTTGTTGATAATTGCTTCCTGTATTTGTTTGCGCGCAATTACGAGTTTGATGATTGCAAGGTGTTTGAATATTATAGCCATCATAATTCTGTATAAATCAGTTAAATATTGATAAAATACACCAGATTTTGTACAAAATACTTACATTAACATAGTGCGGATTGGGATTCGGTTGGGCCCGTATGTCTATAACATTCTGCCCATTAAAACAGGTGCATTTGTCCGGATAATCGCACATATTTTTATTCATATCGAACAATGTGCCCGGAGCGCAGTCCATCTTGTTCGGTTTGCCGTTATCGCAATTTATGAATTTGGAGCAATCGAAATAATCCGGAATAATGCCGGAGAAACCCTCCGGGCAAGAGGCTTGATCTATCGATTTGACGACTCTTAAATTCTGTAAAACGTTCGAAGTCGGTCCTAAAATTTAGTTACCTCGATGTAATGTTGTTACAACTACAATTTATAGGTTCATTCACCTGTGACGCATTCGACTTTGTCTGGAAAATCGCATTCTAATGTTTTGGGATTAAACAAAGTGCCGGGAGCGCAATTCTGGATGGTGCCCCTGCCCTTCCAACAGTTCAAAAATTGGTTGCAAGATAGCGAGTAGATGAATTGTCCCGTCGCGCCTGTCGGGCATTTCTCGTAAATTTCCAGAGTTTTCGTCTCGATTTTTCGTTTTATAATCGTCCTGTTCGGTTTGTTCGTTGAAAATCCTCGCGATGCATTAATTACTAAATAAAAAATATACCAAGTGATAAATTGAGACTCTTTAAAAGATCTACCATTTCACCACTTTAGTGAACTTGTAGTAACAAGGAAAACTAATCAAACAAGACATATTTCGTCATAATTAAATTATTTTTACCTTGAATACTTAGATAGAGAGCTTTGAATTGAATTTGGATGATTAATCAAAATAGTATAATCGACTAAAAAAAATAATTTCTACCTTTGTGAGACCTAGTTTGCAGGATGTTGTCGCCCTGTTGAGGCCTCTGGCCGTAACTATGAGCATTGTAAATAGGAAAAACGTTCTGCACTTTCTGTTCGTGCGTTACAACATACCGTGCACCCGAAGAATCGGGCCGATTGTGTACAATTACTTTACTGTAATTTTGAAGGGTTTTAGGGCTCGATGGCTTCCTGTATGTCGTTTTTATTCCTGCTGTATACGCAGGCTTGGGTACTTCTTCCGTCGGTATGTAAATCTACGGTACTGACAATAATGAAACAGTAACTATTATAAAGTAGGAACTTACCCCTAAACATAATTGAAGTAATTGGAGTGTTAAAATTAATAGAACTATTTTAGTACGCATCGTTTACACAACTAAGCGGGTTATTAGTTGTGTAAAAGGCTTGTTATCTTATATCTAAATAGGGTATGAAGGGGTCAAAGGAATAAATTGGTCAGAATGCGATTAGGAGATATTTTTTTCTCGTCGCACAAACAGAGTTGTGGAGAAATAATTTTTTTCTCCTAATTGTTTATTCCTCATTGATTTCGCGGAATTAGTTTCTGTTTGTTAAGCATGTATCTTGATAAATTGGTAACAAACGCGACAAATTCATTAAAAAAATGGCATTAAAAAAATAAAATATAAAAAAGAAGTGCCAATTTAAGGCGAATGTCTCTTTAATTTGTCTCTCTATTACAACGGTTTACAAACCTGTCTGTCACCATCGCAAAAAATGACAATTCACAAATAAAAATTCATTCAATCCTCTTTAAGCGGGCGCTAATTTAAAAATTTTCAGTTGATTATGAAATGATATCGGAACCATGGTTTTCCTAGGAATTAACGGTTTCGGCCGAATCGGCCGCATGATCCTCAAGCTGGCGATCGAAAGGGACATGGAGGTCAGGGCCATCAACGAGCCCAACACCTGCGATACGGCCTTCTTGGCCTACATATTCAAACACGACTCCACCCACGGCCGATTCTTCGGAAAAGCCGTCCCGGAAGGGGACTGCTTGAACATTAACGGCATGAAAATCAGAGTATACAGAGAACGCGATCCTTCCAAGGTAATTCGTCTCAATAATCGTTAACTGAGATAACTAAGAAATAAGCTTGTGATGCAAACAAATTCACGCTAATCACCAGTATGTGAAGTTGTATATGATTTAATTAAGTAATAAGGTTCAATAGTATATTTCAGTGAATATTTTAGCATTGTGAGGTTGGTTTAATAGAAGTATATTAACGATGAAATTTCAGGTGCCGTGGCTAAATACTTCAGTCGATTACGTTGTGGATAGTTCTGGGAAGTTTACTTGTCGAAACGAAGCCAACAAACTCCTTTGTGGCGGTGCTAAAAAGGCGGTCGTTTGCGGCCTGAGCGACGACATACCCATGTACCTTTGCGGGATAAATTTGAAGAAATACAAGTCATCAGAAAAGGTGAATTTCACTGAATCCGCACCTTGTTATCGACAAAAAAACCCCATTGTTTTGCAGATAGTCTCGTTGGGCGCTTGCTGCACCAATTGCCTGGCGCCCATAGCGAAGGTACTGAATGATAAGTTCGGCATCGCATCGGCACTGGTGACGTCTTTGCATTCGGTTACTCACGGCCAGCAGGTCTTGGACGCGGTAGGAAAGCAGTACCGCCTGTCCAGAGGCGCCTTCCAGAACATCATACCCACCGCGCCGAAGGCCTTCGACGCCGTCACCAAAGTCATACCGGCATTGAAGAAGAAAATCCTGGGCATCCAGTACAGAGTGCCGACGCCCAACGTTTCGGTCATGTCAATCTCGGTGCAACTGAAGAAATGCACCAGCTACAAGCAGGTGAAGTGCGTCATACGCGAGGCGGCCGAGAACGATTTCAAGGGCGTTTTGGGCTACACGGAGGAGCAGGCGGTGTCGACGGATTTCCTGGGCAGCACCTGCTCGTCGGTGTTCGACGCCTCTGCGGGGCAAATGCTCAATCCGAAAACGTACCATTTGGTATCTTGGTACGACAACGAGGTGGGTTACTCTTCGAGAGTTTTGGACACGGTCAAACACATGGAGGAGCAGGACATCATAGCCAGAGAGATGGCGATGTTGAAGCAGAGGAGAAAGAAGCAGAAATGCTAGAGCGAAAGTTCTTTGGAGAAGTGTCCTTTTCAATTCAATATTTCTTTAAATATCTCCTAACAAGATCACTTGTTAATTGTAAATTAATTGAAAATTGTTTAAGAAAGAAACATTATTAACGTATTCACCTCCCCTGTAAGTCTTATCACACCTTTTGTAATATTCATTTAAGTCGTATTATTCGTTGAAGGCTTTCAAACGTTTGTAATATAGTGGAGAAAGATTAAAAAATATTGGATTGAAAGTAACATCTTCATCTACTACAACATAAGATACTCTATAAAATGTTCTCATTATACGTATTTACTTTATAAAAATGTGTACTATTTTATTTGTCCGAGTATTTGATAACGAGCACTTGCAGTAGACTGCTATAACTAACTCCAAGTAAAAATAATAGATAGTTTGTAAAGTCTCTATTGATGTTGGTATTCGTTGGCCTTCATTATTTTAATGCTAAATAAAGCAACAAGTGATAAACCTTACTAGCAATTCTCGAATACAAATTAATCAGAATTCTAGTACGAATGGAGCTTCAAATTATTGGAAAAATTTCCCGATGTGATTCTATTATTATGGAAAAATTCCGAGAATTGTAAAACGATTAATTTCAAATAGGTACACGACGTAATATAAACCGGAGACGTCAGATAAACCAACGTCAATTATGAGCCTACTTTTTTTTTAACATAAACCAAACCGCTAAATACGCTTTTAGGGTTTTTTTTCTTTCTAATATTCAAAAGACCTCCATTGTTTGGATACTTTTTTTTCGCATTTTGATGCCAGAAATCGAAAACAAAAGCTACATTGTTACAAGACAGGATACGTTTTTTATACCATTCGAAAAATACGACAAACGTGACGGTATAAGCTCAATTTTTACAAAACTTTGCATACGAAATAGCCAAAGACAATAATTTATAGTTCGTTAACTAGATTATCGAATGTATTAAATAACTGAAAATTTATGGCAATTTCCAAACAAAGTCAATGAGAAACATATACCGGTTTACTCGTTTCAAATTACTATTATAAACCAATCAATGTCATTAATATTTATTATGTTATCATTGTAGTTCAATTTGCAAGAAGTTGACTATTCGTTTGAATGCAAGGAAATGACAATTGACATTTTTAGCGTCACGATAACAATGTGTGGTGAATGGATATTGCATTAATATACCTGGTGTAGGTTTTGCAAGTGGTCAGTCGAGCGCGCTGTCGCATCGCATCGATTCGAAAACCTCTTGCGGTGGAAGCCCAATCGTGCGATCCAGATTAATGGTAGGACAACGACACAGCGGGAGGATTTAAAATCGCTTTCCGACATTTCGGTGATTTAGTTTTGATCGGTACTTCCTGGTGGGAAAGCCACAAATCACCAAGCTGATAGATATTTGCTTAACATTCGGCGATTATTTTTTGTGAACCAACATGACTATATCAGGTAAATTTTAATTTCAATTTAGTGGGTATTTTTGGTTATTCAAAAAATATTTGGTTGTTTTTGGCAAATACTTAAATTTAAACAGTTTTTATTGATACTTTTTTTTAATTAACAACAATTTAACTCATCCTAAATGAGTATAAAATAACATTGGTAATTCCTTAAAAATTTTAAAAGTGCACTTAAATAATAATTGTTTACCGGAATCGAATCGTTGAACTTTTAATAATGGTGTCAAAGAAAATCAATTGTCGGCTATTATTTTATTTTTGTTTTTTTACAAACATAAATAAGTTGTTGCAAAAATCATTATGCAAATTATAAAATAATGTGCCGGCAATAAAAACCGCTTATTAATAGTATTGCAAAAATGCCATTAGCAGCATTGACAATTATAATTTAACTTTATATATTTTACTTGTACAACCCCGCAGAATAAATCCTTTAAAATTTCCAAACCTTTAAAAAATTCTCGTTTCAAGACGATAATGCCAATAACTTAAGCATTAATTTGCATTCAACGCTCATTCTCGTGGACAGCCCAAGATTGGTCATACCACGTAATAGAGGCATAGTAAAAGTAAAATAAAAATTATGTTTTCCCACAAGACAATGCTTCTTGAATAAATGCATTATTTCTTACGTATTTCAATAAAACTGATAGAATATTGTAATTTTATTTCCAACTAACAACGAAACTTTGTTATCCGCGAATTGTTCTTAAAAGCATTAACAAATTGTTTTTATATAACGCTTAAATTGTAGGTATAATATATTCGGTTCCTAAAAAAAACACGAAAAAACCGTAAATTTAGATTTTATTGATTAATTGCAATGACGATCATACTAATTAGAATCCTATATCCATAAAACTATAATTAACTGTCGATGTATCTTACCTACTAATGGAATCTCTACACGGGCTCAGGCATTTTTTATACCTTACATATTGAACAGCTTTGATGGATGTTATTTTTTATTCTTTGTATATTTTGTAGTAAGTATATAAATAGGCATACAAGATAGGCTAAGAGTACTTTTTGGTCTTGAACGAGCATAACTGTACATAGTTAATGTCATTCAACCCGCCTGAGGGTTTTGCCAAATATTCGTGACTGTTATTAATGGGCAAATTTTCCGCGACTGACCCAAGGTCCTATTTACTCGCACCGCTCGCATGGGAAAAAACGGTATTATAAAATTGCCTAGCTTCATTTAATTTATAATCCTACGGTATAAAAAAAAATGTTTTCATCGGCTTAGAGGTCAATGCCGTGCATCTATCTAAAAGCTGTCGGTTGAATTTCAACTGCAATTAATGAAATTGTACGCTTCACAATAGATGATTTTTTTACTCGTAATGATTTTTACAAGGAATAACACGTGGATAAGTATTTGTAAAGAATTCAGGTAACAAAATCACTCAGGTTAAATCTATTAAATTACTCGTACTCGTATTGGAGAACTCATTAATTATATGTCAAAATTTAAGAAGTAACATGCAAAAAATTAATTAAAATAATTGGGAAATATGACGGGGATTTTTGGATTCAGTGCGACATAAATTCCTCCTGCATTTAAAATAATACCCCAATCAACCACTTACTTAATATTATGAATAAAGGAATTAATCCCTTTTTTACCCAAATAGCTAATTTACGTTGATTAATGGATTCTAGTCGATCTCGATTATATCAGCATTCTCCTAGCCAATAAACGGTTGTAAACGGGTCAAGTTTACGACAAAACAATGTTGTAAGTGCAAATCAATGAAACGTTTTTCGGCTTGCATACTAAGAAGTCCATTTACTTACGTAAACACGGCTTGTGGCTTAATTTGTCTATCCAAATTTTTTCTAAGTCAAAGTCGGAATTTGCCTAGATCTAATTTGTGACGATTTTTTTAATTAACGATTATACCGGGTGGAATTTTTGAGCGTCGAAAAATTAATGGTTATTAAGCGCACCTTGTATACTACAATTGGTGCACCCTGTATAATAACTTGTAGAGACTTCATTTTGAAGGAAGAAAGTAGGTAAATTATTTGAACTGAAAACATTAAGAAAAATTTTCCACTTAGAGTCATTAAAGATAGTATAATTGAAGTTTTAATTACATTTTATTTTATCGCCTAATACTCTTAATTAACAATTAACAACAACTTAAAAACACTTCTGTTATTAGAGAGCAATAAAATTAACACAATCTCTACAATTTTCCATTCGAAGCTCATCTATAAAATTAATTAATTTATGTAATATACCTGTTGCTGGATACGCTTCATCGTGCTCCTTCCTGTATTATTTTCACGGCTTAAAAATAATGATAAACAGTTACTTACTTCTGTAAAAGTAACGTTTACCTCAAGGTTAGAAATAGAATTATTGGTTTACGTTTACCAACTTCACCATTATCTCCTAAACGGGGGGGTTAATTAACCAAAACCATAAAAACTACGTGCGATAAATGGAATAATTAATAGGTTCGCGATAAATTTAAACGATACTTTAAATTTCTAACGACATTAGAGTTCATACCTGTCGTTAAATATTAACCGAACATTGCTAAATGCGTACTTAGCCAGAATGGAATTTATCGAAAACGGTATAAGTAAACTACTTCTATGTACTATTTTATATTCCGCACAATTAATAACATGGATCGCCCAATTCCAGATCCTCTATTGTTGGGAGACCACGAGCCCAAGAACCTCGATTCGACGGACCCCGAGAACCTCACGCCCGTCCAGGAGTTCTACCGCGGCGCCAGCGTTCTGATCACCGGCGCGACGGGCTTCCTCGGCAAGATCCTGCTGGAGAAGCTGCTCAGATCCTGCGGCGAGGTCTCCACCGTGTACCTGTTGGTCAGGAACAAGAAGGGCAAAGCCGTCGCGACGCGCGTCGACGAAATCTTCGACGAAGTCGTCTTCGAGCGACTGAAGAAAGAGTGCCCGAAGTTCCGGCACAAGGTCGTCGGAGTGGCCGGCGATTGCTCGCTACCCGATCTGGGGTTATCCTTGGAAGATAGGAAGAGATTGATCGAAAACGTAAGCGTACCTACATCCGTGCTATTCCTATAAATTGTGAGTACTTGGTTTTCCTTAGGTGACCATTGTGTTTCACGTGGCTGCCACGGTACGATTCGATGAGAAATTGAAAACCGCCATAGATATCAACGTCAGAGCTACCCAGGATATGCTACGTCTTGCCAGAGAGATGCCCAAACTCAAGTCTTACATACACGTTTCCACTGCTTACTCTAATTGCGTGGAGCCCGTCATCGAGGAAAGGATTTATCCACCGGCCATGGACTACAAGAAACTGCTGGTTATGAGCGATACTCTTTCGGATAAACTATTAGACAATTTAGTGCCTACGTAAGTACTGCATTTTCCTCTTCTTATTCTCACTATTCACTTCTAATTTTACTCCAACTATTACTGGTAATGTAAACACTTTTAATAAATTGCAGGATTTTAGAAAAGTACCCAAACACGTACGCCTTCACCAAGCAAATCGCCGAAAGTGTGGTGCAGGACTTGGGCAAGAGTTTACCAGTAGGAATAACCCGCCCTTCGATAGGTGAGCGCATATCAAATCAAAACAACCGCTGTTTCTTAAACCATTTTCTGCTCCATTTCCAGTGGTTTCTACGGTGAAAGAGCCGGTTCGCGCCTGGATAAACAACATGTACGGGGCCACAGGGGTGGTAGCGGGATCTGGAGTTGGTCTGTTGAGGACGTTGCACTGTGATAAAAATTCTAACGCCAATATCGTGCCGGTGGATATGTGCGTTAATTCGATGATAGCCGCTGCTTGGGACGTGAACGAGCAATTTTTCGACGCCGTAATCAACGAGAAGGACTTCGATATTCCGATATACAATTTCGAAAGCAGTAACGATTGCGTAAGTTGTAAATTATGTGTGTTGTTTCTATCTAATGTAATTATTTGCAGCCTATAACTTGGGAGTACTTCATGAACACTTCGTTGAAATACGGTTTTAGTATACCATCAGCGAAAGCCATATGGTACTTCTGCTTGATATTAGAGAAGAACCTGCTGTTGTATACTCTTTACACGTTCTTTTTACACACAGTTCCTGCACTTTTAGTCGACGGCGCCTTGTTGTGCATAGGCAAAAAACCGAAGTAAGAAGTTAATAAATTTGAACCCGTCGAAACATAACCCTGACTTTTGTCTTTTAGAATGATGAAGGTGTATTCGAAAGTGAACAAATTCAGCAAAGTATTGTCTTACTTCGCCTTGAAAAATTGGACTTTCAAATCGTACAACGTGCAGCGGGTGTGCAGGAAAATGAGCGACCGAGACAATCGGATATTCTTCAGCGACCTGAGGCAGCTGAATTGGGATATGTTTTTCCAAGCTTACCTACGAGGAGTACGGGTGTTTCTAATTAACGATCCTATGGACACTTTACCGGCTGCTAATGTTAAATGGAGAAGGTAGAATTTTTTATATCTATGGAGAATATTTGTGGTAATTACTTCTTTTAATTACAGGTTGTATTGGGCCCACCAAACTACTAAAGTGGTTTTAGCATATTTTGTTTTAAGATTTTTATGGACCTGTGTAAGCTTCTTTTTTAACTTTTTATAATTTGTATCATCGATTTTATTATTATACTTGAATAAATTTTTTATTAATAAAAGTACTGTATTTTTTTACCTGCACAATATGCTATTAAAGTTACTGTACCTATAATTTAGTCAAACTTACTAGTTAGTTGTTGATAAAGCAAAGTATTTTACTTAACTGATCAATAATATTATCGTTCATTTTACACATATTATTCTAATCGAATTGTCAACTTAAATATATCAGTAATACAACATATACATTAGACGAGTTTGCCTATCTATCAACACACACAATAACGTTATACTTTAAACAAACAAACCAAAAATACTGTTACGTTTACCGTTGAATCATGCTCGTCAAAGATTGACGTTGTTTCTTAACAGTAATTAAGGCGTCAGGACTAATTGAAAGCGCAAACAACATTTTAGAATATTCTGCGATACGAAAATTGACATTGTATCAATCAAAACAGCACCAAATAAAAATGTACAAGTGGCTACTGATGACTATTTTCGTTACAAACGCGCAAATTGAAGCCCAACATGCGCTTTTCAAAAGATATTTACTATTCCCTAGGTATTCCGTAGTGCAGGTAAGTTACTATTCATCAATACATGGTGTTCTAACCCTTTGGTCAATTTCATAACTAATATTCCATATAAAATTTATAGTTTATTTTAGACACTTTTAGTTTTGTAGACCCATTTTACTACTGAACATTTTATTACTGAAATTAGTTATGGAATACTTCAAAGGATTGCCCTCTAGATAGGAATAAAAATCAAAGGGGTTTATAATTTTATCTTAGTGCAGCACTGGTTTAACAGTGCCCCTGGTGTTGCCAAGGCGGTCGATTAATCTGAGCTTTGCGGCTCAAGCGAACTACGCCATGCCTTATAACTTGTCGAATTTCACGCCTCAGACGATAGCTGCTCGGGATAAGGCGTCGTTTTTCTATATGGGAAGGAAGACGGTTTACGAGTACATAGTGAAGTTTTTAGACAGGTAAATGAGCTTTCGATTTGGTTAGGTCGAAACCGGCTGAGAAATTTCGTTTCAGTTTCGGATTGGACGGCGAGCAGTGCTTGTTCAGGACGATTTGCGAAATCGCTGAAACCCCTCTGCATATTAAGGACGAGGAGACGTTGCTGGAGAAGTTGGTGCACTTTATTTTCACGTAAGTGGATTAATTTGATATCGATTCGGTTGGTTTTATTTTATTTGCCCTACCAAAGGCCTTCCTTGGACGTATCGCAAGCGAGAAAGGTCACAGAAAGGACCGGGAAAAAGAGGACGTTTTCAGAGAAACTGCTGCTGGCAGAAAAGGTTGGTAAAAATGATGGCGATTGTTCGGATATTTATTCTGAGTGTTTGGTGTCTTTGACGGATTTATTTACAATAAAATTTAACTTGTAAAATTAGTTTTAATGATAGAATTTTACGTTAATCTAATGGTTTTGTAGCAAACATTTGGAGGGAAATTCAATTACACTGCAAAATAGTTCCAATGAACTTTTATAGTAAACAATGTCGTGTGAAATTAAATATTACATAGTTGTAAACGCGGAAATCATTTTCAATCGCGTTAAAAAACAGTATAAAACGAGGAAATGTAAATATTTTTGTGCGTGTTTATAGTCGGGAAAGCGCACTTTTCCTTTTTACGAATAGAAATAATCCACCGAAGAATTTTTAACAACAATATTTTCCCTAACAAAGTAAACAACCCACACGTGTACCTTCACATATAGTTTATATTCTCATTCAATTTACAAAAATCTTGTTCATTCGCAAATGTAGATACTAGTTTCTTTTTGAGCTATACAATTCTTATTTGCCTAAATTATTAGTGCAAGTCTATTTCTGCAATCTTTCAAGTGGTATTTCGAAAATAGTAGTACTCTATGCTGTTTTCGAATAACTGTACCTTCACCTACGTGTCGCTAAATTGAAATAGAATCACCAAATAAGTAGTCACAGCTCCGGCAATCTAAAATTATTACGGTAAAACAAGTTTCGCCACTCCTGCAGGTATTTATGTACTTACCGAAGTTAATAAAGACCTGTTGATTTTAAAAAAACCGCAAGAGGAAAATCGCAATTTGCAGTAGCTCAATTGCAGCGATAAAATCGTCATCTAGAATTTTCCCAGTAAATTCATTGTTCTAAACAGGGTGTTTCATAACAAGCAATATCTATTTTAATATCCAGAAAAAGTGGCTTTTATGGCTTATACCATTAAATTCACCCTGATTTATCCTTGTGTTGAAACACCCTGTAAGTTGTTTTAAATTCATGAATAAAATATACATACAGCTTTCTTCACTTCATTATCCACTTCGTAGGTAAGAAGTTCGCATATGAGGTTCGAAGTTTTTTTGTACTAAAAATAAAACTTTTAGGACAAAATAGGAGTTGTCTTAAAGAAATTTTTGATACCTCATTGATGCAGTACTGACAAGGTTCAACGATAATAAGGACTCTTCCTATATGGCCTATCAGCCAGGCTGACTGCAGAAGCACGTAGTAAGTGCCACTGTTTTCCTTTATAATGCCTTTTAATAAGAAGTAAGGCGTTACTATTAAATGAAGAAGACAACTTAACATTACCACCTATAATAAAAGTGTAATTTTTCTTGTGTTCTATGTAAAATATAACTTATAACTTACGTGTATGCAAAATTCAATAGAATTATTCACTATAGTCACTGCCTCGAAAATTTTATCATGAAGGATAGATAACATTATAAGTCTTTTACCTAAAAAAATAATGTATTACATACATTTTGTACTTCGTATTTTTGCAACGATTTTTACCCAATTCACTATTCTCTTCATTTTTAATAATAGTACCCGTGCTGGAAAGGCAAGCTGTTTGTCTACTGGAACTCCTTGAAAATCTATCCAAATACACTTTACCGACAATTTTCTCGAAGAAATAATTCCCTTCCTTGAAATTGATTTTTTCCTTCACCTTGCGCAAATCTCCGTTGAGTAGGGATATTCTAATTTTAATCAGATAAATCACGTGCCAATAGAACACCTCCATCATTATCATTATGCTGTAATTTAGGTAAAAAGCGAAGTAGTATTGGAGATAATCAAGCGGATTCAGGCCTCTCGCATGCAACTTCACGAACCAAGAGGATATATCAAACGTCAGGATCAACGATAATGTAACCACCACCACAGCTATGAACAGTATAGAAGCGTCCCTGTAACGCTTGGAATTTCTCAAAGGGATTATGCTATCAGCCTAAAAATCAATCACCCATCAATCGATTCAGTTTCCAACCAAACAATTCGCTTTATACTTGATTCAACGTTATCATCAACTTCCAGAATTTCTTGATCTTCAAATGCAACGTCGCCGTCGCGAATATTACGATAATCACCACTATGCTCACGTCCCCTCCGGTCACGAATCTCGTTTTCTCGTCGGTCATCCTCAGGGAATGCTCAGGATCGTTTTTCAAGTCTAAACTCATACCGATCATCGTCCACAAAGCTAAAATATCCGCCAATTCATCCAGCAAATTGGTACATATTAGTATTTTCTTGTAATGATGGTGGAAATAGTGGTGAGTAATGTCAAAAAGAAAAGTGTTGCTGATGATGGGAAAGGTAGAAGAAATTTATGGAGTGGAGAATAAGCTAGAATAAATGGTGAAGCTCAAGATGAAGAAATAAAAGAGAGCAATTACCCAATCCAACGCAAAGGCTGTAGCTGTATACGGCGTACACCAAAGACCATTTCAAGCGGTAGTTGGTGCCGTTTTTCTTGTAGCTGATGGGAAACAAGCCGAATAATCTGGATGTAATGAGCAGAGGTTGAATGGCCTCGAACGTCGGAGTAGAAACGTACAAATCCTCCACGATCATTGCCGGATTTACGAGACAATCAAGAAGTTTCCGAGTGGATTTCGAAGGCGGTAATTTGGTAATTAAGACGGGGTTTCTATTGATCTAAATGGCGATAATAGTATTGGAATAAACCCGGTTCCCAACGGAATGGAGCCGACACGATAGAGTTGCGCAACTTTCCGACAGGAGGCCTGCGAATGACTATCAACATGTTTTTCGAAAGGAATCAAAACACGTACGTTTTCGCCCGGTAAACGTCGTTATACGTACGTAGAAACAAAAACAAATACATTCAACGTGCACCTGACTGATTCGTATCAACGCAAATACGTGAAAACTTACAGTAATGGCCTTTTGTTTGCTTTCGACAATGTGACAGGTAGGAAAAAAATTGTTGAAGTTAACGTACCGACGTCGAATTGAGGTGTGTAACAGGCTGGAGGAAGGGAGGAAAACAAATATCCGACATTCGTTTCAGGTCTACAAAAAGAAATGTAAATAGCGGTATAAAAGGATTCAATTTTTACCGTTTGACGATTGTAGAAGTATGTAGAATTATTCATAAAAGCGTTATTTGTACGAACGTAATTGTCCACTAAATACATATGTACCACTTTTTGATTCAAATAAATAATCCTTTCCTCGTTTGTCAATGTATCAATCAATCAAATTTAACTGTATTAATAATAAACGCTCCGAGTCTCTAATTTCTAGCCATTATAAACTTCCAAAAGCAAACATATCGAGCCGAACTTTCCGCACGGAGCGATGAAGTACTTCAAATTTTAATGCGACGCGATACTGCTGCATAAATGTAGGGAATAATAAATTCCGCGGACGATTAGCTCTATAACCTATTTCGTATTTTGCAACGAATCCTGTTTACTGATTCCGTTTCAGGCAGTTTATCAAAGTTAGCGCTACATAAATTCAGGGGAATTGGGCGTTCTTAACTACGAGCAACAGTTAAATTATTGGGCGTATGAATTTGTACGTATAATGTAAGTACCTTCCGTTATTCGATTGCAGGAACAGATGTGTTTGGGTGGAGTTGCGAGGAAAAGTAATGAATAGGATAGATGAATGGGGAGACTTGAAAAATTTATTATATTACCAATAGAAACAAGTAATTAAAAACGTACTGATTGTGAGTAAATAAAACAGTTTCATCAACAGTAATTATATGTATATATTTATCCAATAACTTAAAAAGCTTATCTATGTGAAATTTTTGACATTAATTGCTAACTTGATAAAAAATTCTGTAATTTATTGCGCATAATTATAACGGAATTTCTTGATGACACATCGAATTAATATGTACTTACATAAATTTATTGGATACCTAATACCTACCCGGGCCTAGAGTTAACCCTCGAACTTAATAACTTAGCCTATATTTAGCAGAGATTGTACTACAAGGTGATTCCTTAGAGCAGCAATAATATAACTGCACAAATATAATAAGATTTGTTCGATAAAGGAACGAATATCAACAAGATCAGAACGAGCACAGATAGGAAAGGAAACTCCCAATTAAGGCACACCTCAATTATTTTCTTCTCAAATTCCGAACTAGCTTCGTTAAGTCCTTCCCCTTTGAAATCGAATCGCTCTATAAAATCAGCGGTATTTCGCTCTATTATACCTCTCGCATTAGTGCTTTCCAATACCCTTTTTGTATACTCACCTATAACAATGTCCGTGGAGCCATTCTACAAAATCGAGTCTAATGTGTACCCGCGCCAAACGTTGTAAAACTAATTAATTTAGCCACTATGGATAAAAGCGGCGGTGCATGTTCCCCGGTAATGTCAACAATTATTAAAGTTGGTATGTAATTAGTTTTCCCCTATAGCGAAAGAGGTTCGATATTTATTGTGCAAGTGTAGTCGGTAAATTTGGACGAGTTTCTGTATAGTCTTAATTCCCAGGAGGAGCGCTAGAACAACTAATATAGTGCCTAATTTATCGCTAATTTAATTTGTATAGGGTGAAAAATTTGTAAAGAAATAACTGATCATCCTGTATGCGAGAAAATTGTTATGCAAATAAATGCACGTTAACATTCAAAACCGTTAGTTTTGTACGCTACATTTTTTAATTTTTATGCAAATGCAACATATTCGACCAGTTATCTCCGCTTGCCAGCCTAACGTATACATAATGAATATAAAGTCTCATTTTACTTGCATTCGTTGAAGGCGGATGATGAATGAACGCGAAATGAAACTCCCAAGCGATTACAAATTCCATTATATGCGTTGCATTTTTTCCGCGAAATCTTCTCCGGGCAATTTCGTTTCCACAATGGACCTGTTAAAGGACCGCGACGTTCTCCTTCGCCGTATAGGAGAGTAAAGTGAATTTAAACGCTCGTTATCCGAAATTCCGTCCAGACGAAGTCGCCGCGATCACGCCAGTGCGCCCCGGCTTACGGGAAAAGGGTCCCGACCCGCATATTTCATATTAAGCCAATTTATCCCCCGGCGGGGCTCAGTTCTGACGGCGGCTGTTTGGGGTTGTTCTCGCGTCGGTTTGTTTCCCAGTCGACGCACGAACTGAATCGAGTTCGAGTTTTCCCAACGTAAGGAGTTTAGGAGAAAGTGACAAGGAGAGGCCGAGTAAAATATGCTGTTCGAGTATAAAAAAATTATTAGAAAAATCACGTATGCGGAAGAATAAAAGTTCAACGTGGCAACGCTGAACAACACTATACGTTTCTTTAAAGATTTTTTAATAAGTTTATAAAGTACAGGGTGTCCCAATGAAAAGTAGCCCCTTTAATGAGCTTATAATTTTTAAACGCCTTATTATCATAAAAATATGCAGTTTTCTTAAATATATTTTATTTATTATATAATTTTTGTTTCAGTGATACAGAAATTATGCATTATCCATAGAGGGTGTTTCATCAAAATCTCCTCTTTTTAATTCACAGCAACCAATTTTTTTAAATGGAACACCCTGCATATTTAGAGGTATACTGCAAGATATACTCTTCTACTTTTCAAAAATGTATTATTTGTACATGTTATTCTGTGTTATTCTACAAAAGAAGATGTCCTATTCCATAAAATTTGGTTAATGTGAATTTAAAAGAGGGGATTTTATGAAACACCATGTACAGGCGATATAAAATTTTTGTGCCACTCTAACAAAAAGTTATAGTAGTAAAATAAAATATATCTGCGAATACCGCATGTTTTTATAATTAGGCATAAAAAAATTATAGTGGCTACTTTTTATTGGGACATCCTGTATAGTATAATTTACTATAGTATGAACTTCACACCTTCCGGATCAATAAATAAATATTTTTTTATATGCTTGTAGGGATTTACTGCTTATTTATATGTGTTAATTTATTACCCGATTATATATGCCATAATAAACATGTAATAACCCTTAAAAAAGCCAATAAACATAAATAAAACTAAAGTAATAAACTAATAAAACAGACGTAATAGATTTTCACGATAAAAAAAATATCGTCCACCTATTCAGTCACGCCATTTTGTCGGGCGAATGGTAATATTTCATGAACCCGGCAAAGGGTTAATGCATCGCCGAAGGTAAGTAATTAAGATGGATACCCCGGCAGGCCCGCCCTTTAGACTGTTTCAATTCACGGAGATGCGGCTCTAATTAATTATTCTCTGTGCGTTGTCGCCGTCTAATCATGCAAGGGGGTTACCTTGCACATACATACACGCGGAGAATCGGAAAATAGCCTCAAAGGGGCGGCTTGTACGATTCCGGATCGAACGAATTTCAATGGGTAATTAGGCGTGCTCTCGTAGGATCGGAATAAAAAAGGGTGTCCTCGGTAAATATATTACAGATTTATTTTTTTTTGATACGAAACTCTCCGATAACCCGAACCTAAACCGGCCGATTTTCCAGCGAACCCACACCGACCTTTTAAGACGCGTTACCGGATGTATAAATATCGAGTTACCTTGACGTACGGTGCCCGGATTTCTCTTTCATCTCCTTTAATCCGATCTCAAAGCTCTCCGAAAACACCTTTATACGAGCTCGTATTCGTATATAAAGGGACACTCTTTCGCTTTTTTCGGCGATTTTTAGCTCGGTCTCTTAGAGTATCACACTTATAATAAGTTCACGGTAATAATGCGGTGACATTACGAGGTGAAATATTGAATGAACAATAGAAATAAATACTCTGTTGGGTAGATAATAATTCAATGTTTTAAAGTTGATATTATTGTATAAGATTCCTTCTCTATAATGAATTCTTATTTCTCCAGGATTTTTGCATTTGATGATAATTATAGCTAAGTTAATTTTATTAATAACACTTCTAACTGGACTATTTTATAGGTATCTTTATACTCTTTCCTGGAGGAGTATAAGTTCGGTGAAATTCGATGCGAAAGTAGGGATCTCTGTTAGATACTTTGCGATGTATTAGAACATCAAAGTCTAATAATAGTTCTCTAATAAAGGCGGACATTATCTAATGATGTTTGGCTAATTTTCCCTGAAAAGGAAGTAAACCGCTCAAATTATGACTCATTGGGCGATTAAATCTAATAAAAACGGTTTAGTTTCACGCACACATGGGCGTAGGGAATATAAAAAAAATCCTTCCTTTAACCTCATCCCAAATTAGTGAGGTATCAAATTAGATTTATATCCCATCATCTTACAACAAATTAGTATCGACGGTAAAGTACCTAAGGGCGCTTAATCCGGATTGATTAAAAGTTGGAGATACTAAAATTTTTGAAGATCCTTATCCCGCTTCTTCAGCGCTTTCCAGTGACACCTGCGTCTCTTCGATTTATGAGAGCTCCCGTTCGGCGCGGAGCGCTCGAGCTTTAACCATACTTTCCGTGGAAATCTCAATTTGCGCCGCCGGCGCTCTTAATCTGGTTAACATGGCGCTCCTCGAGGATTAGCTGGCGCGCCCCGACGCCGAATCCTTAATTCCCATATTCAAATTCGAACGAACAAAACAAACCGAGGTCGAAACTCGTAATAAGCTCGGCGGTCTATTTAAAAAAAAATAAATAAACGATAATTTAAATACCCCGAGCGATTTTATTCCGAGTAGTTTTTATGCGACAATTTATATTTTTATAACGGTTGTGGGGCTTTTATCGGGGAGTATTGTGTTTGGGAAAACAAATCGAGTGGTGGGATTTTGTTCCAGGGAAATGATTTCCATTGTTTCCTTCTTCTAATGAACGCCCGTCCGTTCATGATCTAGTAGTCGCGGTGTCTACACGCCGAAATGAATGGACTCGCGAAATCGATAAAATCCTGGAAAATACTCGAATCTAGGTGGCGCTTGCCTTTCATCTGTTTTCCAGTCTGCTTAGACCACGCCATACGCGCAGTTGGTGTCGGAGAGGAGCGAAGTCGTCTGGTCTTGTAAGTAGATATACATGTATGTGGCCTATTGTTTTTGTAGAATGTAGAATGAGTGTCGCCAATGAATCGCACGAATTTTGAATGGGTTTGATGGAAGAGTTTCCGGTTTTTTTGTTGGACTGGAAATCTGGATGTATTATGATTGGAATGATTGGCGAATTTATTTTTAAGTCCCCTAACATGTATTTGTAGACTAACTTCCTGAAGTTAGTTTATATGCAAGTGGGTAGAGAGATTTTATAAAGTTGCTTTGTTATTGAATGTAAATGTTTTAATAATCTATTAATTTTGTTTTTTGTAGTTAATTTTATTATATTTCGATATAAATCATCAAATCATCAAATATTTCCTTTGTCCAAAAAGTTACCTAATAATTTTTTGATATAAAAATTATGTAAATTACAAGGACAAAAATTACCTCTTCATATACTTGCTATTGTTACAAAATCTTTTGAATACTTTGTTTTTTCTATAACTATAAAATCTAACGATTCCTTTCAGGATTATGTGGAAATCATTTTTCCATAACTACTATTTCAATGCCGAATTAATCAATAAAAACTATGTCCGTGTGACCTGGCACAATTCGCGTAGTTGAAAATATATGTATAAAGCACAATACTTTGTACAAAAAGTACACAAGTAGGTTAAGATATAGCTCTAGTAATGTCTAGTCCAGATCTACATACATACATAATTGTATTATACCGCAAACATTTACACCAATATTTATAAATATCTACTAAATACAAATTATTAAAAGAACCAATTGAAATTTCCTTTTGGACAAAACTTTTTTGCAAAGATATATTGCAATACAAAAAAACATGCATGAAATACGAAATCACCCTGTATATTTTAATTCGCGGAGAAAAACTATTCTCTACAATTTCCGAACAATCAAAAGTTTTCATAAATCTCATTAGCTACTTCGATGAACATTCACGAAATTGAAATTTTTATTTTCCTCGTAACATTTCTCCGCTGATCTTCTCGGAGATGCGGTTTAAAGCACGTAATACTAGTAGAATGCTTTTTAGGGAAAATTGAGGACATTAAGGTAGTTTAATCAAAATCTTCGAAGTGAGTCTAGGAAGTCTCTAGCGAATCTAGGAAGTGCCTATGGAGACCCAATATAGTGAGTTAGTAAATGATGTATCATTTGTCCTAGAGTTTACAGGGTAACTTTTTACACTCGATGTTGCTTTTAATTGCAAAACTTTCGGAGAATTTAGAACTTTCATGTAGACGTCTGTTTGTTTTTAAAAAAGTAATATAATAGGAGCACCGATTTTATCTACTTTTGAAGTGATTTTTCCTTTTTGAATTGATCTTTTCCTTATACAAAAAGACATCCAATGGAAACAACCCTATTTTCCTCATGATATTGCAATAACTGGTGATTGTAGGCGACTCTTGTAAGCCAGAAGTCAGTACAAAATTCGATTGGACAGTCGCCGGTTTTGTTTTTATCGACAAAGCGTCTCGCCGGCCTAAATATTTGATAAATTCGCTGACTCACGGGGAATAACGACCTGTGTACGGCTTCCACCCTTAAATGACTTCCTCGTCGAATTCGTCAGGTCGTTGTTCACACATCCAATCGCTCGGAATGCATCGACTTCTTCGACTTTTCCCCGTTAAGTGTCCACTGTTTTTTCTCCTCCATCGCTTGCCAATGGAAATATGATTAATCATCCCTCTGTTGGTACAGCACACGTCATCGCCCGGCTCTCCGTGTAATCGAAAACCAATTAACGCTCACTTCAGCAGACACCGGGCTTTTATTGCGAGGCGCATTCATTCATCAAACGGCAATTGACTGTGTCATCTTCCTTTTCCGAATCAACGGCTGGCTGTAAAATGCTCGTTTGTCTAAATTACCTTTTCGCTAGATGATGGAGCAATTGTGCCGTCGAAACGTCGTTTATTCGATTAGGATTCGCATTTAGTACGTCCGTGTAATATAGCGTTAATTGATTGCCCTTTTTGTTGGGATTTGTTTGCTTGATGGGGCCTAATAAATCTGTCCTTATCTTGAATGAATATGCATGGTCACATCGCTGAATAACAGAGATAAATTATTGTATGCATATACCGTATTTTGTAGGTATATATTATATAGGTAGGTGAAATGCTTGTATTTCATAATCATACGTGAAAAACTCACTTTTGTTGCAAACTAAATACGTTATTTTTGCGATATAGATGGAGAGGAAAGTTGATTTTAATCTACACGAGTTAGAGATTCTATAGAACTCGTTCCGTGGAGTTTTGTGAGGAGTTTCAGAACTAGTAAGAGTACTTTCAATAGGTTATTTTCCGGGATCTTATCGAAAAAGTTGGCTGTACGAAGTTGGGCGATTATCGAGTCGAATAAGTTGCTCGAAAAGTAAACAATTCGAGTTGAAAATTGTGATTTTTAATCAAGAAGACGCGCAACTTCTCGCCGAACTTTCGTAATATCTCTTTTGTTATATCGCGTTTGTCGATACCAAACTCGTTAGATCGTATAATTAACCTGCTTGTGTGCTTAATAGAGGAGGCCGTTGTACTGGTGAAACGTAATTAAGTAAAATTTTCCCTATTTTGCTAAAAGCCTAGTTACTCTTCTGCGGGTTTCTCCGAATCAATTTCATTACGATTCGAATAAAGATGCAAACGGCCCTTTTTGTTTGATTAGGTTCGACGTTGTTATCGTTGAATGCGCATCAGGTGGACGGTAAGGTTCTCTTCCTTATTTATATTCCATTCAATTACTCTATTTTGATCGAATTGGCTGCAAACGCTTACCTCCAATACCCTGCGCACCTGCTTGATAAATTGTTTCCCTATTTGTAAACAGGGATCTCCATTAAACCAGTTACAGTTGCCGAAGTCGAGGCGTGGATGCAGGGAGAAAAGGTAACGCAAAGTTTTTAAATTGTACGGAAATTAGTATAGTTTCTTGTTTTATTAAATTTGTTGATGGGTCAATATTTGGATAATAAAACAACAGTTTTTTTTGAATGACGTTATTTATGCGAATTTTCGAATTGAATTTCCCGGAACTGCAGCTATCGCCAGACGAAACATTGCCATATAAGTCACGTAGAAATGCATTTTAATTACTCAAGTTCTGGCTCGCATGCTAAGAAAGTTTCCGAGCTTCGAAACATTTTCCATCGAAACATAATGGCTATTGTGTCGCTAAATTATTGTCATCTGGCGGCTTTTGTGAATAGAACTTTGATTGACACCGTTGATTAAGCTTTTCTAAAGAAAACCTCCATCGAAAGCAGAATGGAATATTGATTTTGCCTTTACACACCTAGCGAAAATTGATTTACAAACGAAAATAGCCTTTTTACATTCGAGTTCGTACTCGATTTCTCGTTAAATATAAATATCGAAATCTCATATTCTAGCTACAAAAGACGTGTATCATACATACAAGTTTCGAGAGCGAAATTATAGGACTATAAAAGAATTGTTCGCCTGCATTCTTTTGATCCTTTCGTACGCGGTAAAAATCTTAGAAAACCTCAATTAAACGCGAGTCGCGCCTTTTCAAGTACCGTTTTCCGAACTAGAATTCCCACCTTTATTCGCGAGACAAACTTTTTTTATTCTAGTAATTACTCCCGGCTCCATTACGGCGATGTACCGCAATCGAGCGTTAACCGTTTTGTGTGCTCGTTTCATTAAAAATAAATTCGAATTTGGGAAAATAAAAGCGCAAATAAACCGGCGATTAATTAAAAACTTCTACGTTTTTAATGACGCGTCAGACGGGGAATTGGAAGTATAGTTTGTAAGAAAAGGGATACTATTAGAGCAATTTTCGATCAATCAAGAATTATTGGTGAATTTTCCTCAATGAGAGAAAAAAAGAGAGTTTTTTCAGGAATTTTTTAATATCAAATTAAATTCTGCAGGTATTAAGCTTAAACTATTTTGTGTATTTATTTTTAAAAGTTGGGCACAATGCTGATAGTTGCTTTGCACCGACTTTAAATCTAAATTTAGAACATTTTATCAGCGATTTTTTTTCGCGAAACGAAAAATCCGTTTAATTACAAACCCGAAATTTATTTTTAATGAAGCATCCTTATATTCCGCAATAATTTCCTTTCATTTAGATCACAATTAATAATGGAATAAAGATAAAGATACGCCTTGAACGGCTCTAATCATCATTAACCCGTATTTTTCTCGACTTTTTTTCCTATTCATCGCCCCTCGGGCCGTATTATTAAGCGCTCAAGGTAAATTCCCAGCTCCGTTCTCCATTGTCCAAGCCTCCACTTAACCGAAAATAATGAAGCCGCTGTTGCGAGCTGCCTGTATCGCAGCGCAGAGTATTTTTTCCCGTTTTAATCAAAGCCCCCCGGATACATAGACATTTTTTTTTGCCAGGCATTGTTCCTCATCGAAGCGAGAATCGCAACTAAAAATTCGGTTTTTAATTAACGACATTCGCGAAAATTGAAACGGTCTACCATCGTCATTATCTCCGAATGTCCGGCTCGATTTTGCCGGTCAAATTCTCCCGCCGGGTTTAAATCAGCGCGCTCCGAGGTTCGCCAGATTGTTGAAAACCGGAATTACCGGAGCAAATTAGCGGCTGATGTAATATTCGAATGTGCAAAATGAAAATCTCGCGATTTATTAACCCCATCAAAGCTCTAATGCAAGCATTTTTTTCACTATACAGGGTGGTGATGTATCAAATATATTTGCACTAACTTGAGTCGAATATTCCCTACTTCACCAACACTAATATCCATTAAAACAGAACTGTATACGTGGGACTCGGGGAATTACTTGCCGTGTTTCTTGTTTGCGTCCGAATCGGAAGCAAGAAAGCGCCTAAAAACAAACGGATCCTCTTTCTATTTATGACCTGCACATAGCTAGTAATAAAAAAAAGAAAACGCCGATAACCCCGGTCGAGATTCCCGGCTCCTTTTCCGCGGGTAAACTCCCGCGGGACGCTGTAAGAAACTAGAGAGGAATTTATAAAAAGCGTTTTGCAATAAGTCATGCTTTGGCGAAACATGTGTAAAAATGCGGGGATTCCTGTGATGAATAAAAAAAACGCTAGAATGGAATCCAGTGAGGCACAAATATTATTTTAGCTGTTTATGAGATACACATTCGGAGAATATTTCGCAGATAATAGCGTTTGTTATTAGGGAATTATGCGAACCTCAATGGCTGATGAATACTTAAGTAGTGAAGGGTTTTTTTCCCCGTTGATTCGTGATGATGAATAAAGATATGCTCACAAAAAACCGGAGAGACCGCTCGATGATAAAAAATTGCGAACGCCGAAGTATTCCGAAATAAATGGTTATTGTGTAAAATATGTAACCTGCTTCGCTTCGCGTACAAATTTTAATAAAGTTTTATGATCCGAATCTAATCCGGAGTCCTCGACATAAACACCAAGGGAAATATCAAAAGTTTATTATATTAGTTCAAGGGGATGAACATAGGTTAGTCATCGCATACAGGATGATTCCTAAAAATGATTCGAATTCCAGTTTGCGACACTATTAAAGTTTCTTATCGATTTGCAATTTTGGCGGAGGAACAGTGTTAAATTAAAGCTCTCAGGCTCTCCATAAATCCGATTTCTGACCGGGTAGTAGATCAGCCGTATCACGAGACAATTTAGGCGCATAAGTAATTCATAGTCGGAAATTAATTTGGAATTCCGGAACGGCATGTTATACGGGGAATGATCGATAACGGAACGTCAGCCGGCGAGACGTGTGAAATACGCCTAGACAAGGGTTAGAATTGACGCTAAATCCGGCGTGCTGAAATAAGAGAAACTGCTGAGTTGTAGATGTTGGGGACAAAGCAATTACTTAAGGCACGGCCTGTTTGAATGGGATTACCGATTACCGAGACGTTCTGTATATATTTAATGTATTGTTAATTCAATATTGACGCCTAATAAGTCTTGTAGAGTTATTTAGATTTTAACATCAGATTTGGTTTCAGATTTTAATGGTGCTTTGCTAACATCAAAATGGTTTATCTTCCCCTCATAGTCGGCTTTTCATTGGTCGCTTTCGGTTATTCCCAGGACTTGGAACTCCAGCGCTCATCAACGTCAAACGACATTATCAGAGGTAAATTTTTTGCTTAAAAAAACCAATTAATTTTTAACTCGGTCTCCGCAATCTCGTCGAAAAGGGGTCGTTAGGTGTACGTGCCGTCCGCCAGATAAAAATTATTCGCTGTAAATATTTCATTAAATCGTCGAGGAATTTATATCACGGATAACTTTTATATTATACGTTTTTACGTAAGAAATTAGCTTGTGATAAATTCGCCGACTCGAGGTGATAATTCTGGGATTAAATGGTTAAAAAAGCCTTGAGATCCGAGCACACCACTGGGCTCTATGTGGAAATATACGTACATTAAGTGGGTGTGAAGTTAAGCAGAGAATGAAAGTTTCATAAGTTTGTAGAGGGAGTTTTGCTTCGAGTTTCGAGCTCGAATAATACAGCACTTATATGGGGAAGTAAAAAATCGAGAGAGTTTTCTGGTGAGCCATAAGTAGGTACTTTAGTCGCGTTTAATTTTTAATTAGCGAGACGGGCGTGTGTTGAATTTATGGATGAAAATCGAGTAGAATAACAATTTTAACAAACTTACAGTTGTATAGAAGCGGCGTATTAAACCCTATAAAGGGGTTTAATTAAAGATAATTCGCGCGAACTTTTCGTTAAGTACATTCGCTCAAGTTTTCGAAAGAAGTTGATTTAACAATTTAACGAGATTTAAATTTTAATCCGGAATTTTATGCTGTATGTTGATGGTTTTTTTCTAATAAAATTCCGGGTTTTTAAAAGGGCTGAAATAGTGGCATTCGACCTATTTTATTTTCGTTATTTTTGTTTCATACTGAAATGATTCGGCCACTTCGCGGGCCGTTAGCTCTGGCATTTTAAAAGGTTGCAGATCATAGAAATTTCGCTACGCTCAGGCGAATTCGCAAAAGCCAAGGATTTTTCAATGAAAATACCTAAAATCAAAAGGTTCATAATTCAAATGCGATATTTCTAAATCGACCACCCTGCACGTTTTCTCACTTTACAAATTTGAAATATCGCTTCGAATTAAAATCACGATAGGTAATTTTTTTAACAGAAATCTAGCGACATTTTAATGAAAAAAAATTGACTTTCAACGTTTGATTCAAACGGATTTTTTCTATAACTTGCTTTTCGAAATAAAATTTTTATGCCCAGTATTTTACAAATATTGAATTTATATTCCAATCTATTAACAATAAACGCTTGCAAATACAAACAATTACATACTAAATAACCTGGATTTGTAGGGACACCATCTAACATCCAATGACTGGCAGAAATAGAAATCGATAGAAAAATACGCATTTCTTATGCTTGACACATAACATTTTGTTATGTTCTGTACAGTTTTCGAATCCGAGCGCGTTTAAAACCATTTTTTAATTACCGCTATCCATAGGTCTTCTGTTAGGCACCCGCACGATCGCAATTCCAGTTGAAATCGAATAAAAAAATACCGGAGGGCCGATGTCGGCGGGGCGTGTAAATTTTTTTATCGAATTAAAGAAACGCTTTCCATCGCAAGGGAAACTTTTACTTGAGCATAAGGTGAACAGTCGATTTAACGGACGGCGTAATTTATTTCGCCGCTTTTCCTCTCCCCGCACCTTCGCCCAATCTATTTTTCAATTTCGTATCCAACGTGGAATTGCGGAAATTCGGAAAGGTACTATGCCAGAGATTCAATGGCGTTACGCGAATGTTGCAGGAATTATTACCTTGCTGGAATGCAGGATAGAGTTTGCTCTACAAAATGAGCTAAACATCATGTTTTTATCTCAAATCGTTTTGAAATTACAGCAAACATCGTAAAAGCGCTTATTTCATTAAGTTCTCCATTAAATAACTACCTGGATATATTAATATAAGGGAAGCAGGAGAATTTCATAAATTAGAAAGCCGGAGATAAACATTTTTGTAACATGAACTTTTAATAAAGATAGCGCAGCGTTGCAGTAATTCCTGCGAAACAGCCAAATGGATATGGAACGAAGAGTCATTAAAATTTCACTAATTCTGATCTACCGGGAGTCGAGATATCCTAATAATTAACTGCGGCAGATAGAAAATTGCACTTAGCAGGTAAAGCCATCGGAATATTCCAGGCGAAAACGAGTATACTCGTTAAAAATTCACCGATGTTGATGGAGACGATACGTTAGTTTCCTAATAAAATGTGTTAGTTGGTTTCAATTTTGAAACTTTCATGCCAAACAACAAGCAAGATGAGCGGCGAGAATTCGAAACTCGGGTAAAGTTAACCGTTATTTTAAAGTTTCAAAGGATGGAGAACACCACGTTGGTTAAAATCCAGATTAGAGTTGGGACTAATTTAAGTCATAAATTTCTGGATAGTTCAAAGTTTGACCAGCTAAAGTACAAGTCCAGTTTGGAATTTTTTTAGTGTAAAATAATTTGCGTTGGTAACGCCAATGTGTTAGAGGCTGCACATCGGCAGCTCAAACCCCGTTTTCTCGACAACCACGTACAGTTCCCAAAGGGCAAAGGACTAGAAAAGGCCCGTACCTTTATTTATTTCCTCGTTACGCTTTACGGCCCAATTCGCAGGGATTTTAATCCAATATAAATCGTAGCTAGTTGATTTTTATTTCTGGCGGCATAGCGAGGAATAAATCACCCGGTTCGATAGCTTCTATCCTTTAAACAGTTAACTTTTACAATTCCAACAAATCCGGATTACATTTAATTCCTTCCGTGATTTCCGTGTGCCGCAGAGACGACGGAAACGGCTCATCCGAGCACCGCCGCCTCCACGATCGACCCCCACGAGGCCGAAAAGGAGAAAGCCAACGAAATCTCCAAAGTCCAGAAAGCCCTGGCATGGCTGGAAACGCAACGCGAAATCGACTGGGGCTGGAGGAACGACACCCCTAAAGTACTCACAGCGCTGAAGCTCGCCTCCCGGGAACACACCAACGCCCTCGAGCTCAAGCTCTCCCTTAAACAGATGGAGGTGGAGATCGTCGTCATGTTGTGGAGGTAACCTACTCTACTAACAACGAAATAGAGATCAGATTTCAGCGTATTGTTTCAGACACCACGAGATCCCCGTGGCGCCGCCGAAGCTGGCCCAATACTGCTTGGCGTTGTGCGCGCTGTGCTCGGACCCGCGGCAATTCCACGGCCACGATCTCATAGGCAGCCTGCAGCACCACGAGCCGATACACGACATCGAGTTCGCCTACGCCACGCTGGCGGCCTGCACGGCCCGGGCGCACGTCAGAAAGAAGCAAATCAGGCGATTGCTGGACATCGCCAACACCGCCAAAGACCACAACATAGGTGAGCGTGAAATTGCTTCGTTACGGCGATTTAACATCGCAATTAGGTAGCGGGCTAATTGGAGCGGGATTACGACTACCGCTGGTATAATTAAACTCGTGAGAAAACTTAACGAATTCGCGACGGATACAGAGGGTAATTTCGGATTTACGTTTGTTGTAGATACGGTAGCGATGACCATCCTGGCTTTGAGGTGCATCGTTAAGGACCATAGGCACAGGAATTTACAGCACACACTCCGGCGACCCAGCATTAACTTGGCTAGGCAACAGCAACAGGACGGCGGCTTCGGCAATTTGTATAACACCGCTTTGACCTTACAGGTAATCACTTTGTACGCAATAATGTATTCATCAAAGATTATTTTTTTTTCGTTTTGTAGGCTTTGCAAGACATGAACGAGATCAACAACCACTGGAACCGGAGCGCTGCAAAGGCCTACATAGAATCCAAGCAAGACCCAGACGGGGCTTTCACAGACCCCAATCTCACCGCCGAAGTGGTCCTCGCTCTGTCAGAAAGAGGCCTGGGACATATCAGAAACACCGATTGCGGCAAATACGACAGCGATTTGGACAATCAAGGTAAACCTAAACAATTTGTGTGTACTTGTCGATCCAATCTTCTACTTGAAATGGCTTATCCAATTCTAGGAATTCCTCTGTATGAGTAATGCTTATAACCTACAGTTGGGAAGCCTTTCTAGACTGCAGATGAGTAGTTTATTAGAGGAGAATATCTGATTTTTTTTTTAGTGGAAATCGACGGCCTAACGAAATCCTTCTCGAACCACGGCAACGATTCCGAAATACGCAACGTCACCGTCACGTACACGCTTTGGGTGGGCTCGAACGTGACGGAGAACGCGACCATCAGCGTCACGGCGCCGCGGAACACGTCCTTCTACAACGTCATGCAGCTGGCCTCCGAGACGGATCAGCGCTTCGCCTTCGAGGCCTCCGAATGGCCCAACGGGCACTACGTGCACACCCTGGCCGGCTACAAGGAGGAGCCGATGGGCTACCATTACTGGCTGCTGTACCGGCTGCCCGAGCTCCCGGATCCGCTGACGCCGCCTGCTAATCAGCTGGTAGCGCCTGTTGGTAAGTCTTGGATAAACTTAAACCTATTCTATTTCTATTTATTCGTCTTCATCGTCTTCCTCTTCTTTGTCTACTTCTTCGTCCTCTTCTTCATCTTCTTCTTCATCCACTTCTTCATCTTCTTCTTCATTCTCTTCTTCCACTTCGTCCACATATTGTATATACTCCTGCTTTTTTCAGTTTATCAATTCTTTTGAGTTGTTAATGTTCATGATTCCATCCATATATTTGGGGGTGTATGTAATCATCTGATTCCTTCAAATCATATGCGTGTCTTACTAATCAAATACTTGTTTATATTGTAGGTGTGGATGATTTGCTGATCGAGGAAGGTGATCACTATCTATTCTGGTACAAGAAATTGTAAAAATCGTTTTGTCTACGGATTATCTTGGGTTGATTTGTTGTGTTCGAAATGTTTTGTGTTTCACGTATGCGAAAGCTTATAGTAATCGTGCGAAATTTGTGGAAAGTGCATTTAAAAAAGCGGCTTTGCTGGCTTAATTTGAAGCTTGAAGTATGTATGTAAAGTCTACTGTAATAATTGGCCCATCTCTTTAACGATTAACTAACTTATATGATATCAACATGTAATGATTTATGGAACAGCAAAAGGACAGATATTGAATAGAGTTGGGATTTACAGTGGAAGTTACTGTTAGAAAATTGGTCGTAACTGTTACTATTAGATGTACTCGTGTACTGAAACAAGGCTAAAACTTATTAGATATACTTATCGAATTTTCTTGTTATTTCAATCATTTGTGTTGTGTGTTAGACAAAGTGTCAAAAAAGTGCTTGCTGCATTGCCAAAATAACATGGAAAATTCGTATTATTCGGTGGATTTATTTTGAAAAATTTAATTTTGCCTGCGTATAAATTTATCTGTGGTATTATAAATTGTAAGATAACTGTTAGATTTCTTTTTGTCGATACGATTAATTCTGTGAATTTCTTACAAGGGTTTTATAGTAGAAAATTTCCATCGGGTTTTAGATGACAAACTTTCTCTTTCTCTTTATATGTATCTATTTCTTTCAGTGAATAATTTTATTTCTAACGATGGAAGATTATTGGATTTGACTTGAAACTAAAAGTATTCTCTAAAAACGTAGTTTTCTAAGAAATTAGCCAACGTAAAATTAGATATTCAACAGTCAAAATTCTAAATATTTACCTCAAAACAGAAACGCTATTTATTCAAAATAGTTCTCTTCCACAACTCGGTAAATGAAGTACTAGAAGAATTGATTAGTTTATTATTAAAGGGTTAATTATTTAGGATTTTCGCCTGTATCGTATAAAACTAACTTTTTGTCGTGAAAATTTCCTGTGAAACTTTTAGACATACATATTTAAAGTATTTACAATGATGCATTTTTATGAGACAATACTTTGAATTTTCGTTTTGTAAATGTTTTTATAGGCATAGCCGATTAGACGACCTTTGGTTTTCAATTGTTAATACGGAGCAAAAGAAGACATTGTTGAGAAAAATTGATTTATTTTATTATATTCGGCTTGGAAATATTATCTAACACTAATAAAGTATTCTTAAGTTATTCGTCTTTCGTTTCATTAAAGGGCGGAAGATAAAAATGAACTTCACCTCAATAAGGATTGATTCGGTAAAACGTTTTATTTCATCAATATATATCTCTCAACAAATCAACAATTATTACATTTTACGTTTTTATTTTTATGTCGCTTTCTTTAGTTTTAAATAATAGGAGCCTATGGCTTTCATTATACTAAATAATATTTAGTTTACCTACGAAAGGTTCTTTTTAATTATTTGTCCATTTTATTAGGAGCATTTGTATGCAACAAAAACAGCGTCTCGGTGATTGCTCAGGATTAAATATACAAATAAAACTTTAATTATGAAATTTGAGCAAATTTCGTAAGTAAAAATCGATCATCAGTACGATAAAATCATGAGAAACAACTATTGCTTCGTTATAAACTTAAATATACGATTTGCATTAAGCCTATTTCATTCTGTACATTTCTCATAAAATGATCCAAAAAAATTACAACGATTCGAAAATATCACATAGTGGTAATAAAAATAACCGACTTACCTATATATAACTAAAAAAACATTTATCTAAAGCTGTAAATATAGGTATATATATCACAGAATCTACTTTTTTTAACATTTATTCTTATTACAGTAAGCCGTAATTAAAAGCCCTAAAGCCGAATCGAGCGAGGCCTTTGAAAAATCCCACCATTGCTTTGCTCAAAAATCTCTTTACTCACCTCACAACGTCCGTGTTTACCCAGCTCTGACGTTACAGGAACTTATTAGTAACCCTAGTATACCTAGATGTTTGATCTCCTCAAGTCATTACAACATTACTTGCAGCGAACCTGCTATGTACAAAACATCATCGCCCAATCAAAGATATGTTTTCATCTAGCCGTCGGCGCCGCGACGCTGTAAATGGCGTCCAGCACCCGCTTCTCGCCGCGCTTCAAGCTCGCCTTCATGCCCTCGGTGAACGGATCGAAGTTCAGCGCTCTCTTCTGCCTCCTGTAGATGCCCTGCTTCCTCTGGATGGCGCATTCGAACAGCTTCGCGTCGACGGGCACGTCGATGAAGTCCAGCACGGTGCGCAAGGTGTGCTCGGTGCTGCTCACCAGCTGCTCGTAGAATATCACGTGCGTGGGGCCGGTGAAGTTGTACAGCCAGTCCAAGTTCATCGTCTGCCATCCTCTCAGCTGCGACGCCACGAAATCCTGCCAATCTGCAAGGAGGAAAATCCCATCCAGGAAGAGCACAAACTTTATTTTTAAAGGATTGCTTAAGGACTACTTAAAGGATTTAAGAAATTTTAAGGGATCAAGTGAATACACATGCATTAAACAACGTTGTTAAAGCGAAAACCATCTCAAGAACAGCAAAGGTAAGAATACACGAAGACGGTAAGGGTAGGGACTGGGGAAGATGGCCTAGGATAGGGTATATGGAAAGCAGATGACATCAGAAGATATTAATCAGAGATTTGAATGGAGAGCCAACTATTGTGAGTGTGGTGAAAGCACAAAAATTAGAATGAAGGGCCAGCGAATACCAAAAATGATTACACTAGAGGAATAGATGAAGAAATAAGAAGGGGAAGATCAAAGAAGAGATGGAAGAGCTAGCTGGGAAAAGATCTAAGGGAAACTTAAAAAAATTATAACCCAAACCATGGGCCTACTAAACATATTCGCAGTGAACATATTATGAAGTGAATACCCCCAATTACCACTCAAAAAAGGGTAACTTACAGCGTCCTCTCAGTCGTTTGTACCGATCGGGAGCGGCGAATCCCACGTGCCCGCCGCTCTGTCTGTTAAATTCCGCCTGTATGGCGGCGGCGGGAGTTCTCACCAGCAAAATGGCTTTGGAAAAGTTACACCTAGCCCTCGGTCCCCATTCGTGCGTTTTCACCACCAAAACCGAGCCGTTCGCCACGCTCTCCGCCGGAAAACCGTTTTTCCTCAAACCATAATCCTTATACACAGACCCCGTATGATAACCTACAAAAAACATAACACTGAATGCACAATATGTCAAAAATTACTGAGTTGTGACGTCACGCACAATCTATAAGTTAGGTACCTATATACAGAGTGTAGAATGATAGTTACCTGTGGCTTGTTGAAGTAAGTATCTTAACCAGGTGTTGCCGCTGCCGGGAAACGAGGCTAGAGCGACGGTGGGTCTCGGTGGGTGGATGTATTTCAAATCGGTGCACCAATTCACTTTGGGGCGTCGCAGGCGCGGCTTGAAGCCGGGAAGACCGTATTCGAAGCTCTTCGATTTGGATATGAATCTGCTTTGTACGCTCGAACCGCTCTAAAAGGAATTGGAATGTTAAATGAGTCGGTAAAAATTCAGTATTGACATCGGGATTAAAAATGGACGATTTACCTTGTAGCCGGTTCCTCTGGTATCGTGCAGAGATAATACTGTTAATATTAAAATACCAATTACGTAAACGATGAGCAAAAAAATTACAGTCCAAAATCTAACTCTCCTGAAAAGCATTTGGCCATATCTTTATACTTATTTGGCTTCCAATATTATCATCAATGATCAGTTCGTTTTACTTCGGGAAAACCTCTAAAATATTCTTCATACCAGCCATATCGAGCAGCTACAAAAAAAACTCAATAAACTACCGATGTTATAAATAATTATTGCTTTACTTACTAAAAATACTAGCTCAATTTACGCACTTACGTGTAATTACATGTTATACTGTACAAAATCCGAACAATTACGCGAGAAACCTACATCATATCGTCTCTTTTTGAGCCCTTTGCGGGAGATCAAAGAGATTCGATCTCTTTCCGTCGCCTTTTCGTCGGAGAAACACATCGAGATTACAGCATAATGAAAATTCCCGATCTGAAGGGCGTCGTCGTCGATCCCGACCAGGCGTCGAAATTTCCCGGCAATCGTCGCTCAAACTCAAGCAGCGCATTAGCAAAGGATCGCTCAATCGAACTCGAACATTCGCATGAGCAATCCTCTACTTTTCCTTCTCTCGGAGCTTCATTAATCGTTGTAGTACGCAGTAGATGGGTAACGCAAAGTTTGACGTAGCAGTTAACTTTGTATATACTTGGATTTTTTCCACGTTACATTACACACGAATTATACAGATAGTACACGGTAAACGATAATATTCAAACCGGTTTCCTGAACGCTTTGCCGGCATATCTCGTGTCTCTGGCCAGTTCCTCCTCGATGCGCAGCAATTGATTGTATTTGGAGCAACGTTCCGAGCGACAAGGGGCCCCGGCCTTTATCTGGCCGGTAGACAGCCCCACGGCCAAGTCAGCAATGAAATTGTCTTCGGTTTCCGCCGATCGACAGGCGATCATCGTGCCCCAACCGTTCGTTTTCGCCAGCAAATGCGACTTGACCGCTTCCGTAATCGTACCTAGAACAAGACCACCGTTGTTAAAATGGATGCAACGCTAATTTCGCGACATATTCCCGACGAACCGATTTGATTGACTTTCATGAGCAGGCAATTGCAGGCGGCGCTGTCGACGGCCTTTTGGATCCTCTTGGGATTGGTGGCGAGGAACTCGTCGCCGACGATCTGTATGGGTATTTGCTTCACCAGGTTCGACCACGAGTCGAAGTCCTCCACCTCGAACGGGTCCTCGATGGACACCACCGGAAACTCGGTGGTGAAGCTCTTGTACATGTTGAGCAGCTCTTCGGGCTTCTTCCAGCTCGATTTGCTCGATGCCGGGTTCTTGAAATCGAAGTCGTACAAACCTGCAGGTCGGAGTCAGTGATGCCAATGGAAATTTTGAGACAAACTGGATTAGAATTAAACGTGCCTTCTTTGAACATTTGTGGTGCGGCTGCATCGATGGCGATGTCGATCCTTCCGGCGTAACCGGCGGTGCTGATGGCCTGCACGATCAAAGACAGCGCTTCCTTGGGGTCGGCGATGTTGGGGGCGAAGCCTCCCTCTTCGCCCACCGAGTCCATTTGAAACTTCTCTTTGATGAGGTTCCTGAGGTGATGGTACGTCTCGGAGCCCATTTTCATAGCTTCGGTGAAGGACGAGGCGCTGGTGGGTAGAAGCATGAATTCCTGCGAAATCGCTAGTTAAAATTAGCGAGGACTTTTAGATGATTATCGTACTTGCATTGCCAGCTTGTTGGAGGAGTGCGCGCCGCCGTTGATGACGTTCAAAGCGGGCACCGGCATCACCAGGTCCTTGTTGCCCGCCAGGTCGCCCACGTGCCTGTAGAGGGGCAATCCCCGCTTGGCGGCGCCGGCCTTGCACACCGACAGGGATATGCCGAGGATGGCGTTGGCGCCGAATTTCTGCTTGTTTTCGGTGCCGTCCATGTTGATGAGGAATTGGTCGATCTTCTCCTGCTGGGTCACGTCCATCTCCTGCTTGCAGAGCTCCGGGCCGATCACGTTGTTGACGTTGTCTACGGCTTTGAAGACGCCCATGCCGTGGTAATCGTTCTGGATGCCGTCGCGCAATTCGAAGGCCTCATAAGTACCTGGTGGAAAATATTAGATTTTGTTACTGGATAAAGGGTCCTCTGAAGGAATTCAAAGGAGGAAATGGTAGTTGAAATATTAAAACCTGAGGTCACTCCCGCCGGAACAGCGGTCCTGAACAGTCCTAAATCAGTGACTAAATCAACTTCTACTGTCGGGAAACCTCTGGAATCGAATATCGATCTGGCATAGACGGCTTTTATCGGTTTTTGGCCTTTACTGGATTTCTGCCGGCAAGACATTTTTGTATCGTTGATGAAAAGCGTATGGAAAAATGCGAATAGTTGTGAACAAAAATAATGACTTATGAAATGAAAATTAACCCGTGTTTGGCGTTTAAAATGTCCATTGTTAAATCGAGTGGAAATTATTCGACACATCCATTTATAACACCAAAATGGATACTAAAGTTTTTCTGAAATCTCATAGTTTAAGAGAAAATTTAAGTTTTTCCGATGCTTGTTTTGCTGATAACTCATTTTAACATTTTTATTTGTAACTCCTAAATAACTCTTAACAAAATTTTCAAAATCAACCATATTTTGCGGAAGAATTAACTTTAATTTTCCTATAAATATAAACAAATTTCTGCTCCACATTTATATACAATTATGAGATATATCAAAAATATTCCCAATCCCTAATCCACCAATGATATTTTAAATATGCCCTGTACAATAAGAAATAAACCCACAAACTTCAACGACACGTCATAAAATCCCTAAATACGAGGAACTTTCATCGAAAGTCGGAATATAATTAATTTTTTACCCTTTACAAATATAATGAATGATGATGAGTTATATTCGAAAATTAAAATGGAGAAGCACCGTTTGCCTGAAGGACTTATTGAAAGTTTCATAGGATTTAACAAAGAGGAGATTTTCGATTCAGTGCAATCAGTGTACGCGTTTCAATGCGAATACGAAAGAACGCTGGTGAAATTCGACCGGAATATTTTTATCCGGGACTTCCCGCAAGTCAAAGCGAACATGTCCAAGAAGAAATCCAAAAAGAAATCTACCGATATTTGGATGTGTAATGTATAATTTAATGTAATGTAATGTTGTTTTAAAATTAAATTATTATGAATTTTTTAATAATAATACAAATTTAAAAAAAATGGTCTTTTCCTATGAAGCGATTAAAGTACGACACGAATCACGAATCCCATTCACAACTGTTAGCAAATGTCACAATCGTGATCGCAAAATTCCCTACACAACTGTTAGCAGTTCACAGACAGGTCCGTGATTTTGTAATTTGATCTGTTATGTTAAATGTCAGATTTTGACCAATGGGGATTGGTATCATACGCATGCGCGTTAGCGTCTAAAATAGAAGACCGCCATCAATCTAATCTAAACTGTCAACTTACAGCACGCGTGACAATCAATTTTCGTTTTAATTAGTAGTGAAAATACTGTAATTCATTCGGTTATCGTGTAATAATTAGAGACAAATAATTTGCATAAGTTCAAACGGTTAATGGGCGTTTGAACTTATTGTTAAGCTCAGTATTGTTTGTTTTAGTGTTACTTGGAAGCTCATTTGTGCCGTGTTTGTTGAATTAAAATTAGGACAAAAACGCAAAGAATCGTAAATTAAGTTGAAGTGTTTTGAAGATACATTGATATAGCAGTTAATTGCGGTTCTTATTTGAGCGTAACGTTTTGTATTAAGTTTATTTTCGAGATAGCTTCTTCCCTCTTCCGACGACGATGAAGATGAAAGTTCGTAAGTAATCGTTTGTTTTTATGTGGCCTATAAATTGCTTATATTTTATTTTCGTGCGGTAAGAGTTTTGTAATTTCAAAATGCTCGTTTTATTGCTTGTCGAATTTTTAGCGGTATTATAATAAACAAAAACCACGAGGTAGCCATTTCTGTCAAGGCGTCAGATGTCATTTATATGTCAGTTATGTCATAATAAACGTGCTTTCAGCATTTTGAATTTCAAAACTTTAAATTTCGCAATATCATTGAATCTCTCTATTGATATCTACATTTACTAAAGGGACAGTGTGTAAGTTAAGTTTATTGTTGCTGTTACGAAAAAAACAAACAAGCAGTCAACGTCAGAGTTGGCAGGGAAATTATTTTGTCAACTTCAACTGTCTTCGGGGGGTTGTCATGAAAATGTTATTTATACGTTCCTATATTTGCCGTAGATTAGAATAGTCGGCCGAAACGAAAATGGACCCGTTGAATTATTTTGCAGATCGCGAGCGCTTCCAATCCGGCAGCAGCACCGACGAAAATGAATCGGGCTCCGAACAGGAACACGAGGTTCTCATCTCGCAGCACCAGCTCAACAACATGGTCAATCTCAACAGTCACAATACGCCGGTGCGCAAACGCCGAGGCAACCTCCCCAAGCACTCGGTGAAAATCCTGAAGAGATGGCTGTACGAGCACCGATACAACGCTTACCCCTCGGACGCCGAGAAACTCACCCTATCCCAAGAGGCGAACCTCACCGTCCTGCAAGTGTGCAATTGGTTCATAAACGCCCGCAGGAGAATCCTGCCGGAGATGATTAGACGAGAGGGCCACGATCCCCTGCACTACACCATATCGAGGAGAGGCAAGAAACTGAGCAGCGTCAACCTGGTGGATCCCCCTACGGTGAATTGGAACGGCGATTTGCAGATTCTCAAAGGGAAACGCATCCGGCTAGATCACGACTACGAAGACAGCATGACGCTGATGTACCGATCGGAGGAGGACAGTCCGAACGAGTACGAGAGCTCGAGCCCCAGCGAAGAGGAGAAATTCACGCCTTGGCAAACTGTCATCAGGTACGGTGTGCCTACAGATTCTTCTAATCATCTGGCGAATAGGGGGTAAGAACTTTTTTTTCTGATTTATCGGGGTGGCCCCTGTCTATTGTTCAATCCTAATTACAAGATCAATTCGAGATTAAGTTGGTGTGTTCGATGATTGCGTAAGTAAAATACCCGTTTCATTGCCTCAATTAAACTATAAAATTATCTGGGGGGGAACCACAAATGTTTTACAATTCGTACTGATTAAAATTTGCGTTTGATTTTGTAGAAGTTTGGACGATAAAAACGGCAGCAGTGACTATTGGAACACCCCGCAGCTGGCCCATCTACCGCAAATGCCCCATTCGCTCTCCAATCCGAAGGTGCAGGTGATTCCTACGCATCCGGTGAACGAATTGATGAGCACCGACCCGCTCGAAGGCGAAGACAAAGATAAGTTTAAGTGCTTGTATTTGCTGGTGGAGACGGCGGTGGCGGTGCGGCAGCGTGAGAAGGAGCAAAGCGACACGCAAATGTAGCTCTCGGTGAATGAGGATGAATGTGAGATTGTGCCGATTGTGCCTTATACTTATTCATATATTAATTGTATGATGACGAGTGCCAATTTACATGATTTGTCGTTAGTTATTGTAGGGTTCTTTCTCTATTAAGATTGCAAGTTGTGTTGTTTTTAAGTTTGATAACTTAAATTAGTTTGATAGTAATTTTCTTTTAGCTCTAAATCCGATGTATTTACAATAAAGAGTGATATTAAATCGTGTTGGAATAGTTGTTGTTTTTTTATGAGGAAATACAAAAACAATAAATATGTTGAAGAATTGTAAAATTATATATATTTTGTACAGTTTGAATATGACGTAGAGTAAAATTCTGAAATAAAAGATTTCGAGATGATTGAATTTTTTTCCTAATGTCACACTACTCTGATTACTTTTCCTTTTAAACTAATCTTTTTTTTTTTTGTTCAAACCTTTTCGAACGCAATACCATTAAAACAAAAGCAAATTTTCTCGTGTAAAAATTGTTATTTTACATAAAACGTTTCTATGTCAACAATTTGATTTTCGTTTTTAAAATAAGCTGAATTTCCTTATTCGAAACTGAATAACTTTGTAAAATTTTCTCAAAAACGTTCTCGCTAACGGCCAAATTCAAATTATCGAATTTCCTATCCAACTCCTCTTCCGGATTACTCTCCACCCAGTCTTGTAAGATATCACAAAAGCGTCCCATTTCGGTTTTCAATTTCTCCGACGCCCTTTGCACGTACTCCTTACCCATTGGATCGGGTTGCTTCTTTTTACCTTTCTTCGCTTGAAGCGGCTTGACTAGCTCACCGCAAAGGGCGCAAATTACACATGATATGCTTATTATCTAAAAAAATCATCATTAATAAACGGATTATTGTTACGTATTTTACATACCTCTACACAATTTACAGCAATCTCCATAGATTTTCGTTTATCAAAGAAATCATTGGATTTTTTTAACGTATTCTCTCTCAAAACGTTCGTCAGTTTATCGAGCTCATCCTCCACAATCTTTGTACGTTTATCTAATAAATTACTATCATCACTGGATATGGCGAGAAGGAATTCGAAGAATGAAGTAAATACGCTGTAGTATGGGGCCAACAGCGCCCCGTGCAGTCTCGACGGTAACGGTAGAGGTAAGATACTCTAATAGGAAAACAAACATTATTAATGCAGCTAAAACATCATCACATCGACCTCAACATACCTGCTTTATAGGAACGAGATTATCTTGCACCGTTTGTTCATACAAGCTTCTCCAATCTTCAAGTAACTTTTTCAATGTCTGAACGTGTTCTTGTCGGACACCGTCCAGGGATTTCACGATATTCACCGCTGAAGCCATTCCGGTTAATACAAAACTCCTGAGTTTCAGAAAACGAATGTTTTGAAGAAACAAATCGCCGGCATCGGACCAATCTTCTGGAGGAGCCTCGATTCTTTCGGGATCCCACGAGTTGTATACACTGAGATCGTGATTGTCTCTACAAAACAACGTAAAATAAGTATGGAATTATTGGAAGCGAACGTCTCGTTTACCGGAGTATTTCCCAATTAATATCGGTCGATATGCTCAATGAATACAAAGTCTCCAATGACATGCATTCCACTAAATTCAAAATAACCTTATCTATTAGGACAGTCTTGTAGTGCAAGCTATTGTTCAACCTCTCCCTAAAATCCATAAACTCCTCTATTTTCGTAAACGAACCGAACTTGTAAGAGAACGTCAGATGATCAGAGCTCTACAACAAAACATTCTTTACTCTAACTGTTTGAGTTAATTAGAAGATTTTAGCATACATCTTTGTAATTGCTCGAGAAGAACTTCAAAGTCGTCTCGAACATATTCGTGCACAACGTAAACAATCCTGTTGTTGGTAATCTTGCGCAATGTACGTATCCCAAAGAATCCAATTGCAGATGCTTCGCATCCAAACTGTTGTACATTTCATGCGCACTAACTCCACCACCTACAAATTTTCACATTAAAATAATTTGCTGCTATCTACACATTATACAATCGAGTTATACCTAAAACATGGTACAATTTGATAGCCAGCAATTTGGCGTGGAAATTATTCGGTGAATTTTTCAACAGGCTCTCCAGTACCATCAGCGCCACCACGATGCAATTCGAACTGTTCTCTGCCAGAGCTAAATCGTAGAGACAATGGGCGGCCATTAGAGCGTACGGATCAGACGGGCCCAAATCAGTTGGTAGTAAATTCATCCCGTAGGTTTGGTAACCGTGCTGGTAGTGCAACGACAAAGCTGTGATTAAAGCCTTCAGATGTTCAGTGGGAAGGTTTCGGTGCCCTCCGCACAATCTGGATAGTTGTAAAGCGCAAATGTGTCGTTGCATTTGGTTTTCCTTGAAATGTGTACAACATATTTAAGATTATTGAATTTTATGCAAACGGTTATATCGTACCGTTTGCGGAACGCCCGTTGAACTGATTCCCACGTCTTTGATCAATCTGGATGACAAATCGATTTTTTTATCGGAATCCAGCAGTTTCAAATACGAGCGCAAATCCGTAACGCAACACTGCTTGTGGCCAAATTTTCGGAAATACTCAATGAACAATTCAGTCAAGTCGCCCAGAAGATCGGAGTAGTTCATTTGTTTCTCTTGTAATCTGGAGCACAATTCGAACCTCGCCAAATAAGGACCTCGAAGTAAGTAGCCTAAAATTATAAATTACGTGAGTTTTATTTGATTTTGTATGAAACATCGTAATCGTACCGTTTTCAGTGCCGTTTTCAACGATACCGCATATAAATTCGTGCGCTTTTTCGGGAGTGTCATCTGGAGAGTCTGCATCATCTCCAGATGAACCAGTTACAGATATTGAGCTTTCGGCAGGTATCAAACGGAACATCGAATTGATGTATTCTTTCCAAATGTCCCAGCGATCGACGCTGTAAATCAAAATGCCTTTACAAATCACGTTAACCTCGCTCCATTTCTTCAATTTTATCAAATACTCCAATTTGGCTTGTGGTATATTTGTACATTGCAGCTTCGAACCTAACGGGCCATTTAAGATATCCAATATATCTTCGTACTTTTCCAGAAGATTTAAAATGATTATGTAGAGTTGAACTTCTTGTTCGGCGTCGACTTTGTTGTCGTTGAGCAGTTTGGTGAACATTCGTTCGGCGAGGCAGAGAAGGAGCTTTTGTTTTTGCGCATCTTTCAATCCTTCACCTGTAAATGTTGACTATCAGTTAAATAGAAATGGTCAGATTGGGATAAATACCTCTTGTAGCTTGAAGAATTACTGACATGACGGCCCAACAGTAGTAAGGATTTTTCGGTTTCGATTTGTACAAAGCCATAGCGGTTTGTTGTTGAGATTTGAAATCGGATATTCGAACGTACGACATGAATAGGTGGGTATGCAATTCTTCGTTATTCGGATTGTTTTTAACGACCAATTCGTACAGTCGACAGATTTTCTCCACTAAAATTTATGCTCTGTTTAATGGACTCGTATTATAACGTAATTGTAATAACTTACGTTCTTGCATTTCTCTGTAACAGAGAGCCATGGCTTGCAGTGTGGCATCATCGGAAGGTATTTCTTTAGTTAAAAGTTCTAAAATAGCATTGCATTCGTTCTGTTTGCCCATTCGATGGAGCGTGAGAGCCTTCAAAGCTTTGGCGCATTGTAAAGTCGGGGTCTTTTTAAGCACCTTTTCGCATTCCTGCAACGCTTTTTTGTTGTTACCGCTATCCAGCCAGTCTGGAAAATGAACAATGTAAAATAGGTGCTAGATCATATCATAACCTTAAAACGTGGCACGACTATTAAGAGTTTAAAATATTCGATATTTCATTAATAAACAAGGCAAAAATTTACCATAAATTGGCCGCAGTCTTCGCTCTACTACTGAATTATCTTGGTGCACGTGCGAGTTTGTCTGAGGTCTGGACATTCTTGTACTTACTGTGTGAAGTTGGAGGTTATGTAAAAATTTTTTTCGGCAAATTATTATCTAACAACTTATCGAGGAGGTATCGGTAATTTTGTTAAACGGGCAAATTGGTAATGTCTATAAAACTAGAAATTGACCTTTTTTTACTGGTTTTATTGTTTACTTTTCATTAGACGACAACCGCCTTCCTCCATCTTTAAAGAAGTTAAGGGTTGCCGTAAGGGGGACGACGTAAGAGGCCAGTGATCAGTACATATGACATTTGGTATGAATAAAGAGATGAATATGGATCGACCACTAATAAGACAAGGACAAATTAATTGGATTAGCAATTATTGTGCGGATGAAACGAAACAAACGCAAACCTCACATTATCTGCCCGCGTTGCCGTCGTTGTAAACTTTCCTGTGGATCTAACCATTTTAAAAAAATCGTAAACTGCTAATTTTTTGATTTGCATAATTCTTTAAACATAGGACCTATGCTTTAATAAATTACATTAATATTAATAAAAATAAATCCACAATTACATAATAATAATTCCTTTTAACAAAAGATAAGATAAAACTAATTCTTTGACGATTGTTTCACTGAATTCAGAATCTACAGTTTGGCAACAGTGATTTGGCCATTCTGTTTTTCTGCGAATGACAGATGACAGAATCAGACGTTTGACACATTTTGACTTGGCTACTAATTTCTATTTTGAGTATTTTCCAAATTTAACGGAAGTTTCCAACAGACACATGTTTTCTATAAACATTCCAATTAAATTATGGGGTAAGTTTTGCATTCGCAATAGTCGCTCTTTGAGCTATCCTTAAATAATTCCATTGGTACAATTTTGCAATTTATTGAGGTTATGCTCGCTTCACATGAATTTGATGATAACTCGATTTTCGCATATTTCCAGCATAAAAAGTTCTGAAGTCAACAAATTGTATATCCGTTTGCCAATAAACATCAAAGACGAAGTATTTATCAAAGATTTGCATCCGAATATTGTTAAAGTTCAAATCCCTCGACAGGTGAGTTACTGCGTTAAATTAGGCATTATTCGTGTTCCATTTGATACAACAGATAATATTTTTGTGTAATTAATACTGTTGTTATCTAAATGATATGCTAATTTATAGTATCCATAAAATTTGAAATTTAATTTTGTTGTCAGAAAAAGCGTTGGTGTTTCGCCGAGTTCCGGAGCAAGGAGGAACTGCTAGAAGCAATTGAGGATCTAAAGAAGATAAAAATAAACAACAAATCAATTCACATTAAAAGGTGGTACAAGAAGTCCAACAGGAAGGATAAGCCTAAGCCTACTCCATCCGAAGGAGCCACCACGGAATCATTAGAGACTCTTCTAAATCAGAATTGAGTCTAATTTAGAGTTTATAAAAACAGTTTAAACAAAACCATGCCTCCTCAGTTCTTAGGTAACCCTTACGAAGTTGATAATGAATGGGGGGACAGTGATATAGACACTCGGGATGATGAATGGATACCTATTTCAGATAATGCATTAGTAAGGATATCACATTATACGTAAAAAGCTCTTTCTTTAAACAAGCTTTCATTTTTAGTTAACGCACAATCGCCTGATACAGAACTTGGATCTTACTGAGAGTGATGATGATGAAGATGATGAAGATGACTGGGGCATTAGTTACGAAACAGATTGGGCTGATAGCACAGATTACTTCGATGAGAACGACGGCATTAATGTTTATGTAGATGATGATGAGGACGATGAGGATGATGAGGAATACATTCCCGATGATGAAGATTATGAAGCAGACCAAGAAATCGAAGATCATATGGGAAATACTTTTGTATATTACGATGATGACACAGATGATGATGATGAGGACGAGGATGAAATTGAATACGTCACTTACCCTTGTAAGTATTATTTCAAACCAATATAATGTATTGTAAACGGTAGAATTAGAATTGAAAATGATAACTTCATACCATTGTTTGCCACAAGAGTGGATTTAATATAGAATTGGGTGTTTCTTTTAGCAAATGACAATGAATCGGTATCAAATAACAGTGAAAGTCAATCAACAATAGCTACTACAACAACTATGGCTAGTACGGTAACGGAATCAAATTCTACTAATTTTGAAACCGAAACGGATGCGGACTGATTGTTAAGATATCTAGTTTATTATTTTGTGTATATTTTATTCAGTTCAATTTGCCATGTTACCTTCTTTTTCCCATATCAGTAATTGGCCATTACCTAATCGTGTGTCTCAGTAGCTAAGTGGTGGAGTAAAATGTAACAAAAGAAATTAATGAAGATCTAAATGGTTTTCATTTATATCCTTTCATTGTCTTATCCATTCGTCTCCATTATACAAACAGTAGTAATCCCCAATTTTACCATTCTTCATAACCTTTTGGTGATCTTTATTTAAATAAATACAGCATACAGTTACATATTTTTCTCGTTGAATTATCGTATGCGTATGCTTTATTCTTTAGCTTTTGATAATTTAGCTATCGCAAAAGCTAGCGTGTCTGATTACTCCACTATTGCATATTATAATTTCATAAATTCAGAGTTCTTTGGTTCTTTTTTTGTCAATAAATCGTTTTATTTTTCTTGGGAAATGTTAGTTTTTATAAAATATTTAGATATAAGATTTGTAATTAATATTAAACTTTGTGTTTCAAAACCATTCTTTTTATTATCACATTGTAGTATGAAAAATATAAGCACTCTGTAATATAACATTTGGAGGTACTTTAAGGTGCGTAAGATGATACATTAAAAATACAAACTGTCAAAGGTGACACTAGTGACATTTCGTATTAATAGAGTTGGGAATTAACTTTAGTCATTTCTCATTTTAAAACGTACGAACTAGAGATGTAAGGAATAAGCGTTATTTTTTCGACTTTGGATGTTTTATTAATAATTTAGAATGTGTATCAGGGACAATCGGGGGCAACCGGTTTGTATCGAGTGGGCGCATCGCGATGGACCGGAAGCGGTACCAAACGGTACGGCTTGTTGTAATACTTTTCCCTTTCAATCTTCTTCTTTTCGTACAGCATAACTTTGGTCAAGATCGTATGCTGTTTCTTCCTTTCATGCTCCAAAACCTCTTTGTCCACGTTAGCGTGGGGTTCGTCTCTACACTTATCGTCAATTTCGATCCGTTGCGCTTCGGGTATCTAAACGAAATAATAAATATGTTACACAAGCATGTTATTCGAGCCCCACTCACCATATCCAAATCGCTGAAACTCTTCGCAGCCGGCAGCGACATGTTCAATTTGGTTTTGCAGTAACTGTCATAGTCTTCGTTCAGTTTCTTCTTCAATTCCTTGCGATTGTTCAGGTAGATTTTGAACTCTGACAGACACCTCAGGACGATTTCCTGCTGGTCCAGCATCGATTTCTCCGCTTTCACCATGTTCCTCATACAAATCGAATCGGCCTCGTTCAATATTTGCTCGGTCTGCTCGTCCACACCGCCCGATTTCTCCTTGAACTCCATCAGCACCTTCGCCTGGAACATCGCAATGTTGCAAAGCAATTACCATCGAGATACATCCACTATCTTACTTCCAATAGCTCCTGCTTCATGGCTTCCGTTTGGTGCTTGTACTCCTGCAACAGCTTCATCTCGTTGATGTACTCGCTGTACGAGTCCAGGACGCTCTTCTCGTTCTCCCTGTACTGCTCGGCGATCAGCGTGTACTGGCTGTTCTTGACGTAGTCGTTCCACACCTCCATGTTCTCCGGCACGTTGTCGGGCACCACGTACTGATCGGCCAACTGCTCGTTGCTGACGTTGCCGGAGAAGGAGCGCCGGCGCAACGACACCCTCGCCAGGGCGCTGCGCGATTTGTTCTTCTTGCTCTTGCCGATGGAGAATTCGGACATCGAGTACGACTCTCTCTCTGTAAATTACATGCGGCGATGTTAAGAGGTGAAGATGTGTGAGGTGGAAGACCTACTGGCTTCCGACATCTTAGTGTGTTGCCTGATCTGTTGCCTCAAGTGATCCTCTTCAGGTAGCAGGATGACTTGCTCGGAGACGGCGGTTTGGACGGAGGTGCCGCTGCGTTTCTTTTTCTTAAAACGATCGATTGTAAGAATTTTATGAAAGGGGACCGTTGGGTTGTACCAGTGTTTTTTTCACGGGTATGGAGGTGTCCGAGTCCCTCTTCGAACTGGCGTCTTTGAGCAACTTGATTTCATTCTCCATTTGATCCACTAAGTCCTTGAAGTGCCTGAAGACGGTGGACGCGTCCGCCACGGACATCACTTCGATTTCGCTGATCTGGTTCTGGAGGTACTCCTTGACTGTCTTCTTGAGGTGTTTGATTCTGTCGCAGTTCATGCAGATGCTCATGTCCTGATTGAGGAGTATCGAGCTTTGGATTCTCTCGTTTTGCAGTTCGATTACTTTGTCCTAATCGATGCGTTTGTTGTTTATTACTAGCTTATTAAATAAAAATGTATGCGGTTTACCTGCAAATACTTTAATTTGTGTTCGGGACTGATTTCGTATTCTAAATTAACTATGGTAGGCTTGAAACCTCTGACGATTTGACCGAACTTCAGCATAGATACTGTTAACGTGGCGTCCTCTTTCAATGTTGTTATGTGTCCAATAAATCTACGATAAAAGTTATAATAAAAACTTCAAGAAGCGCGAGTTATAGTTGTACCTCAAAGCGCTTTGACCTTTCAGGTCGTCTCCAAGAAAATAAATGAACGGGTTCATTCTACTTTTGATTTTAATCATCTCTTTGGACCTGGTGCACAGCGCCAGAAAAAACTGCTCCATGTAGGTCTTGTTCAAATTGGCCTCGGATATTTCGTATTTGTCTTTCAACATGCTGGATATCGATCCAAAGCAATCCGATCCAGCCATGTCCACCAAATGAATCTAGTAAATAGAGTTGTTAGTTCAAATCGCGCCATTAGACTGTGCAGTTAAGTAACCTTTCCTGTTATCTGCTTATGAATGTTGTATTCCGTATCTTCTGTGGTTACGTAGAATGTTAAAACGCTGTTGTTTACATGAGACATGTAGTTTTTTACTCTCTTTGTTATTTTACGACCTTCAGCTGCAAAGGATAAGAGTGAATTAAAGTTTCTTCACCAAGTCATTTAAATAGTACACAATCTTTGCAGTAAAGTAACTTTTTTTTGGTACAAAACTGTGTTTACCGGCGTAAAGTTCTTTCAGGGCTTCCAATTGCGATCTGACCTTCTTTCTGACCAGTTTTTGCGATAGTTTCATGTTGTCATTGACGCAATGCGGGTACTCTTTGAGTAAATCGTACACTGTCATTTTGGAGAACTCCGCGTACGACATCTTTATGCAGATGCGCCTGTTCTTTTGCGCTTGTTTGATCCTCAGCAACTCTTTTATTATCCTCGGAGCCAACCCGTAGTTCTATCGTGAAAAGGTAGTACATAAAATTAAAACGAGCGGGTGTTTGTAATAAATGTTATACTTCTTCTGTAAACTCCAATCCAGCTAAAGTGGCCGATTTCCCAGTGCCGGGTTTTCCAAAGCACACAATCACGGCATTGTGCCCGTACTCCAACCTGAAACTCGACAATCAACGCGCGAAATCTCCCAATAGAACGTCATTACTTTTCCAAGGAACGGTCCACGACCTTTTGGAACACCTCCTCCTGCTTGCTGTTGTTGAACACGCCGTCGGTCTCGAACTCCCAGTAATCCGAGGCGTCCGGCTTCAAGTGCACCGTCTTCTTCACGTATATCCTGCTGTTGCTCCGCAACTTCACCGTGTCGAATTGCAATTTATCGGCCGGGTGGATGCGGTAGAAGATCTTCACGAAACTGTTGCCCAGTTGGTGGCTGCTATTGCTCGAGGAACTGTCCAGGCTCATATTTAAATCGCTTCATTCGATCGTCGGAAACCCTTATGACAGTTTTGTCAAAGGAAACCACTTGTGACTCTTCTATTTTTGTCGCGTTCTGTCATTTCTGTTTAATTCTTAGGCAAAATTACAAACAAATACTGTACGTTTAATATCAGAAAGTACGATTTTTGAACATCAATTTGTAAATACAAAAAATAAATAAATAGTATTTAAATGTAACTGAGGCTAAAACCGGGGAATTTGGCTTCCATAGGTTGTTGCATATCCAGAAGGAAATACATGGGTCCTGCTATGCCTTCGAATAAAGACAATGGTCTATCAGGGGAGAGTTCTTCGTGTTCATTCACCTTATTCAGACACCACTCAGCGAATCTGGTGGCCCTGTACAAATGCTTCCTTTCCTACAAATATTACCAAGAAATTAGTACTTAAAAATTACCAACAACTAGTAATATTGTACCTGTGTGGTTTGATACAACTCCAGGAAGCAGTAACCGTTTCCTGATACACCGTGACAAAGACTGTACCCTTTTTTAATCAACCCCCTTTCCCAAATAACATCACCGCATTCCAAAGCGGCCTGTAGATATTTCGTATCTTGAAAAACTTTATACGCGGTGGTCAACAAGTACACGAACCCCGGAGCGCCGTGGCACCATTGCATGTACTTATCGGCCTCCCGGCCGATCGACGACGGGAAATTTCCGCTGGGAAACCTCTGGGTCAACAGGTACTCGATGGTGGGCCGGATCACGTTGTTCAAATCCGTCTCGGCGATGTAGCTGCGCGCTTGCAACAGCAAGTAGAGGATGCCGGCCAGGCCGTGAGCGGCGCCCAAATAGTAGCTGTCGTGCCATTGGTACATCAACGGGCATTTGAAACAGCCCGCCTTCGCCACGTCCCGACCGCAAACCAGTATCGCTTCGATCAGCTACAAACGCGCATCGATTGAAATCGATTGTGATCTACCAGCGTGTCGCAAAAAGTTACATTTCACAAAAACGTTTTCTACACGACTTGTAGATCCATAATCAATTTCCCCATTTGTATACAACTTTTTGGGACACGCTCGGATGTAGATATAGGAATACCACAAGTAGGAGAGTACTTGTTCGAGAATACTCTAGCATCATACTCTCAAGTGAATTTTTTTGCAGTACATACAAGGCTAAGGTGAAAAAATTTCGACTCTACAATGGAAGACCGCGATTTTCAGTTGAAAAATTACATTGTTCTCCTTATTAAGTGAAAATCTTTAGTTCTAGGCAGTTCTAATCGATCCTAGAGCGTTCTAAACGATTCTGGAACGTTCTAAATGGTTCTAGACTGATCTGAATGATTATGGAGCGTTCTAAATAGTTCTAAACAGTTCCAAATGATTCTGAGCGTTCTAAATGGTTCTACATAGTTTTAAATCGTTCTAGACAGTTGTAAATGATTCTGAAGCGTTCCAAATGGTTCTAAACAGTTCTAAAAGATTTTGGAGCGTTCTAAATAGTTCCAAATGATTCTGGAGGGTTCTAAATGGTTCTATGCAGTTCTAAATGATCCTGAAGCGCTCTAAATGGTTTCAGTCAGTTCTAAATGATTCAGGCCGAGAACTTTACACCCTATACTCTCGCAGTGAGACACAGTCAGCTCACTTGCATTATTCCTATCTCCTCATCCTTGTAGACCGACAATGTACAGAGATTTATATACCCACTTGGGTGATTAATTGGTCTTCGAAAGGAGGCGGCGATACGTTTTCGTTGACGTATAAAATCGCGTACAAATAACCGGCCCTTCCGTACAAGTACTCGTTGGGCAGGTCCGACTGTATGTTCAAAACGTCCCTACCAAGGGAAGTTAATCTGGAAATGAAATGGGGACGTGCAATATAGGGTGTTGGTTGATGTACAGGGTAGCCCAGAACTCACGCCGCACCGGAAAATGCCTGATGGAAACGACAATGGAGATGCCAAAACTGTAACCGAAAACATGAAAATATGAAAAATGTTATTCCTTGGCTACAGTTTTGGCATCTCCATTGTCGGTTCCATAAGGCCTTTCCCGGTGGGTCGTGGGTTCTGGGCCACCCTGTATATGTAAACGGGGGGACGTACTTGCCGAGCAAGTGTTCGACTTCCTCGTGCTTGCCCAGTTTGTCGTTGATGACGATGCCGATGGCGAGGGGACCGGCGTCGCCGCAGAGGAACGTGTGGCGTCTGCCTTTCAGCTTGTCCAGGCACAACAGCTTTTTGATTTCCTGGAATACAAGGCGAATGTTATCATGTAGGTGGTAATGAATGTTTACTTTGTATCGGGCTATTTATAGGCGCATCTCTTGAAGCGAGGCATTAGAAAAACACATAAAAATGGTGCGAATTTACTAGTTTTCCAGCGGCGAGAATAAACACTGTAATAAGAATATTTTTAGATGGTTTGTTTAGACTTTGTGCGGCACCCTATAGGAAAAATCAAACTTTACCGGAATATGTTTCTAAACAGTAAAAATATCAATTGTATTTTCGTAAGGGAATGATTTTATAGTGAATAAATAAAAACTATACTTACTTTGAGATTTTTAGGAATGTTTGGTTCTTTCTTCAACTTCAACAAAGCGTACCCCGATGTTCCAGTGTAAACGGAGTAATCTTTGAAATCCAAATTTTGAAATTGCTCCTCCGTGCTCCTCCATCTGTCTTCGATGCAAGTGCAATATCTGGGTACAATCCCCATCTACAACGTTTATACTGAAGAAACAAGACACTGTTAACTGAAGAAAATAATACTTACATCGGGGATGTGATCTTCGGCTTCGTTGTAATCTTCGAAAGGATTAACGAAAAATTTCTGAGACATCTTCGACTGTTTCTTGTAGCGGACCGGCAGCTAACTGAAAACGATTAAAACGAAAACCGCTCCTCGAACCTCTCATAAAATTTAATAAAACCCGGTGTTTATTTGATTGAAGTTTGTTTACGTTTGGTAGAGGTTAATTTGACATGCTGTGTTTTCCAGACTCCAAATGTAAACAAAAACAAACGCGTAAAGCCTTTAAATTTTGACGTAAAAATTGGCTGTATAAATGAATTTGTTAGGCATTTTTTTTTTAAAGAAGAAATGTCACTATTGACAGCTAAATTCGAATTTGACAGTAATGTTTTTGAAATAAAGTGCGGGAATTTTAAAAATTATAATATTTTAACCATACTCAATTAAATTACAGAAATATTGAAAATATTATAATTGTTCTTTGTATCTAAAAAATGCAACACAGTTTGCATTACATGCTAGTTCTCCCAACACAAATGTAATTTAATGTAACTTCGTAGCATTTTCATCAATTCCTTGGAGAACGCATGTTTTTTCCGGAAAAATTTGCGAAAAATCCTTCATTTCATCGGATTTGTTTTCTACTTGCGTATAAACATTCTTTTCGTAGGGTTCATCACACTGAATTATATTGAGAATGTTAGTGTCGCTAGATAATTCACCGAGATCATAAAGCGTATTTGAACTTGCATCATACGAATAATTCGACTTGAATACGATAGGTTTTTCTACAGGAACATGTTTCAAAGATTCTGGTCCATGGTAATTTCTAGGATAACGAGATACATTTCGATTTATTAAATTAGTTTCAATCTTATAGAGGTCATCTTCAAAATCACCATTAATATCTGAGTAACACAAGGGATGATTAACTGGGTGTTCATAAGAAGGGTGTTTTTTTCTAATTTTCGAGAGGGTTGCATACAATTCCATCTCATCTTGTATATCCGGAGAATACAATGGTGTCTCAGAATCACCTAAATTATCAACTGAATTAGACTCCTGGAGGTATTCCTGAGACAGTAAAGACATGTCAGATGCATCAGAATCCAAGTAAATTGATTCCTGAGGTCCCACCACAACCGCATCGGAATCCAAATCGTACGGTATCCTTATGATCGTCGTTCGATTCGTTAAAATGGTTCCTTTGGGAATTATGATTCTTCTGTATGTCATTTGAGCGACTTCACTGAAAATTTTAATTGTACGAATGAAATTTATAACATCGTTAACGTGTCAATGTCAGAAAATTACTCTTCTTTTCATACCATCCACATCACTACATGACACTCAGAAACGTCCTAAATCATCTCTTCCCGAAAAAATGTAATCCCGGCAAAAATTCGGCATGAGTTCGCAGAAAAGCTCCGCGCAGAAGGTGGTCATCCCCAAGGGGATGATCGACCCCACCGAAACAACCATCATCGAAATTCCCAGTTCCATGAGAAAGAGGAACGTCGTCGTCGTCAAAAAAACCGAAAATCTATCTTCAGTCAGCTCTAAAAAAGGGTCAGTATAAGTCGATAGACTACCTATAATCTATAATGTAGTGATTCTGGTGATATTGCGTTACGTAATCAAAATCGTGGTGTAAGTGAACGATTTCATGCAAATTCAGTGCTTCTGTGATAGCTCTATTCTATTCTAAACTGCTGCCCAGCTTTATTGGCGACAAGTCCCTTGTGCAGGACTTTTGGTGCATCTGATACCTTTCAGGAGCCGCTCCAGGAAAACCCATCGCGCCACCACCACGAGGCACTTCAATAGAAAAACGGACGACATGCTCCTGCAGAACCAAAACGCTGGATCCTCGCAGTCTCCAGGCGGATCTTATCACATGTTGCCCAAACACCCGGGACTCTCGCACGCCTCTTTCGCCGATTTCGCCGACGACCACCAGCTTGACCAGCTGCTGGAGGACCTGGACAGGTACTATTGCACCCAGAAGCAGATGCTCATCAATGCGAAGCTGAGTCGAACCTCCACTTGTCCGTAAGTTTGTTTATTATTATAGCTTTTCCAAAGTTTATGTTTGATCATATGAATTAGATTGCTCATGTTGCATTAAGATTGACAATGGTATAATAAAATGTATCTCCCATGATCATTGTTGAATGTATTGAATTCAATTGACTTTGGTAAGACTATAAATTCTCTTTAATTTCTAGTTGTCCTCCGAACACAAAATTTACTCAAACCGACGTTACGATTGATAACAGGTAAAGTGGTAGGTATTTAATAAGATAATTAGCACTCTTAAAAAATCTAATGCGATTTTAGCAAATATGAAAGCTTCAAAAAGGGAATATGTCCTACTAAAACGAGCGAACCTATAGCAACACAGCTCAGCGTAAGGTAAATATTTCTAAATTTAATTTAATACAAAATTCATTAGATTAATTTCAGCGCGCCGCAATCTCAGTATTCAATGAAAATGGATTCGGGCGCGGATAAATCCTGCAGCTCCTGGAATTCCGCACCTGTCCTTAAACCGCACTCCAGCTGCTCCTGCAGCAGCTCCCACGGAAAACTGTGCAAAACCACCAATCAAAGGTGTGCATACACACAAATTTCCCTCCAAATAATTTGAAATTTTGACCTTTTGCAGTGGCCCTCACTCTCAACCGTTGCTATCTGGACAACATTTGGACTCTACCAGCAAAATGGCCTGTTGTTCTAAACCTGAGCAACAAAATTTCACAATCAAAAGTTCCCCTTCCAAGCAAAGGTACCGGTTTGTTTGCTACCACTCGACTTTCTATATCCTTTGAATTATTTAGCAGTTGCGCCATATTGACTCCGTGCGATTTGGAATTGATCAGAAGGCAGTTCGAAGAAGCCTCGAGGAAGCTGCAAGACATACTCAGTTCGCAGAAGAACGACCCGTCTTTGCTGAAAAAGAAGAAGCGTTATTAAGGGATTGATTTGCCATCGTTTCTGTTACCGATTGCACAACGACAATAAACTAATGATGATTTGTTTAAATGCGTAATTGTTTTTGGTTGTTGTAAATATTAGAATAGAGGAGAGTGAATAAAGCGATATTTCCAATACTTGGTTGACTCACCCTGTACACGCAAACTTACCGATAACAATTAGAATTTTAATAGCAAAATCTTCGTCAACAAAAACTATTCTTAAGGGCAACATTTCCTTTAATCAACAGGCAAACACAAACGAACAAATACCCGATTAAACCGATACCACCGATAATATGTACAGGGCGATTCATATAAGCGTCATCTTCTGACAATTTTCTCTGATTGTTTCCAGAAAATACGACAAGCTTCTGGGATCCAAATCCACGTTCGCCCTCCACGCGGAGCAGCTGAGGAGGCTGCTCAACGAGCTGAGCCCCGGCGCCTTCGAATCCCCCAGCAGGTTTCGGCTCTGCGCCGAGGAGTTGCGGAAGGAGTTGAAGAAGAAGTACAAGCAATCTCGGCATTCCTTCGAGGTGCAGAGCGGGGAAGTTGATGCTAAACACACCGAAGATTGTAATTGCCATAATGACAAATAAAAGAATTACGTTTTTTATATTGTTGTTGGTTGTTGTTTCATTCAAAAATTCCTGCGGAACTTAGGAGAGTTCTTGGAGAAGTGAGCTGTGGATTAAAGTGACGTTTAACTTGAAGAAAATGTACTGGGTGACCAAACAAATAGTACTCTCTTTTATTAAAGGAAATAGAGAAATTGTTTCTTAGCTATAGTATTTTCAATATACAGTGTGGTTCGTTTTATCACAGCTAAAAGGGATACTTTTCAAGTCGAGGCTAATTTCACTGTAATTTATTCTGTAGAGATGACTAATTTTTTCCACCCCGCATGATTATAGGTAGTAAAATAAAACACCCCGATGGTATTTTGTAAATTATCTGAACTAGAATCAACAGGCGATTGAGTCAACGTAATATTATCTTGTTTTGGAACCCTCCTTAACAATTAACAAATGTTTATAATAGTGATAAAGCAATTTGTACAAACAAGCCAATAGACTGTAATTCTACAGAAACCGAAATCATTAGATTTATCGGGAAAAGTCCGGTTTAAAAAGGGACGGGCGCTTCGTGGATTCGACTTTTGTGGCATCGAATGGCAACGAGAAAACTACCCGCCGAATGCGGTAAGTCCCAATCCGAGTTTTCCAATTAAATTTAACGAATTTTACACATCCGAGAAGCGCTAATTGCGCGTAATTGACGGCTAAACGTGGGCGAGCGCGCAATTGGACCGTCCCGAAATTGAATGAATACTAAGTAGGTGAGCCAAAGGTGATGATTCCGATATTCACCTGGGTTCTTCTGCTTAATGTTTCTTCAATACATCCAGCAGACGACTGCAAATCGCTCGTTACCCCGAGCAACATAGGAGTAGGTAATTCGACTTGACGAAGCGTAGGGTGTCAGATTTAATTTTTTTTAAATGCAACTTCCTCATTTGATCGGCTTCCTGTCCATTAGGAGACCCGCATTTCGAGCATTGTTCTTTTCTATGCGGATTCATTTAAGGCGATGCATCGCATACCGGGCGGTTTAATTCAATAAACGAAATAAGTCAAGTGTCACGTCTCCAGAAAACAGTGGTGTAGAGTGCTCGCTATTTTCCCATCTTCTAGTAGGTAACTATATCGTCTATAGTTTACTAGATTTTATTATTATTCCCCCTATGAACTGCCATTTAACAGTGATTTTTTTTTAGTTAGTTAAAAAAAAAATTGCTAGATATATTGCAGGGGGGAAATACTGGTATGGAGGAAAGAGAGTTTCTTGCACACGTCCGCCTCATGATGGGCTATATTCTATTATTAAACAGGCGAGAATTTCGCACCGAGAACAGATTAATAAAACGACAATGTTATAACGTGTTGAACTAATCGAGCAATTTATTTATTTATAATATTTTTCGCTCGCGTTATATATGCATAACGTGGTGATTTCTTTCTTACATCGCGACCGGGAGCGTCATTCAAGTGATGGTTAAAGCCCATAAACGATCTCTACAATAGAATAATAACGTGCACAAAAGGAAATAATCTCTTAATTTAACTTAAATTAACGCGGGGATGTGGGCTCGGAATATAAGCCCAATTGTGGCTCATTAACGGACTAGTTGTTGCCACGTTTTTTGTCGTGTGTTCGTGTCTCGTCGCGTTTTCTTGCAGATTTTCAACGGTTTTCATGGGTTTTTCTATTCGATTATTAGTGTTTATTCAATAAAACAAGTACGTATTGTATGATCTTTGGTTTCATTAGATTAAATTATTATTTTTAATGTGACTAGTTGTAGTGACTAGTTCGGTTTATTGCTATAGAATTTTCGAAATTGCGGGATACACTTTATTAACTTTGGTATCGAAAGTGTAAGTTTTACAATACTAGGTGTCCAAATTATTTTCCGTTTTGTTAGTTTACCTCAAAATATATTAAGCGGCAAACGAGGTATGTATACAATTCAATTTCTCGCACTATTAATAAATTTAGAAATTAGGAATAAAGAGTTAGGTGAGTAATTGGATTGCATTTGCATAATTTTTAGATTATTTTATATCACGTACAATAGTTAAGAAATTTTCATATCAATAATTCAAACGGCATTCCGATTATTGTAAGGAAAAAAATGTACACCCTATTTATCTCAATATTGATGATCTTACCCGAGTGTACTTTATAGAAAAGTTACTGTAAATCTTTTCGCTGCGGTTTATTTCTTCTAATAAAAGTACAATCATTGTTATTTCTAAGTACTAAGCAACTTTTAAAACGCACTGTAGGTGTTAAAATCGATATAAACCAATAGAAATTGGAATTTATTGAAGCAAGTTCGGACCTGACGCAAGAGAAGAAAATCTTATCGTTGACCCGTTGATACCGTGACCCTCGATCGGTATTATTCTTTCCGAAGGATGAATGTACTGATTTTTTAGTCATTCATCGGTGTAAATGCGACTTACATTCGATACGGCACGATCATAAAAATACCGCTTTTTCGATGTATCCACGAAGAAAAAGATTGCACACGTTGCGCCTGTAAGGTAAGAGCCAGTTTCTCTAACCACATCGCGTCTCAAAATTCTCATTTTTGTTGATAGCTAGTATCTGAATTGTTATCAACATGATACATTGAAAATGACAGTAAATAACGATAACTTATTAAAAATAGAACGTCTACAATCAATATAGGCATTAAAAATGGAAGCTATAAGTTTGGATTCTTTTCTCTTGATAGTAAATAGTTTATAATAAAATTCATTTATACCATTATTAATTACCTACCTATATATGTATAAATAAATTTAAGTACAAAGTACAGATTTTTCTCACGTTCCACCATGTTTTTCATAATCTTCAAGTACTCGAGTCCAATTTTTTGGGATGGATAAAAATTCACGCTTTGACGATTTCCACCCCAGCATATCGCACATATGTCGATATGTGGGTTAGAGTCATTGTTAGATAGAATTTTTTCGAGATTAGTAGAACCCAGAAGTTCGTCGTCAATTAAGCAACAGGCAGGCAGACGTTTAATTTACAAGGGGTCGAATCACTTGACCTCTCCACGAAACCCAATACTGAATGAAACGTGTATTCCTGGCGTATAATATGTATTCAGTAAGTCGACGAAAATCGCGGAACCCGCAGGTCATGGTATTAGAATTTACTATTGCATTCGAGTATTAACCGTGCGTTTGTTTGCCGTGGAATCTGGGGAACCCCCGGGAACGTTAATTGAGTTAATAACTGTATAAAATAATGATATTTGAATCGGTTTTTTTTGAGTGGAACAATTCAATTTTGAGTTTTTTTAGGGTTTTCAATTACCAATCCGATCGGGTATAAATAACGTTCAAGGACTAATTCAGGAAGGTGAGTGCAATTGGGACCATTTTCGCATTTAATTACGAACTTCCATTGTTTATGTAGCTGTTTGTTCTAGTAAGTAGGTAGTTTGTAGATTAATATAGTTTACGTAATATACCGGCAATATTACTTTGAAAATTTCGAGTTATATCGGCGAGTTGGACGTTCATTTAATGTACTTAGTCGAAATGAAGGTTCAAAGGTGCCGGTGACTTCAACGAAAAATAATGAGCGATATGAGTAAGCGTTTAAGTGGCTATATTCAAAATTATACTGGGCATTTATCTTGCATTTCCAAGTAATAACCACCTGAATAGACGCTATACATCAGTAAGATAGTTTTCACACAGTGCAATATATTGCAGTATATTGCATTGCAGGTAAAATAGAAGCGTAAAATAGTAGCGTTTTTCATCAAAACGACAAAGAATTTTAAATAACAAAAAGAGTAAAAAAAGTTTCATAATGAAATTACCTACGAAATGAACTAATATTTTTTTAAATTATCCATCAGGTACAAAAATTCAACAACATTTAAAATATAAATTTAAAATATACCAAATGATTTATCCTAACTTTCGATTAATGCTCTTAGTATACTCATAGCTTTTACTAAATTTAGTTGTGTTAAGTTTGAGTATTATTGTAGCGAAAATTTGTCTCAAGTTTTTTCATTTCTCCACGCCTTGTATCTCAGAATGATTCATGCGAAAAGAGCCGTTTTCATAAATTGAACCAATGAATCACTTTTTTCAATTTCGACACGTGCTTTGAAACACACAGTATATAAATTTAAGGTTGAACTAAATAATTTTCCTATTACACTTATACATACAATAAATCCATTCATCTGCTTTTTTACAGTCATAATAATAAAGACTATCTATAAGAGTCAACAGATCCTTGTTTTCTTTTTAGCGCAGATAACAGAAAAATATTTTTACAAATTTGCTGTAAATATATTTAGCCTAATAATGGAGATACAAAACAAGCGTTAATCGGTAGAGAAAAGGAGCGATAGGAACGTCTGGACGAGATTCTGCCCTGTTACTAAGTACTAGTGCCGCAGGAGTACACTTGACCTCCTGCTGCTCAAGTGCTTATCAATGGGATCAGATATTCCGCATGAAATGGCGCCATTAGCAGAAAAAAAAAAACAATAAATTTCAACATATGTATAGTGTTTATTCACATATTTTTTGTACACTAATCTATGAACATAAAATTAGATTTTTTTACAGTAACATCGAAAATGTCAAAAACCAACATCGAGGAAATGAATCTGTTCACCATCTAGATTAAAAATACTGAAAAGCTTCGAAATGCTACAATGCTTTTTTGTATTGCTTTTATACAAGGGCAATGACATTTAAATATGGAATGTAAACTTTCCACTTTAACAGGACCATGAACGAAATAACAATTGTGCAAACAGTAATCAATGAAAAATTAAATATCAACTTATATGATAAAAATAGTATTGTCTTATTTTCATCTAAATAAATGGAAAGGGTACTTTTTAGACTCTTGAAATTAGGAAATTAATTCACATGGTGCAACCAACTCATTTTGCTTCTATAATTAAAATTTATTATGTTTGCATAATTCATCGCTTCTAATTGGAAAAAAAACCCAAAACAGCAAAATGAGGGTGACAACTTGCATTAATATACATTGAACGCCTTTCTCAAAGGCGCCATATAATATTTACAAAAAAAAATTACACCGCAAATATCATCGGCTTAAAATTATTTGGTAAAATCAACTAATCGGTACAAGTGGACTTCATTAACAAACCTAAAACTTTCCCTATGGAAGGGCGTTTCCTAATAATTTACAAAAATATCAGAAGATAATTCTTTCGTTCATAAATCGTGATAATTTCCAAAGATTTAAAAGCCTGTTCAACAGTAAATTCGCAAACGAAAAAACCACCTTCCAAACGAACCATTTTGTAAACCTAACAAACTGCCCTATTAATATACAAAGTTTCTTTTTTATTACATAACAATGAAACTAGTGACGCGAGTCCCTCGGGTAGAATTCGGCCAACGTGGCGGCCGGGATACGTTTCAACATTTCCTTGGGGAAGATACGCAACAACTGCCAGCCGATGTCCAGCGATTCGAACACCGTACGGTTCTCGTAGCTGCCCTGCGTGATGAAGTTCTTCTCGAACTTGGTCAGGAACTCCAAGTAGAGCAGATCGTCGGGCGTCAGGGCCTCCTCTCCCACCACGGCCTTCATCGCCTGGACGTCCTTACCGATGGCGTAGCAAGCGTACTGAAATTCACATTCATTTTATTATTAGATTGTTGAAATAAAGATAATGAAGAGATTTAAAAGACTTTTTTTTGTGCTTGACTGCTTGACGCTGATATTAAAATGGTTTATGCACTTCTCCTTTACTAATTATGCATCCAACTTTATGCATTTGGACCTGGAGATTATCTCCTGGAAGATTATTGTCAAGGATCTACAGGGACATTATTCTCCAGGAATCTCAATGGAGACTATTATCCACGGATCTCCAGGGAGACTATTGTCCAGGGATCTTCAGGGAGATTGTTGTCCTGGGATCTCCAGGGAGATTATTGTCCAGGATTCTACAGGGAGATTATTGCCTAGGGATCTTCAGGGGGATTATTGTGCTGAGATCTACAGGGAGATTATTGTCCAGAATTCTTGAGACAGATTATTGTCTGAGGATTATTGTCAGGGATCTTCAAAGAGAGTGTTCTCCAGGGAGATTATTGTCCAGGGATCTCCAAGGATAATATTCCCCAGGGAGACTATTGTCCAGGGATCTTCAGGGAGACCATTGTCCAGAGATCTCCAGGGAGATTATTGTTCAGGGATCTCCTGGGAGATTATGGCCCAGGGATCTCCAGGGAGACTATTGTGCAGGTATCTCACAGAGAGATTATTGTCCAGGATTCTATAGGGAGATTACTGTTACAGCGATCTCTAAGAGTATTCTCCAGGGGGAGAATTGTTGAGGGATCTCCAGGTAGATTGAAGGCTTTAAGATCACTGGAGATTGCTGTGAGAGGTAAATATAGTAAATCAAATATACAACAGCACTCACCAATTGGTTAGAAACGTCAGAGTGATCTTTCCTGGTCATGCCCTCGCCAATGGCGGACTTCATGAGACGCGACAGCGACGGTAAGACGTTAATGGGCGGGTAAATTTGCCTGTTGTGCAGCTGACGATCGACGTAGATCTGTCCTTCGGTAATGTAACCGGTCAAATCGGGAATCGGGTGAGTAATATCGTCGTTGGGCATAGTCAAGATGGGAATTTGGGTGATGGAGCCGTTGCGGCCCTCCACACGTCCGGCTCGTTCGTAAATGGTGGCCAAATCGGTGTACATGTAACCGGGGAAACCACGTCTACCGGGTACTTCTTCCCTGGCGGCGGATACCTGGCGAATAAATCAACTTTAGTACCGATAAAGACACCTTTTTGGGGTATCGCTAACCTCACGCAAGGCTTCAGCGTACGAAGACATATCAGTCAATATGACCAACACGTGTTTCTCGCATTGATAGGCCAAGAATTCGGCCGCTGTTAGAGCCAAACGAGGCGTGATGATTCTCTCGATGGTAGGATCGTTGGCCAAATTCAAGAACAAACACACGTTCTCCATCGAACCGTTCTCTTCGAAATCTTGTTTGAAGAAACTGCAACGTTCGAAAAATTAATACACACCGTAACGAACGTAGATCGTTATCTTACCGAGCGGTTTCCATGTTGACACCCATAGCGGCGAACACGATGGCGAAGTTGTCCTCGTGATCGTCCAACGCCGACTTGCCGGGCACCTTGACGAGACCGGCTTGCCTACAAATCTGGGCGGCGATTTCGTTGTGGGGCAGACCGGCCGCCGAGAAAATGGGAATCTTCTGACCACGAGCGATCGAGTTCATCACATCGATGGCGGAGATACCGGTTTGGATCATCTCCTCCGGGTAGATACGCGACCACGGATTGATCGGTTGACCTTGGATGTCCAAGAAGTCCTCGGCCAAAATTGGGGGACCTAAAAATACGTTAAATCGATCCTCGATTAGTACGAGTTAATTATTAATCCCAGGAAATGTACCTTTATCGATCGGTTTTCCAGAGCCGTTGAACACTCTGCCCAACATGTCTTCGGATACGGGCGTTCGGAGGATGTCGCCGGTGAATTCGCACATGGTGTTTTTGGCATCGATTCCCGAAGTACCTTCGAACACTTGTACTACGGCTTTCGAGCCGCTCACTTCCAGTACTTGACCGGATCGTAGACTGCCATCGGCCAGTTTGAGCTGGACGATTTCGTTGAATTTCGGAAATTTGACATCTTCGAGGATAACCAACGGTCCGTTTACACCGGACACCGTTTTGTAGGCTGAAATAATAATCATACAATGAATATTCGTACATTAAATTACACCCCACGAAATACAATAAATAATCGTAGAAGTTCAATTGTAATTCAAATATGTGAGGTCCCTTCATTACTTATAATTAAGTGGATATAATTAAAAAATGAATTTAATTAGGACTAAAAGCATGCACTAGTATTCGTCGTAATATAACTAACTGATGGAATTAAAACTGGATTTGATGCAACTAAAAATAAATGTAATATTGCAAAGTAATTGCTCTTAAATAAATAATAGTACAATCAAAGAAACAGCAGCCCTTTGAAAATAAAGGTTTTTATGAGGAGTGGCATATCATAAGATGCCAGTCACATGATAACATAAACAGCTGATCCCTAGGAGTTACAAAATCGACTAATCCGCAATAAACAGACTAATACATGAGCGGCCTGATGTAGAAAACACATTTACGTCCAGAAACACTAAAAATAATCGATAATATTAAGAAAATTTTGGTCATATGACCCGTACTAGTCCACCATTAGTTTCCAGACCCACCCAATATATCGGACGTTTTTTCGCGGATTTGTAGATTAAATAACGTTTGGAGAACTTACTGAGCCTTGGCTGGGACACGAAGTCTCTGGACACGGCTAAAACGTGTTCTTGTGCGGCCTGTTTTGCGTTCAAAGTCGATGGGTAAGACATCTTCTCCGTGTAAAGAAAGATACGTCTAACACAAACCGCAAAAATTTTACAACTGGGAAAATTGTCAAATTTACTATCGAATTTGCTCACGTGTTGTCATGTGACGTGCGTTTCGAACGTCAAAAACGAGATGGCGCTTGTTAATTCAAATAAAATTGTAAATAGATAAATGCTTCTAGTTCACCCCTATTTGTATATACTAATTAAATAGTTCAATAGTTTTGTTATTTCTGTAAAATATTTCATTTTTTTGATAATTTTTACATTTTACGGACCTTTGTCAAAGCAGGAATTCAGCGACCGTCATTAATCAAATTTGACATGAACGTCATATGTCAGAATCCATTCTTCTTTGTCCTAGCTTTGACGTAGCATTTAGTTTTGTTTACAAAAAATGTATAATTTTAAATAACTATTTTTTATTTAATTGGTAATTTTAGTAGAACAATAATTACACTATGGATAACTTAAACAATTTAGAATATTACAAAACTTTAGTATCTGATGAGTGAGTAGAAAACATTGGTTTTATAGCACCTTTTAATATAAAATTACTTTATTTGTAGTGAGGTAATCAATGCTCTAATAAAGGACAGTAAAGTAAGAGAAGGAGTTTGGGAAAAACCTCGAGTGAGGCCCAACATACAATTTCTCCAACGCACTCTTAATAACATAGCCAGTTCAAATAAAAGGTAATTTAAAAAACCTAATTGTGATTAATGTTATAATATTGATAGTTTCATTAGAGTTTCAGAGAAGAGAGAACGAATAAAAGAAATTGAGAAGGGAAGAAACGACGTATCGAAATACAAGCCAAAGAAAATAATACCAAAGAAAAAATTACCCATAGAATATATTCGGGAAATTCTACAGAATCGAATAGAATTTGTTAAACCTGAGGATGATAATGCACAAAAAATAGAAACGAGGTATTGGATTTCTTATATTTTAATTAAATGATTTTAATTGATTATAATTTTCAGCTTAATACCTGAGCGCAGTCGAAGAAAGTCACTAGACCAAAAGATAACTCCCTTGACACAAATTCGAGACATTTTAAAAAAGAACTGTAAAGGAACTGTTCAAGATGTTATATTAATATCAGATAGTGATAGTGATAGTTCCGATTCTGAGAAAACTTAAAATGTTTTATTAAAAAGACGATAAAAATTGTGGTACAATACATATAAAAAGTTTGAAGTTATAATGTGCTTAGATGTGAATAAATGGGGGTTTTTAGTATTTTTACTAATGCATAATGCTTGGAAGAATAATAACAGAAAGTGGATAATTTTTTATTCGTGTTTTTTAATTTGAATATTTCCCCATTTTTTATTTTTGAAAATATGTTGGCAATACTGTGTCAATTCAATTGTTCTGTCACTAATGTCGCTGTCACCTGTCAGTCCTGTAACCTCTCAAACTCAAAAATTACTTTTCATACATCCTGCTCGAATTCGTCAAATTGTCTGTAAGTAATATAAATTAACCAAGAATTACATAATTAATGCATTTTCGGTTGTAGCTAGATATTTGAACCCTAAACAGTGTAATAAACAAACACAAAATGGCGTCACAAGTTAGTAAAAACCTCTTACAAAAATCCCGATTATGGAGCGTTATATCCACCAATTCCGCCAACTCGGTGAAAGAAAAGTGGCCAACAAAACGGTACTTCTCCAATAGTAATTCCAACAGCGATAAATCGGGAATTACAGATCTCAAAAACATCAAAGTTACGAATATGCCACCAATGAACGAACCAGTTAAAAACTTGCCTGCTGCGATATACACGAATTTCAAAGAAGAAGACCAAAAGACCCAAATTACGATACTCTCCGATGGTCTAACTGTTGCCTCGGAGAATAGATTCGGCGCCTTTTGCACTGTGGGGGTCGTAATAGACTCCGGGTCGAGATACGAAGTGGCCTATCCCAGTGGAATAGCACATTTTTTAGAGAAACTTGCCTTTCATTCAACCAAAAGCTACCCCGATAAAGATGAGATGATAAACAAATTGGAACAGCACGGCGGTATTTGCGATAGCCAGGCTTCCAGGGACACCTTCATTTACGCTGCATCTGCATATACATCAGGTAATCGAGTATATGATAATTATTTAATTCTTTAAACTATACTCACTGTGTCTAGGTCTAAACGACGTGATCGAGATACTATCGGAAGCTACGGTGCGTCCCCGTATAACCGAAGACGAAGTCAACCTGGCTCGACAAGCCGTACGTTTCGAACTGGAAACCCTCAACATGCGCCCTGAACAAGAAACAATCCTCACCGATATGATTCATGCCGCAGCTTACAACGACAACACCCTCGGCCTGCCCAAGCTGTGTCCCGCAGACAACGTCCACAAAATCGATCGCAAAATCCTCCTCAAATACCTCAGCAACCACTACACTCCGAAGAGAATCGTTGTGGCCGGCGTAGGAGTCGATCATTCCGAGCTGGTGGAGCACGTGCAACGGCACTTCGTAGACACCCGGCCCATATGGGACGATAATAACAACAACGCCAACAAATGCGACGACAGCATAGCTCAGTACACGGGAGGCTTCGTGCAAGAGGAGTGCGAAATACCCCAATTCGCCTCGGCCGGTCTACCCGTACTATCACACGTAGTCATAGGATTAGAGAGCTGTTCGCATCGAGACACTGACTTTATCGCCATGTGCGTGTTGAACATAATGATGGGCGGCGGCGGTTCCTTCAGCGCCGGCGGTCCCGGTAAAGGAATGTACACCAGATTGTACGTGAACGTTTTGAACCGATACCACTGGATGTACAGCGCTACGGCTTGCAATCACGCCTACAGCGACACGGGGCTGTTTTGCATCCACGCCAGCGCGCCCCCGAATCACCTCAAAGATATGGTGGAGGTGATTGTTCGAGAGATGTCATCGATGCCCAACAACATCACCGATGACGAGCTGGCCAGGGCTAAAACGCAGTTGCAGTCTATGTTGCTGATGAATTTGGAATCCAGGCCGGTGATGTTCGAAGATATCGGCAGGCAAGTGCTGGCTTCGGGGATGAGGAAACGACCCAAGTACTTCATTGATGAGATCGATAAGGTCAGTAGGGACGATGTGGTAAGGGTGGCTAAAAGGTTGCTGAAGTCGCAGCCTTCGGTGGCTGCTAGAGGAGATTTGAGGAAGATGCCCACATTGGAGTGGATTCAATCCGGGTTGAATGGGTCGGGAAGGGTGGATGGCGTTAGAAAATTGTCGTTGTTTAGGTAGGCTCTCGAGGGGAATTCGGTGTTGCTTTCGAGTATTGTGGAAATTATGGTACTTTAAATGTGTTGCATAGCGAAGAAATCGGGGTGAAAGGGAGAGCGTGAAGATCGTAATAAAAGAAATAGACTTTTCATCTTCATAGGATGATACACATACAGTAACTTGTTTATAAAAAAATTACTGCAAAAATTGTTTGTGTATTATTTTTCCCGTGAGTCAAACATTGAAATGATTGTATGAAACTGTTATAGATTTTTTTTCAATTTTGTGTTTGTAGAAAAATTGTTGTTCATTTTTTCTTAGTCTTAATATTGTTTTATAATAAATTATTGTGAAATAAATAATACCACTGTTGTTTTAAAAAGCTGCGACTTCCAGAAATATAAATATTTTACAATTTGTTTATCATTTGCGGGGCAGATCGCTGAATCACCGAATCGGCAGGCTAAAGTAGGCCCGCTACGTCGGGACGACCTGTACCCCTATAAAAATTCAGGTACTAGAAATAGTTTACTAGCATGTAAGCCAAGCGTTACCAAGGCTCGTATATTTTCCTTACTCATTAGTTTAAGGCACGAATTCTCCAACGTTCCTCGAACATATTCGTATTTGTTAGTTACAGGTTAGTTTCAATGGCGTAACAATCGCCATCTTTTTTTGTACAACTGCACTCGTCAAGGAGAGCGAGATTAATCGACCGTCGACTTGTTTCTTTTACCGGTAGGTGGCGCAACTGAGATAAAATTTCACAGAACTATAAATTTTGATCTTGTGCAGGGCAAAGTAGATAAATGTAGAAAAAACCTCGGTTCTTCTTCTTTGGTTATAAGGCCTTTTGCGAATATACCACCCAGCCAGAATACAGCGAATTATAACAAAATAAATTGAATTGAATTTCGTTTAAGTATTAAAATAGAAAATAATATAAATATACATATGTATAGAGGTAAAAACAACCACAATTTTGTATTCAAAAGAATACTCAAGCCCAAAAATATAAACGAAAGGAGTTGACACAAAAGTGGAGTAGTGGTGAAGCCCAGCTTTAAATTTAGCCTCTTTTAAACAAAAAAAAAAAACGAGCATTATCAGTAAAATTAATCCCCATTCGAATGCGTACACTGGTGATGAATTACGATTTTAATCCCCGGCGTATTCAACGTTTCAGGGCAGGTTTTGTGCGTTTGTAAAGCTGACGCGGCGCCGATAGCACGCTTTGCCAGCTTCAACGCGGCGCTTTCCTGATTTATCCGGCGTTTGATTGACGTAAAAATATATCTGCCTAAACGCGCCAGCTCGCGCTTTGTTTGATATTGGCGAATAATAATTTTAGCAGTGGTCATAAATAATATTCGAATGTGATGAACAATGAAGCAGTTACTAAAGAGTTTGTAGGTATTGTTAGGTTGAGGGTTTTCAAATGAATTGAATTTATTTTTAATTACAATAAAATTGCCACTTTTAGTAGCATTTTTCAATTGAGTTAAGGAAATATTAGGGTACTCTTGACTACTAATCAACCACTAATTTCAGGATACTCTGCATCACTCTGATCTTTTTTTTCCAGAGACAAAAATTATATTCACACAAATTTAATTTATAAATAATCAACCCAAAATAATCCAATTAATTCTACTTATTGCCACACAACCCCCATTTATAACGACCCCTCACTTAGAAACGTCGACGAAAGTATTAAAATACCCCACCCACATAAAACGAATACCAGCCATGTGTAACACAGTGACCGAAATTTTACGGCGTACAATTTGGATTTCCGAAATTATAAAGCCTTAAACATACTGCCGGCCATTATTACTAGGGATGTTTTATCGCATGCCAGACGATTACCTACTAAGAAACACATTTCGGACCGAAAAAAAAAGACACCTTTAGGTAACTTAATCGTGCCTTAGGGGACCCTTGGTCATCTGGTATTTAACAGAGCGGCTACGTTTACACACCATTTAGCCCAAAGGCTAGATGAATATGTTGATATATTGTAGGGTTGCATTCGCTTGGAAAATATTTAAATGGGGGTTTAAAGAAAACCTGCAATATTATCTATCCACTCCTTTCCTACCTTTACTCTTCTTTCCATTGTCTATTATAATATTCCTTTCTTGAATTTTACTGTATCTATTAATTTTACTTTATGATAGCTTCTATCTAGCTTTTAATAGTTTGACTGCTTCTGAAAAATGTAGTTTCTAAACATGTGCTATACTTTTTTCAGATGTATCTCCCTCTTTACCTTCTCCCCAAGTACTCTCCTCCTCATTTCTACCATTCCTACTGGTCTTATAACCCTTGTTTTTTAAATATACCGACCTTATTTTGGGAGAAAGGAGTAATGTAAAGTCCTAAGTAATGTAAAGGATTTAAATTCCGTAACTTAACAATATTTGGTAAACGTAGTCGCTCCGCAAGAGTCATTAGGTGTGGGCCTTATCTCTCAGTAGTCTACAAACTTCGGGGTTCAACATCTGCCGTATGTCGTCCGCCTTTTTGATTTGTATGCAGACTGATTTTTCGACTAATTTTCGTTTTATGTCGGCTCATGCGGCCGCGATTTCCATTCGCGTACGTGATTTAGATAAAGGAACAGCGCCAGCGATAAAATAATCGTTATATACCTATGGGGTACTTGCCCAAATTTCGAGTACAACTGGAGCCTCTTCGGTTTGTACGATGATTGAAAATCGTAGGTACATAGATTTATAGTCCGTATGCTCCTTTTTTTTTAATAAAAAAATACATTTAGGTGGATATTAATGTTCGGAAGAATTTATGATTCTAAGTATAATTGATGGTGTTAACGCCTTATTAATTTTATATACCTCTCTTGCCGAACAACGACGCACAAGCTCATTTTTCGGTTGTCACATTTGCCATTTTTTATTCTCCCCTATACCTATACCTACAAGACTTAATTTCCAAATAATGAACTAATAAATAACGCCCGAAGTGGGGCATATTGTATATTTCTCGCAGACATGATTTATGCTCTCGCAACCTCTTTTGATTTTAAGTGCTATTGGGTATACCTTTAAGTATGGGTGTAGGTATTGTTTGGTACCTTTAACAATAGCGCGGGATTATTGCACACAACAAGAGCGATTTAATCCTTGTCGCATTTTAAAATCTTACCAACAAACTCAAAAATATATAGCCACTTCTTTTTGAGAAATTTATGCCCACTGCTAGACTGATTGCAACTAGCAAAAAGTGTGGATAATTAGTCCTTATAAAATTTTGTAATAATGGTTAAATCTAGTACCTCAAATTCCATTATTTGATAAATAAAATTATGCTATGGATTTTGGAAAATTAAACGCGACTTTGTGGTTTCAGTGCAGTCGCATCGCTCCCTGTTAGATAACTCCAAGCACATCTGCCATCTGGTCTCGTCTTCATTCTTCATTTTCCGCTCTTCGCTTCTCGTCGGTCTTCATTCCTCACGGTAGGTGCGGCGTTCACTCCGGGTCCCTTTAATTCCCGAGTACTCGAACGAGCGGAGCGATCGAATATTTTCCCCGTTCTCGTTGTTCGCGATTTTTCCGGCCGGGAATTCGTGATTAGTGAATCGTTCGAGTTTGAAAATCGACGCGTTTCGGTAAGTAGACGGCTTAATTTTTGATTAATTTTTCGTATTCCGCCAATCTAATTGGCGCGCAAGAAAAAATATCTGGAGTTTCCTGTTGTAATTTCAAAATTTCGCTAATTGTGAGCGCGATTTCGTCGTCGATAAGGTAGTTGGAAATAATGAACTTTAAAACGGAGCACCAGTTAAAACGCTAATTACTTAGCATGCTGTGTACGGGCTTATCTGATTTTGAGTAACTGGAATTATGCACTGGGAAAAGTATCCCTTTTGTTCTGTTATCAGGAATTCGCAGGAATGAGGATTCGTACAATTACAACGTAGCGTACAAATTAGTTTATTGCATTTGAGGAATGTTGCAAAACTTTATATACTTTTAACTATGCTGGGTCTAATACAAAAGGACCTTTGAAACTTCTATGATGCCTATAAATTTTATAAAAAGTATAAGTGTAGTATAAAAAATATAGTGATTTTATTATTTAAAAGTCATTACCCAGATTTGTGCCGTGATGGAGTTGCAGGTTTGTAATTGGCCATAAATTGCGCTTGTGCTTGAGTCGCGAATGCAATGAAAATCGCCTTTTAAAAATAATTTTTCATTAAAAAATACAACAAAATTGATTAAAGATTTTCTTACCGATATACAAAATAGCATTAAAAGCCTCATAATTCGCTGTTATGTGTAGTGTTACACATGCAGTTTATTCGACGATTTATTTATTAATGATAGATAGTAATGCATAAAAATAAAATAGGTAAGCTATAATAAAACAATAAGCTATAAAACCGGAACTGTATCGAACATTTTAATTTAGATTTAGATTGTAAAATTACATGCCGCTGCAGCAAAACAAAAGCGATAAATTTTAAGTTCGTTTTATATGGGGGAACATAAATCTTTAATATTCCTGCACCTCATAATCTTTTGATAAATATCCAATTTCACACCCTTTCTAGTTGATTACAGCACTAAAAACTCGAAAGGGTTAAATTCTCGAAAATTAGCGCCGGTCCTGTACGAAATTCGGCTCGAATACATTACCTATACATCATCTGTATCTGCGAAACGATAACAAAAATCCACCCCTCCCACCCGAAAAACCTCCACGGAAATCTGGTAATCCGGTGCGTTTTGTGTGCATTCGTCCGAAGAGCCCGATGCAGCTGCTTAACGAATACCTTCTCGGGCACCATGTGCGGCCAATCACTGCTCTTCTCGGGCAGACACCTGTCGCTCCGGCAGAGTCGCCGATCTCGGCCTAAAAACACCTATGAAACTGCGCTTTAAACAAACCCGAATCCGAAATTCAATCGAAATTCTTTAATATACTTCAGGAAATTAAAATGGTCCCACTGTAGGCTCATTTTATTGCGTTTTATTCCGATATTCCTGGGGCACAGAGAAGTACTTTTTATAAAAAATTGGAGAGGTGTTTTCTATAAGAATTTTTTTTCCTAAACCTCTTTTGAAATGTTCTCAATTCAAACAATCATTAATTAGCTAACTGAAAAAATCCAACAATAGTGACCAAAAATAACCAAATTTCCAAGTCCAAATCTACAGTTTTTGAAAATTAAAATCCTTAATATTTGTACGCCTCTGTTTTCACTGTTTTCCATTCACGATCATTTAAAAACCCACCTATACAATCACAAAACTGTAATACACTTGGGATTGTTTGTTTTCGTCGTTTTACCTGCATATCTCCCGGGTATGCAATTATGCCGCAAAGTTCGAGTCGGCTTAATAACGAGGAAAACAACGCAAGAAAAAAAGAAGAAGAGCGTACGTCAAAGAACCGGGCGAAACGAGATGCGGTTAATTAAAACTTTTTATTCTACAGATTTTTATCTACTATATAACAACTTAATTGTAAATTATCTTTAGATTTGGATTAGCGGTGGAATATTTATTTTTATCTTGGTTTAAATTAAATTCGGTAATTTAATGCGTTGTTCTTCTTCTTTCTTTAATACATGTCCTTACATGTCGAAGCTATTCGGTGCTGCCGGTAACTGGATGCCTGCATGAGCAAGAGGCTGTCGAACTGGGGAAAGAAGAAGACACTTCGGGTTTTTTTTAAATTGGCTCAACAAGAAGAATTCCGCTTTGAATAGCGACGGCAATTAAAAATCGCGCTGGTATGCGGTTAAACTCGTTTCGGATTTAAGACTCTTCGCGACTTCGAAGACGTTTTATTCGAGCAATTATTCCCAAAGGAATTTTATGCGTTAGAATAAAATTATACCGCGAACGTGCCGGCGGTACGGCTTAATTAATTCCCCGGTGCTAGCTGCACCTAATTATCCAGCTACAAGGCTGTAGGTTATGTCTTATTCATAACCCGCCACATATCTTCTATTACCTATTCGAAACATCTGTAGGCAGTTGGACATTTTACACCTTGTGCGATCAATTTTATCATCAATATTCAAATCCGCAAATTATCCCGGGAGCATCGCTTACCGGGCGACGTAAGTGCTCGCTAGCAGCTTGAGAGTGTTTGCGTGTGTGCACACGAGAGACTAGATAAACCGAGCGACGGGACGAGCACATTTTCCTCTCGGAAAAGTCGCGGAGGACGGAAAATTGCATTTGCCTATCGTCGCGCCTTCCGGAGCGTCGTTTACGGGCGACGTTCGCGGTTGGCTGCCTCGCTCCTGCGATAAGGACCACTCGATTAACTCGAGTGTTTACGAAAAATGAATTTATCGCGCGCCGTCTTCAACCTTTAATTACGCGTAGAAATACCACTTTTGTTCGAGTTATAAGTCCGATTAGGTAATCGAGGGTTAGTCGATTTAATTCAGCGTTTTTCTCGTTCTGTACTTCACATAATTCCCTTGTCACTTGCCAAAAATGTCTTTAAAATTGCGCGTGCTAGATTTGTAGAAAGTAATTCGTTTCGTAACATTCATACAACGAAACAGGGATTTGATTAGTTTGTCAATCCACCCTGTAATGGTACGAAAGGAAGTAATACAGTTTTGCTGCATTCTAGGGGTTTGAACGTAATTATTGGAGGGTTGCCTCCCGCACCTCTTGGGGGGATGATATACGGTTATGTTGTTCCTTAAACGTCGACAGGGGTGCCTAATATTTTACTCATTTGGCAATATGTCCCTATGTTTAGGTAAATATTTACGAGAAAGGGAATATCTCATTAGAGCCTTTAGTCAAACATTATTATTCATCATGCGTAAACTTAATTAACAACATTTTTTGTAAATGTTGTTAAAAAATACAAATCCACCCTGTATGTTTTACCAAATTGACCATTTATCACGCCCGTTCGACCGCGTTACGCTTCATCAATTAGGCAGTTAAAGTACCAGGTCTGAAATTACTGAAACCAGTCAAATCCTGATACATTGTCCTGGAGCGCCCGTTCCGGCGACTCGGCGAAAAATGGCAGGAAATAAAAAGGACGAGAGCCCAAACGAAGACGAGCCATTTACGAATAATAAATGAAGTAAATGCACCGAACGCATCGAACACCTTGTGTGTACGGGACTTCCTATTGTAACGTGTAGAGGTGGAACCTGTTATTCATGCGTCGCTTTAGTCCTTTAAATTGAATTTACTAATAATTAAATCGCAAATTACTATAACACTTTAAATTAGTTGTAGTATTAGATTTCAAAGAAGTTAATGTTTTGTTAATGTTTTTATTATTTTTATATTAACTAAAGTTTTCAAATCTTAGAATTACTAATGCAGAAACAGCATTGTTGAATATTGTACAACATACATATATCATACTATTTCGAAACATCTAATTTATAATTTCCTCGAAGAATATTCCGTTTTTCTCATTAACAGCTTTTTTAAAAAAGCTCTTTCTCCAAAGGACCTTTCAAACGATATTTATAAACTAACCCCTAATCACCAAAGAGCTTATGCTTATAAATAACCCAAAACTGCATCTCTGGACTATTAAGAGAATTACCGGTAACGATTCCTCCCCCACCGAAGGCACCACCTCTAATCCGGGATGCAAAATCGATAGGGCCCGATAGCGCACGCCCGCCCGTTTCCCCCCTCGCCGGCGATTCATCAAAACTGCCTTCCACCGACGCTCTCGCAGCGACGTCGACGTCCGGCAGGAATAGTTCCAGGAGAACGCGGAAGAGCATCCAGCGATGCATTTCGAGTGACGCGCAATCTTCGCTCTCGCCGACTGAAAGCTGCATAGACGCCGGGTCTGGAGCTTTTTTTTTTGGCGTCGTCGACGCCGGTTTTCGATTTCGATTCGACCTGAACTGACTATTGTAGATATACAGGTATTGTTTGTCGTGGGAAAAAGTGCTGCCTGAGGATGGGAAGCGCGTGGAAGCCGGTAAGATGCTCATTTTCCCGTTACTATACAGTAAATAAAACGATATTTATAGTTACAATATGCTGATTAATTTTGTTTAATGAGTAACTTTTTTATTACTTCTATTTAATTACTTCATTAGGAAAGTTTGAACTTGGTAAGTTTCCTCTCTCTTTGCGTTGTAATTTGTTTGCTTGATTAATCGAGTCTTCGCCTCTTTGGGTGACTTATTACTTCGCCTCTTCTGATAATTACAATGTAATTAATACCGAATTTATCGAGTTTTCGGTATAAACTTCGGCGCTAACTTTTCCAGCGATCGAAAATAGAATCGGAAGCAAATATTTGCGGTTTCTCGGTTTTTAAATGGAAATTTAATTCATGACCGGCTAAAACGGGGCGATATTTCGCAAACCGCGTTCCCTAGCGAAATGGACCCGAAGTTTTAAGTCGGGTCTCGGACTGAATGAGTTTGTTTGCTGGAATTTTGACCCTACCGCTTGAAAGCGCCAGCTTATCATAATTTCGCGTTCCACGCGAAATTTCGAGAGGGTCATTAAAATTTTATAGTTCAACACAATTTCTTTCCACTCGCTCTTAATTTTATTCAACATTTTTTCTTCTATACTTTTATTCTTCCTCCTAGTTCTTCTTCATTATCGTATACTGTGCTTATTATTTACCAATAATCCCATTTGTATATTATTTCTCTATTTTTGCTCGATTTGTTTACATTTTTGGATCAATTCAGAGTTGTGAATGACTCAAAACGTGAAAAACCGGCGAACTTTTTCGTTGGGTCGTTCCGAGTTTTTTGTTAATCGGGAGTTTCTCGTGATGAAGACAAATTACAGATTTTTCTAATGGCAGCGGAGATAAGAAGTTAGTTGTTGTAGAGCGAAAACGCCGAGGAGTTTCCCTTTTTTTTGTTCGAAAACGGATCGCAAAAAAATAGAAGAAAAGGATAAAATGGACTCTTTACCCAGCAATTTTCCGTATATAACAATGGGAAGCTAATGAAAAACGTCCATGGAAATAAAGGGATAATACAAGTAAAGCCTCTATTGCAGCGGTTTAAATTAAACCCAAGAGGAGGAATCTAATTTACTAAAAGTGCAGCATACGAGACATTGTTTAGTTTCAGTTCCGCAGATACTATAAATTCAGTTTATACAGAAGAATTCTTAAATAAAAATCCACAATTTAAATTTCTATTTAATCATGTGACACCATTGTAGTTAATTAAATCATTTATAAAAATGAAACAACCTAGCTAATGTGACTGGAATGTCTTGTTACGTCATTTGCAGGATTATCAATCAACATGACGTATTCCCGCGAACGCAAAGAAAATGAATAAATTTTAAGGTAATTAGAAATATGTGCTCGGAACATTCGGACATAAATTCTTCGAATTCCTGGGACGTTCTGTTAGTGGAAGAGGTGATAGGCGAAAAATTGGACTCCGTACAAATAGAATACGACTGGCCGAACGATCTAACCAGTTCATCAACAACAGAAAAAGTCCAACGGCGATCGGGCGGATTGCGGTGCACGCCCAGTTACAAAGAGGTAACGCTAAAAAAGGGCGAATTGGACCTTTCGTCGAGGAGCTTCACGCCGAGTTGTAGCAAGAAATCGAAGATCCCCGTGCCGGTGCACAAGGCGAAGTTCCAATCCGTTTCCAACGTGTGCTTGACGCCCTCGAAGAAGAAGTTCTCGGAGAAGAAGCTCACCTCCACGTCGCATCCGCTGTTCGTCGAATTCGATACTAAAACAGAGAGCGATTTGACGCCCGGTAAGGTTTGCACGAACAGCAATTGTGCTTTGAAGAGCATGAAGTACCAGCTGGAGGGCATCGTCGAGCAAGTCAAGGAGCTCAGGAACAACATACCGGGGATTTACGGGTCGATTTGCGATGCGACCGGTTGAGGAAAGCGGCAAGATTTAAGTGGCGGTGGTGTTTAAGTAGTCGACTTTTTAGTACTTAGAAAAATCCCGTGGATTTATAAAACATTTCGATAACGATAATAAAAGATTGATGGTGTCATTATCGCTATATCTGCAATTATTACAATCAAACTTTCGGCCCAACATTTCCAATACTTCTCAAAAGTTCCGACCTTAACAACTAATATTCTACTCTCTACTATTCATCCATCTCCATTTTACTTGATAATTCTGGGTTGTTTCTGCTACACTAAAAATGATTTAATATAAACGCCATTATAAGAGTTTAATTTCGACGCCGGCTTTCCGTGACATTCGTAAAATGCGAACCGTTTCTTATTCTGGCGGGGCTCAAGAATTGAATTACAACCCTCTAGAAATTGTATATGTCCCATTTTATTGAGGCAATTCGACATTTTAATCTCATTAGAATCCGTTCGTGCGCTTTTATTGTCCTTCGGGAACGTCGCTTTTTATAATCGCCTGTCGGAGAATTTTACATTCTTCTTTCTTCTGGTTCGTTGCCTCGAAGTACCCTGATTATTACAAAAAGAAAGCCTGTCTTATATTTTCAATCAGATGATATTTACTCATTAAAGAAGAATTTTTCCTCGTTCACTATTCACTCAACATTTATGAGGCATCTTCTTTGGTCTGAATATAAGTAAGAATATTTAAAAATGCACGTTACTAATTAAAAATTTCTTTATTATTGCAACTAGGTGTATCGAAGAATGATTCGATCTAATTACTTCTTATGAAACTCTTTAGATGTACCTTTTGTAAGCTTGGCGCTTTTGGTGGTAACTTTCTTCAATCCTTTGGAATCGGTACGTTCCAAACGCTTGGGGTTGCAGCTGGGTGTGGCGATAAGCAGTCCTCTCCTGTTACTCAAAGGCACCACCGGCGCACTATCTAACACACCCCTATTGATCCTTCCATCGAAAGATAGCTTCGTTAGGGCCTTATTCATTTGCACGCTGACGCTTTTGCTTGGTGTTTTGGCGAGTAAATTCTTGTTCAAAACGGCCACGCTCCTCTTCAAAGTCTCGATTTCCTTCTTCATGGTCACCAGGCTGCTATTTTTGCAATCGCATTTCTCCGACTTGTCGCAACACGAATGGCTTTGGTTCGACGACTTCAGCGACTGGAACTTGTAGAGTTTGTACGACGTACCGCAACCGGTACAATAAACGGCTGGATCTTCAAGGAATATACTTTCTGGAAACAAAAAATTATCAACCAGGGTTTACCAAAGAGCAGAATATGTACCTGAATCGCAATCAAAGCTGGTGTTGTTGGGAGATGGGGAATTCCTGTTGGCGCACGAGAAGCACTTGGAGACGAGCGGAAGATCTCCCCAGATGATGCTACAATCGGTGGTGCCTTCGTTTTTGTCCCTGCAGGGCCGATTGGTGGGGGTGCCAATGTTGGACTGGATGTCTTTGTCTTTGCTCTCCGGGCGGTTGGGAAGTGTGTCGATAAAGAGCGTGGAGGTTCCTACGGAATTGGTGGATAAAATGCTGCAAAGTAACTGACTAGTGCCGGTGGTGTCCTCCAAATCGTGGTAGGGTTTCCTCTTCGAGCGGAGGATGCCGGGAAACGTATCCATATTTCTTTTGTACCCGTATTTACTAGACTTTGGTTTCGTTTTAAGTTTGGCTTCTACAGGAGGTTGTTGGTCTTTGGACGGAATAATTGCTATATTAGGGCTGTTGAAGCATTTTCTGATTTTTTGGTTCGATGATTTATGATCTTCTTGTTGAGTGTCCATATCATCTGTGCCACTCAATTCGATTACGCTGCCTTTATCATCGGTATTTGTAGTTTTATTAAGCGCCAGCCAAACGGACGCGTCGAAAGAATCCACGCACATGTGCCTCATGGAATCTGCGCAGGCCAGCAATTTGCATTTAGAACTCGATAAGTTCTTATGCACGTGCGTCGGGGATTTAATGGATTTGATGGAAGGAACGAAGGGCGCCACATTTGCATTTCTTACTATCAGAGATTTACAGACAGCATCCAATTTGTCTTCTTCCTCGTCTTGGCACCGACAAACATCTTCATCATTTTCGTCGGCTTCTTGGGCTTTAGACTCGCTGGAATTAGCAGTATCAGCGACGTCGATCGTTATGCTTTTCACGGCGCAAGGACAGCTATCGTTGTTCGAGCTGTCGCTCGCCATGATGATGTTCCTCTGCTGGTTGTTGCCGATGACGTTGATGATGATGTCTTTCACTCTGCAACAGGAGTGGAGGGCGGCGCGCGAGCATTCGACCGATTCGTTGCAATCCAAACTCAAATTATTACTAATATCACGAACGGACTCCAGTTCGTTACTCGAACCATTGTAACAACTCGTACATAAACAATTCGTAGAGGTTACCGGACTCAATCTCGATGGGACGCAATCTACTAAACTAGATACTGTTTTTATGGCGGCGCAGTTAGGATTCCTCTTTCTGTCGTCCGAGCTCGACGTTCTGGTGCAGCTGCAATCACATTCCTGGTCGGATCTTTTGCTCACTTGGCTGTAGTTCTCGCGCACGAGCTCCCTGGTGCCGATGCAGCAATCGGCGGTCGCTTCTAGGCTCGCTTTGGACAGCGATGCTTGTGTCGCCGTGCAGATCGCGTTCGCGTCCGCATCGTCGAATTTCAAATCCTCCAAGGTCTCGTCGATGATGAGGAATTCGTGCGTCGAACACAAGAGCTTGGACAACCCGACATCTTCGTCGTATTTGTGCACCATGTTCGTGTATGCCACACACAAGATGACCACATTGAACAGTAATGAGAATGATTATAGCACGATGAATTTAGATACAACCATGCGGTTTGATGTATTTATTGTCAAGTGTGTGACAGTTCCTTGATGTTTCCATTACAAGAAATATCTTTCATTATGTCATCTTATCGATTAGTTAGTGAAAGGATTGTTCTAACGAAACTAGCTCGGGTGAAATGGAAATGAAATAAGAGGGATGTAATTGGTAAAAATCTGCTTGACGAAAGCGCCGTTTTCAATAAACGTTCCTCGAACATAGGGAAGTTTCGAGCGCCTTGTAATCCGCCAAATTGAGGAATCCACTAAAACAAATTAGACGAAGGCAAAACGAGGAACGAAATGTTGATCGAATCGAACGTTTGTTGCCGGGATTTCCTCCTAAAGGAAAGAGGAATAATTAAATTTAGCGCCGCTTTCCGATGCGTCAATGGCGTATCTACGTGGAAAAATTTCACTGGCGATTCTAATTCGTTTATGAACGGACACGTAAGAGCTTTAATATGAATCTGGTGGATTTCACGTTATCATTTTATTTCTTATTTTACTATCAGAAGGATCGAAAATTAAGAAAACATTGTCGTAACAATGAATTGTTGTAGATTCGTCTGGTGCTACCGAATTCATTTTTACTATTCACTTGAGCGTATTGTCGTGGTTTTTCTTTGATTTTTCGGGCGAATGATCCGTCGATTTTTCAAGCCTACCTGTCACAGGTGTTATTGCAACAAAGTTCGCTTGAGTGTGGAGGATCTCGACATCGGGGTGAAAGCGTTTTTGCATGGTCGGCTGCGCAAAGGGGTTGAAGAAAATCGAGCACGTGCTCGAATGCTTCCATGTAATTAAACCAACGTCCACAAAAGAATCTCTCGCGCCAAGGAAATAGAACACTTGTTAACATATAAATAAGTTTTCCCGATATTCAAGAATATTGCAGAGCAATCGAATGGAATTTCACGAAAAGAAAGTCAACAGTTAACGATTCGTTTATGATACCATGTCGGGAAAGTTATTATTAAGTCGGGAAGCTTTTTAAACAGTTCTTTTCAATCGGCTAACAATTCCTACCTCTTATATCAAACGCTGCTCTGCCATTCGAAGAAGGTTTTTCATCCTGCCAACGAGGGTACTGAAAAGAAAACGCTTGGCCTACATTTTTTAATGGATTCTCTCATTTGTTGCGCCGGAATGAGGCGCTCAAAAACGGCATTAACTTTTCCAATTTCCCGAAACAAAACCCGTTTCAAAACGGTACAACATTTTCCAATATAGTTATGAGCTCGAAATATAATAAAAGCGTTGTGTGTATGTAGGTAATTGAGTATTGTTATGATTTGTAAACTGTTTTGTTTGCTCGGTTACCGGCTCATGAGCTATTTAAAGAAAAACGAGGAAACGAAAACGAAATGAATTCTTTCAGTTTCGTGATGCATGTTGCAGGAAAAGTGATGTTTTATTCAATGTCCCGCGAATCGAATTGGATTGATTCGATACGGGTCAAGGATGAATTTATTAGGCATTCATCAACCCTACTTTCTACTACGAGAACGTAGTAGACACATTCCGAATTGTAAAAAGAATTTAATGTATATTATGATGGATACAAAAGAGTTTCTATGAAAGGAATTTTACAAGGGTTAAAGGTGGTTATTAATTTAATAAATAGTGTTGCCTTTTGTATTCGCAATACAATGGCTATCTTTTGTGTTCGAAACGAATTTATACAAAATACAATGCACGTGAAATACAATTATTATCCAGAGATTAAATACCTAAAGTAATAATTATTTTACACTTCTTCTTAATTCGTTATTATTAAATTTTTCATAAATAATACCCCTTTCGCGCTAAAGCAGCCATAAAATCACACTCCAAAATATTAAACACACTATAATAAAACGTTCTAAGAATTAATATTCCTCTAGAATAATTACACACAGGTAGATTGATCATTGTGTATTCCGACACAATTACTCCCCTTTAACAAATCGCTTTAATTTATTCATCGGAAACGAGATACATAGGTGTAGTATTCGGATAGAAATTAATTGTATCTGGAAATTCGAGTAGTTTTTAAGTAACCAGGAAGCGCGTTTAAATTTAGAGGTAGGTATAATGAAAGTGGACTCTGGAAATAGATTTTTTTTCTATCCGCGCGGATCGCATTAGCTCATCTAATTCCGCGTCGAGTAAACAAGCAATAAATCCGGTACCAGAGAAAGGGAGAATCGAACGATGAAGTGGAAACTAAATTCGTCTATAAAACGAAAATTCCATTAAAACGCAATAAGTATTGGTTTAATTGGCAACCAAGAGCGGGAGCTCGTTAAATTTTTATTTGTTTTGTATGATTTATCGCTTCAGTCCTGTCACTCTTAATATTTTTATTGCGCTTTTCTTAACTCAATTTACATATTAATTACTTATTTGAATTTTAGTAGATTGATTTAGATGAACGTTTCGAATGAAGCCGAATTGTTTGTGGATTATTTTGCATGGAAATGAAAGAATTTGTACAACAAATTGAAACGAATAAATGCACCTGTATGAATTCTGTCGCGTAGACTCGGGGTCCAGTTATATATCAATTTAATCTCGAAGATGGCAGTTTGCCAAGCCATATATCAGGCGAGCCGGAGCAGAAAAAACCAATATACCGATAATAAATAACATCTACCTCAGCGCCTGACTAGAATTTTCGCTAAAAATACGGTTTATTTACTCTAAGAATGCGTTCCTGTTTATAAAATTGTAAATCAATGGTTGAAATACGCCAGAAGTTCGCCGGAAATATCGACTGTTATTTTTCTGTTTATTAAATTATTATTAGATATATTAATGATTTTTTAAACTAATTTATACTTTAATTATATTGTATAGCGGAAGCGGAATAGATTTATATGCAAATTCTGGATCGATTGTTCAGATTATCATCAGTAATTTAATGAATTCCCTCATGCAATATCGACCCTTCAGTTATTAATTTATTTTTTACTCCTGTAGAGGAATTCCGAAATCACGTAGTAATTCTAAATCGTATAATCATGATATTTTTTTATACTACCACGATTTATTTGCGGTTACAGTAATCATATAATCCTGCGAAATGTGCCAGGAAAAAGTCGAGCAAATCACGTATAAGATCACACGCCCTAATATTCGATATTCTTTCACCCCATAAGGAAACTCTCTGTAGCTTTTCCGAGATGTTTTCCGGCGTTTCGCTTTATCGAGCTATATTTATTACATTCATAATCTTACACACGCTATCCATTTTTATTTCTATACAGGAATAGGAATTCTTTTGGGTTATTAATTAAGTATATTAATTTTGTCATTATACCTAATGGAAAGTTCGCTTTTCTTTTCTAATGCCGGGAAATGTGAGGACGCGGATACACTCAGAACACTCAGAAATTTCCTGCTCAAATAATGGCACGTCGTAAATCAAACTTTATAATGGAATTGCGCGCAGCTTCTGGAATTTTTTTGCATGTAATAAACCCACCCTAAATCGATCATTTAACCGTTTGTTTTAAAAATAAAATACTATTGAAAATATATCGATAATAAACAGAAGACGAAGTCACTGCTTAGTGACATTCAAAGCATCACATCATAAATCATTATCTTGTTAAATTCCCGTTAAAAATACATCCATCGTTAACAATGCAGAAGTGAAACCCGCCCTAATCAATTTACAATGTGCCGTTAAATCATCGAAACCAAGGAATCATGATAGATAAATCTTTGAACACCGAAAAAGTGTGTACGTGCGGCGAAAGAAGTGGAGGTTGCAACTCGGGTTGCGCCTGCTCGGGGAAGTGCAACTCGGAGGAAATCGAATTCCCGCCGGACGATGATGAACATTGGGGCACGACGAGCGACATCGGGGTGGAAACGGAACGTGTCCCTTCCATCAGCCTTACGGACATATTGGGCGAGAGTTTCTTCGAGCAACTCAAAGATCACTTGAATCTCGAGCAAGAATGCAAAGTGATTAAGCGCGATAACGAACCGACAACCGAACCGATGAAAAATATTGGCGAAATGGACGTGCAAATTGTTAATTTTTCGAACAAAATCAACAACGAGAATAAGAGAATTTACATTATAAAGATGAAAGTGGACATGAAAAAGAAGACTGAGGAAGAAATTGATGACAAACGTGAAGGAAATGAGGTTACACAATTTACAAATAACGATTTAGAAGCTTACAATAAAGATGATATTAGCAAGAATGAAGAAAAAAGTAATCAAACTTGCAGTATTTGTACAGATAATTCAATTGAGAATAGTTCAGAATATTACTGTGTTAACGCGATTAAAAGAACTGAAGAAGAAATCGATGTTAAACAGCCGAAACTCCATCTACTTTATATTAGTGAAAAAACAAATAAAACAGAATCTAGCGTAAAGAGCACAGAAGAGGATATCATTTTAATAAACTCCAATAATGAAGTCAACGTAAAAGAAAACGACGAAAAAGAACAAAATTCACATCACACCAGTAGTTCCGACAAACAAGAAAAACCTCCTAGAGATAATAGTAACACAGAATCCGATAAAATTCAAATTTTGAATGATATAAAGCAATTGTTATCTATCGATAACGGTATGAGGGTTTTTGACATGGACCGTTATAACAAATTTGTGTATATTATTCAGTCAGAACATTCAAAACACTCTGAAGAAGAGCTTAAGGTAGAACATTCAAGACTCTCTGAAAAGGAACTTAAGGCAGAACATTCAAAACTGAATATTCTAATTCAATGCTCTGAAGAAGAACTTAAGTCAGAACATTCAAAACTGAATATTCTAATTCAACGCTCTGAAGAAGAACTTAAGTCAGAACATTCAAAACTGAATATACTAAGTCAACACTCTGAAGAGGAACCTACAATTAATTCCACCGAATCACCAAATACAATAAAAATGCAACCTTCAGTAGATAAACTTAATACTGCAATTACTTCAATCGGTAATTTTATCCAAGAAGTAATAGACGATCAAGTAGTAAAACAAATTAACATCGATACTGAAAGAATGAACTCTAATTCGATGGAATTCTACCAAGATATTTTACCAGAAGAATCTATTGCTAGTGAACAACGCACCAGATACAATACAAAAGAGGAATTCGACGGAACTAAAGTGGATAACATTTGGACATCGAGAGATATTTTCATCGAATCGCCCATCCAGAGCATAATGAGCGTTCCCATATTGGAGGAGCTTTCTCTCATAAGCGTAAAACCGGCGCCAACCACCAGTCTACCTCTACCTGAAGTGGAAACCCTCAGCTCCAAGTTGATAAACATTGTTTGTTCTTTCTTCCACAGCATCAAGAACATCATGCATTACAACACTCCGGAATCCAGCGAGAATTCGTCTATTTTGGGCGCTGTGGTGGACAAAAAATCCAGCGTCAATTCGGCAATAGAGGAAATTCACCGCGAAAGGATAGAATCCGAAGAAATTAGCGAGTGTAGCGTTAACGAACCTCACGTATTCTTCTATGATATGACTAAGATTAACTCGCGATTGCTTTGGACCAACAGTCCTTTCTTCGATCGATGCATGTATGTGAAAAGTTTCAAAGAAACTCCTTCGAGTGATGAATTTGTCCAAAAAAACCCGCTGAAACGAGATAAAAAATCAATGGACTTACTTGCATCGGTCCAAGATGCAACCAACAATTCAGACAACGTTAACGTTAATATTAACCGAGAATTAAATAGCGACGAACTCACGCAAACAACGTTAAGTAAAGACGTTAATCTGACGATAATTGTTAAAACAGATGGAGCTATAGAGGGTGGCGATTTGAAAAAAGTGTTCAGCATGCACAGAAACTCCAAAAATCCCAACCTAAATAAGAACATCAAAAAAGACTCAAACTTTTACATATTCGTTAAAAAAGAACAGATCAACAAACTCGTCGATAGTGAGGATTTTTCGTTACCGATTACCCAAAGTTCGGCAAAACTAAAAGATAAAACCAGCAAAACGGTGGATAAATCTCTCACTGCTCGTGTATTGACCGATAAATTAGACAAGTGTACTAATACCCGCAGTGCTAAAAATTATAGAAAAATTTACTGTTACTGAAACTTGGCAAAATTTGAGGACTTCTGTCGATGTTTTGATAGTTCATTTTGAATAATTTGCCCTGCTCTAGCGGTTCTAATTGTCCTTTTAAAATCTGGTAAATTTATACGATATTTAAACACACAGTTAACTAAAAATATTTGCTTACGTATAAATAATGACAGCAAGAAAAGGGTGAAATAATACAAATAATTTAGAAGAAAAAATATAGCATTAATTATTATTATATTATTCGCCAATTCACTTAAATTTTACGAATGATTTAAATTATAAAGAAAGACATTGAATTGTAACGATAACGTGTCCAATAAACTCGAACGAACGAACGAACAGCTTCGACTTTGTTTTTTAAAATAAACAGCAAGTGCAGAACATCGATATTCGCCTGACTGGAAAATAAACTGGGCTTATTTGTCTTTCCCTGCGGCCGGAGCAGTCACTTGTGTTTCCTTTTAGTTTTTCTTTGCAACTTATAGGTCTCCATCGATCAACGTCACGACCAGTTTCGTCAATTCCGGCCAAACAACAATTACTTTCTTTCCTTACGAGCACCTTTCCGGATATGTTATCTTTTTCATATTCTCGCAGTTAATTGAAGCGGAATTATTGCGCTTAAAACGAATTACTTTATTGTTAAAATTTAACGTTACTGCCTCAAAATAGTTTCAAACTAGTAAATAATTGATTCCACGAGGAAAATCGTTATAAAAAAGTAACGTGAAACCACTCTAACACTCAGCTTAAAAGTGTGCACACGTGCTCGCACACCTGTCGTGCTTAATGTCGCTCTTCGATAATGAAATCAGGCGAGAAAAACTCGGAAAATTCGGAATATTTAATGCAAAGCGTTTTCGCTCGAGAGTGTCTGCTTTACGTGATAATTTTATGCGTTTAAAAGGAAAGGGTGAGTTCGTGTTTTACGTACTGTATGTAATTCACTTTTAAGATTCATTTCCAGATTTAATATTCAATTAATATGCAATTAGATCTTTTTACTCGAGCTTTTTTATTTAAAAAAATCCTAAATCTGGATGTCATTAAATTTAATGGTGTTTCGAATTTTTTTGTAGAGAAATGTTTTTCTTTTTGATACTCAATCCTAGGATACACTATACTGTATAATAAATATTTACGTATACTCGTACGTTGTAACCAACGAGAACGAGCTTCTCTTTGCCATCTTTATAAATTTACCCGGGTATAAATTACGCTGCTGGAAACAGAGAGATCATTTTTCCCTGGACTTTTTCCATGAAATATTATCCCCGACTTTGTAATATACGACGTCATTTGTGACGCCGCGCCGGTTTGTTTATTTTTAAAAATGCACTATTTAGAAATCCCGTTCGCCTATCTTCCACAACAAAAATACCCCGGCGTTTTCCCTATTAGATCCGCTACAATAAAACCGGCTTTATTCCGCCACGCGTCTCCCGAAATACGTCCAACCCCCGTGTTACACCTCGACTAAGGGGGCGACTCGAGCTCGTAAATTAACATCGTCTGAACTTACTTAATTTCTGGCATTTCCGCCAAAAAGGGGACTGCACCCCTGTTTCCGATTACCTCCTGGACCTTCTCGGCCGGATTCTCTTAACCCCACGAGAATCCAAACCTCTATTAGTTCATATTTCGTTAATTATATGTTCGTTTTATAACGAGTATTAAGATAATGTTTAATACCAATTTGAAGTGACTAGGGAATTTGTTTCGTTTTACAGCTATTCTAAATACTCTATATAACGAATAGGAGCAGGCATATAGAGCGTTTATGGTACAGTAATAAAACGCGAACGTTACATAGAGTTCTCTATATGAACCTATAAATCCTGAGAGGGCAACACTCACGAATCCATATCGCGATTTGCCCCTCTGCAGTTTACTTCAATTTAGAGCCCATGGGCGTAGCTGAAACTGACGCATTCGATTTCTTTGTTGCAGGGCGATCCCGTCTGAGGTGTTATGCACTCGTTACAGAGCGCCCAATCGACATTCGACAACAACAATGATATCAAAAAATCAATCGAGAAAATGAGCGACTCGAGCAAATCCAGCTACCAGGCCATCAAGTCCACGGAGTCGCTGTCGACGGGCAAGAAATCGAAGAAGAACAGCGGAGTGCACTTGAACAACCTCTGGTCCATTTGGTACGGGGTGTTCTTCGCCGGTTTGCAGGGCTACACGGCTTACAGGTGCCTCAAGAGGATACTAGGTAACCAACAAAAACATTATCTATAATGCAATAAGTATTGAACGTAATCAGTTTAGTTGCAAATTACTTTGTTCGCTGTTTGTTGTCGCGTCTCCTCGAAAGATCTAATCACTACAACAACCCAGTTAGGCGAAACTTTGCGAGATAACGATGTGACAATACGTCTGGCGCACTTCCCGGTTCTCTAAATGTTTGTCCCTGAACTTTGCGAGTTTCGTTCGACGAGCTTTAGAGTAAATAAATCGCTAAGCAGGCTCCGGACGTACGTCAAACGTCATTCCGGGCGATTGAAGTTCGTCAGAATTTTATTACGTATTCCTGGGCTGTGGAGTTAATCAAAACAAACAACCGAATGGAGTTAAGTTAATAGTTCTGTGGCCGAAAATGGATGTGCAAGCGACACGCCACAGTCATTATGTAGGTATTTATGTGAACGCTCTTATCTGATTATTTTATTGTTTGCCGGGGAATTTTTCCACGAGGAAAATGAAATGTATCGAGTTGTTCTTGTGGAAGGGAATTACTTTAGTACTATACAGGGTGTACCTAAGTATCACGAGCATGGAATAAAAGTATCACAACGGATTAGTTGCTGATCTAAAAGGTGTTTAAACTTGTTTTCTTTAGACTGTTAATAAAGTTCAAAAGTAGAGAAGGGCTTAATGTAAAACTGATCTAAAAAATCTACATGTATTTATTTTTTAAGGAGACTCTTTAAGAAGCCCTTTAAGGAGTCAAAAACCTCCTTTCTATTGCTGATTTTTTCTTGTATATGCCTATTTCCATATGAAATTTTAATGTTGAAAACGTTTTTGTAAAGATAACTATAAGAAATTGGCAATAAAGAATCTCTCTATTCAAGTGGTCAGATACCGGATAAACCACAACCTGGAAATTAATAAAAAATTAAGAACTTGTACTAGATCGATTCTCGAACGTAATCCTTCTTACGAAAGAAGTACTAGATCTTCCTTCGACTGGCCTTTGTCGACGAAGCGCATCCGGCCAGCTTACCGAGTATAAGATCCTTAAATCCTATAATTCCGGAAAGTTTCCAATTCATTGGGATAGTTTCTAACGCCACTGGCGGAACAGAACGCACCTTAAAACCTCCGAGGCACGTCGACTTGATTTCCCAAATGCTTACCTTACATTCGGAAACAAATGGCGGCATCAAACAGATATAGAGCGTTTCGAATTGTTTGATGTAATAATTTATAAATCCCGTGGAAAGGGCGTCGACTGGAACGATTTCTAAAAAATACTCCAAGAGAATATAGTTCTAGTTTGCGCAGAAGGCATCCGGAAAACTTGTATTATATTCTATTTCCTTAATTAGGTACACAGCGACAGCGACACAATCCTCGAGGGAAATACTAGTCTAGTGGCAGACGCCACGTTCCGGATACTCAGTCTTAATCCTTCGGCAAAAAGGGATTAAAACCCGAAACAACGACGCTACGCTTTACATTACCTTCGCAGTTTTTTTTTTCGCCTAGTTGTTGTCTGGAAAGCTTTCAGGAGGCCTTAATATTTGAACAGCGACGAGATTTCGCGACATGAAGACTCTCGCCGTATAATTGATCAAAGGCGGAGTTTAGTTTTAAAGTCGATTAGAGCGAGGATATTCGGTTAGAGCGCTCCGTCGTTAATTCGATGGCGAACGGACGGCGCGGATGATTCGATTCGCAGCCGTCGCGTTTGTTTTTTAATTAAGCGTATTGAAATCGTCGACAGTGTCGGTCGGCGAAAATCGAAATCGATAATTGGATAATTCGGATGTTTAGTTGAGTTAAAATTTATGTCGAATGCAATTATTTCATTACCAGCGTAGTTTACAGTGAGTGAAGAAAAAGTAAACCAAGATCAGTTCTTATTTGTTCATCCTTGCTTTAATGTATTAGTTAAGGAAATTATTTTACTAAAATTAATCTCTATGTTACTGTTGTTTCAGGTTATGCATTGCTGCCTTGGCCGGAAGGATTGCCATACATAGAACTGAACTGCAGCCTGGGATTGACCGGCGCTGCTATACTATTACTGCCTATATTCCTTCTCGTGGCGATTTTTAAGGTAATTACGATTCGTATTGCGAACTTCTTAAAAATTCACGGGTGGGAGTGTAAATATCGAAGGGAAGGTGTGGAATTTATCGATTCGTAGGGTGTAAAAAAGACCGCATTTTGGGAAACGTGAGGCGTCGGTATGGCAAACAAGGTGAATTATTTACGTATACTTGGAATGCTTATCCAGATTTCCGGAACCTCTTTGAATTCCGAAGGAACTATTTTCCACCAAGAGGAATTTATGTACATACAATATAACTTACGAGTGTTAAGAAGTTTAAACTCGGTCTTATTTCGCTCGTAAATGGAATACTAGCGTTACCCAGCGAGCATTTGGCAGTTCTCACATTAACGACCCAGTTTTCAATTGAATTGTCTCGTTGCCAACTGGAAAGTTAGAGCATCGCAACAAATTGTTTTTGCGTTCGTTTAAAATACAGCTACTGATATGGAATTCGGCTCACGCTCTTCCAATACCGGTACTTTCGATTTAATAAACAGCGGATTAATTACGAATCGGCAGATGGAAATTCTGGATACCTGGCGACAATATTGATTCCTCGGATCTCTGTACGAATACCAAATGCGCCGTTTAGGTTTGTATGCCACGCAAATTTGTATGCAGAGGATCAAATGTAATATACACAGTGCAACAAACAGAAAGGGCCGGACACGACAGAAATTTTAATATTGTCCACGTCGATTCAATAAAGCGGTTTCTTGCTCGCATATGCGTTCATTAAATTTCAGCTGCAAAGCAAAATTAATTATTTATCACGATGTTCGGATTAATTTCACCGCAAATAACACTCTGCTGCGTTCTAGTATAAATAACTAACTAACTAAACATTAAATTGGAACTCTCGGCTCGTTTTTAATAACAAAATAATATACGCTTATGAAGTTACTGTACCTCGTAGAAGACACACAAAGGAAGATACCAAATAAACATACGCTTTTGTGCCGTGTTCCTATTTGCTAAAACAATATCCTATAGTAGTGATCCTGCAATCGGTCCGCGCTGAATCCATTTTGCGGGCTGGGAACAAAGACGGGCGACTTCTCTGTGAGTTAGAGAGAGGCTTGGACAGCGCGGACTCCATTATAACTAACATTCAATAGTGCGACATTCCACTCCATTACGGTACGCTCGGTCGATGGGCTGCTGGAGAATCGCCCGACTGTCCGGTTTCCATAAAACATGAAGAGGAAAGCGGGGGGATCCGCTATTCTGCACGCCACAATGGGGGAATATTTAGCGATGGCGAGCGTGAATTGTGAAATTCTTAAGTTTGTTGAAGGCAAGAGAAATGTATAGGTGTTATTGTCTTTTACAGATCGGTAATTTGGCGAACGATGGCTACAAAATCGGCAAGCAATCGGGCACTTGCAGCAAGGAACCGCCCGATTTGTTGAAGAGCGGCAGTTGCGGCCTGTTCAGGTACGGAGGCCCAACGGCTCCGTTTATCCACATCGCTATATCCTTTTGCTTGCTCATACCGAACCTGCTCATGGAGGCGAAGCTCATCGAAGAAGGATTCCTGTCACAAGGTGAGTGCCCATCTAACATTACCCACTCGGCGATTTCAGTAATTCGTTACGCTGGAAAACACGTTAAAAACTATACGACGCGAAATCCAACCCCTTAATTGGTCGCGTTTCGCGTTTTATCAAACCTCGTTTTCCAATTTCCGCTGGAATCGTCAAAGCGCCCGTCGAAAATGGCACACATGTTTCATTTACCATCCGATCCATTGAAGACTTAACGTTGCCCGCAGATACCAAAAGAGACCCGATACCCGCATCCCGCGCTAACCGAAAATCGATACCTTCATCATTTGCCTCCATTTATACCGGGACAAGGTTTGATCTATTAAATCTTTTGAAATTGCGTTTCTTTTGGGGACGAATCTCCAAAATTTTGAAGCTACGAAAATGCTAATGTCGCGATAAAAATAGATCTTTTTTCCACATGGGTGTACGCATAATGGGAAGCCGTTTTACATTTCAACAAGTTGAACGGTTTTAATGAGCCCGTCGAAAACAAGGCGAACGGGAGCAAAATCGCCGCGCCTTGAGGAACACTCGAGCGGCTTCATTCACATCATTTCCATGCGAAAACGGCGCGTGTACTCATCGAACGATCATAAATTTGTGTATTTTAGCGGAGGGGCCGCGAATGCGGCGAAAGGTATTTTCAATTAAAGGACGGTCGAGGAAAGGGCGTCAACCGCCCCTTTTTTGTTCGGGGTTAGTTCGGCTCCCCGCGCGGGAAGTCAAAGAACGGCCCCCCCTTTAGTGTGGTTGTTTTACCAGAAATCGGAGGGAAACGGATGAGCGAAAAAGGGTTGCGTTCGACAAGAAAAGTTTAATCGGGAAGGTGGTGTTTTACACGATGATTAATGTAGATAAGTCAGGAGCTGTATGCGTGTTTTTGCTGGTTTGGGGATCACAAGCGTGTTTTTGCGTGTGCATTAATTGAGAATTTATACTATTAATATTTGCTGAGTTGATAATAGCTTTTAAAACATCCCTCTACCAACAACTCAACTAGTTTATGTATGATTATGGACGAGTAATGGTCGAGTAAACAAAACTATAGTCGCATAAAAAAACGATGGAATTCTATTAACTCTGTTTTAGTTGGATAGACTAGACACTGGTAGAGGCCAGTGGAGTTCGGCTGGCCGAACAAATATTGACGTAAACTTGTTGATGTGTTTGTGCGCCATTGTGGAGAGTCGGAAATTCTAATAACGCGCGGCATTTTATTGCACGATAATTCAGTTATGTCTCCCGGCAATCATAAAAAGTTTCCAGCCTAATTATAACTCGGATACACATCCCGCCGACTGCGCCATTTCAATTAAGCGGGCAATCAACACCTGCGACAAGCCGAATTAATTACATCGACTCGTAAATATTTCGAATGAATTAAAAAACGCGGATATTCGCTCAAAAAAAAATTCGTGGGAAGTTTGAAAGCGGAAAACTTAGTCCGACTTTCATTTCGACGGAAATTTAATACCAACCGCAAACTAATATCGACAACCGATATTGCTCGGACCTAGTTTTCGAGAGTCTGCAGCAAAGAGTTTTATCTGCTGAAAGTGTTTAAAAAAGTTCTTAAAGCGAAGCGTAATTCTCGATACCTTCCAAGTTGAATTCCACGTAATTAATGTACTTCAAGTTTCTTTTATCGATGAAAAATATTAAAAGTATCTTTCGCCTCTTACATCTTAGATTACACTTTTCAAAACCAAGGATTATGAAACTAGGTAAAAACATTTTTATGAAAAATGTGGTTACCCAACTACAACTACAATCATTTACATTTAGCTATGTATAATAAAGGTCCTATAATTATAGGGATTTTGTGAAATTTCTTGTAAAATAAATTTCGAATTAAATTTATTGTTAACTGTAATAATTTAAATCTGCTTTAATTTAGTGCTGTTAAATTTATATCTACTTAATAGCAGTAGAGATAGAGAGATACAAATTAATAATAAAGTCATAACTTTCAGGAACATATATTACGTACATACACCAATTAATTCACATTTGTTAAATTAATATAAAATAATTTACAACATAGTTTCAGCTTCGTACCCGGCAAATATATTCAAATGAAATTGTCTAGACGGGAGCTTCGAAAAGGTTCATTGTGTACACAATACCGGAAGCCGGAGTTTACCTACGTATGCCCACATAATTCGGGTTTAGGGATAATGACATCATTCGGGCAAAAAGGGTTATTTACCCGTGTACAATTAACGTGTTTTATACGCTGCGAGAATTCGACTCTCGATTTTCCAACAACCCAGAGTCTCCACACTTTACACTCGCGTTAAATAATCACATCCTGCCTTTCTTCCAGATAAAATATGGCACACCGACCTGGATTTCATCGTCATGCACCGCGACAGGGTGGTGTTGAACTTCAAAACCTCCAACGCCTCGCTCCATCCGACGCCGTCGTTCCACAAGGGCGTCCCGACGGCTACCGCCCGTCCCGCCGCCCTGCCTTTCGTCAGCGGACCGGTGGTGGCCAACACTGTCATCAAAACCCTCAAGGACATCATAGGACACGAGAATCACACCATGCTAGATAATAAAGAGATCGGTAAGTTTATCCATTATTTGCATATTATACAAACAAGAAGTTTTGAGAAGCTGCTTGTAAATGGAAAATCTTAATCAATTCTGAATAGCACTCTCATATTAATGTTGAATGGATAGAGCTCTGAAGGATCAGAATCAATTTCCTCTACTTTGGCTCAATGGCATCATTAAAAATTGAATATTGTCGTGAAACTTTAAGTAGACCTGTCTGATTGGCGATTCTGATTTGCTCGAACTCCATCCGGCTGGGGACGGGCGGATAAACGAAAATGCTTAATTGTAATAAACTTTTGCGCTAATAATTAGTAAATTATGTGGTTGATGAGTCGTAATTGCCGTGTGCTGAGCGGGTCGCTGCTAAACGTGCGATTAACGGTAAACTAACGATTAAAGTTCGGAGTTGTTGAAGTTAAATAGTAGGATTGTCTGATGCCAGGAGAGCGGAGATTTATGATGTAGGTCCCGTTTAGTTGAGAATTTAATGTGTAATTTAAGAAATGTCGTACGAACTGCGCCAGTTTGGGTTTAAAATTTTACGCGATACAAGTTTTTAGTGGTCTTTATCAATATATTCTGCTGGTATATTAAATCCCCGCAAGTTGCTCTAACGTGTACTAGATATAAAATTCAACTTTATTAAATTTTAATAAAGTTTGAAACACCGCTGACTGGAATATTAAGCTGGCGGTATCTTTTTTTCTCGTTCCGACACTCGTTTGAGAAGAATCTAGATACGAGAAAAATACGAGAATTCAACGTTCCATTGTATCGGAATTACCCTTTGTTACAACTTCCCCTTTTATAATTAAAAAAATATTCAGAAAGCATACTCTATTAAATGAGTTTAATTGAACAAATAATCCTAAAGAACAGTAGAATTTTTGCTTCAATTATATTTAATAAAACTCCATGTGAACAAAATAAAAATTCCCGTCGATGAAGCTATAAAATACAACTAATCATTATACTACCGACGATTTTTCTCGTTCGCCCGTAATCGATTCGCAAACTTTTCGAATTAAACATTTCAGGCGACGCGAAGAGACGCTTTCGGTAGAGCCTTATTAAAGCGAAAATCTTGAAAAACTCGACGTTTCGAAACCTGTACACGAGCCCCCGAGTCGCTCGTTACTCGTTAGCGAACTTGCGAAATTCCGCCCTGCAGAAACATTAATTAACGGCGCATTCTAATTAAGCCGAAGGAGTTACTCGCGTTGATGCCTTAAACGGAGCTCTTTATGCCCGAAACCGGGTCGGCCGAGTACCAGCGAAGCTGATGAATTTATAAATTTAGTGTTACTAGCGTGATACAAATTCGATGTTTTCTTTTACAGAGACTGGTTTTACGAGTTCAGTGAACATCGAGTACACGAATTTGGCCTTAGCTTTGGTCGTTTATTCGATACGTTATCCGGCTCTATTTTGGGCGACGAACAAGTGCTTGGGGTTGATATTCTCCTTCCAGCTGCTAATCAACGGCATCCACATACTACTGAGCTTCGCCGGAATGTCCATACTCTATAAGGTACGGTATTTGTCTTCGAATTTCGTCCCTTCGAGCGAGGTCTCGTGTTGACTCTCGCGTCCATAGAAACTATTTACATTGCGCCCGAACAAACACAAACGACCCTCGAGAAAAAAGGGATAGAGTCGGAGTATCTCTATTCGATATAATATTCGCATCGATTGATTTTTTTTTTCCAGGTGCACGTCGTCGGCGTGTGGAAGGCCCTGCCGTTGCTCAAGCACAACGCCAGAGCGTACACTTTCGGCAATTCCACGCCGTTCTTGCTCAACTCCCAAGTCACGTTCGCCTTGTACGTTTTATCCACGCTGCTGGTGCTCGCCTCGAGCATTGTACTCTATTTTTACGGGCACACTAGGTAAGAATACAACCATTTTTTTCAAAATTCATGTAAATTAGTCCTCCAAAATGCTCTATAGTAGATATCAAACAACATAAGATACATGTAAGATGGTGATGTTTAAGGATATCATAACTAGCTGGCCTGGTATAGTTTTTCATTAAATTTTTTTTCGACAAACCATTATCATCTTCCTGGATTTAAACCGGTTTTCGAGCACATTACAGTCTCCCCGTCATTCGCTCTTATCTAAATAGGATTTTAAAGAGGGAGGCACTCGTATCGCTCTCCCTCTCCCACTTGTTCCCATTTTAAACCGTGAAAAAGTTTCCGGGGAATTTCTCATTTGCTTTACGTCAATTACCCGACGTATCAGTGACGTACCGGCGTGCTCGCCCTTCCGGTTAAGGGCACTTCCGCCGGACGCTACTGAATCCATCATTGTTTTTTTTTACTTCTTCTCGTCCATTACCGGAGTCCCGGGGGACGGGTTAATTCGATAATCGAGCCCCTCCTCGGCCTTTTACTCCAGGTTAATCATCCAACTTTTCTAATTTCAAGCCGAATAACCGAGTAGTAATGGATAGAATTATTTCACCTGCAGATTTGAATTCTATTATAGGCAGTTTTTTTAGCTTCTTCGAGTAGCATTTTATCGAATTTCACCGCTGATTTTGGGTCTGTTCTAGCGTTGTTAATCCCCCGTCCTGCAAGGGGTGCGCTTAAACGAAAGGCACTCTAATCAATGAAGCCAATCCGTCGAAAAAGTCGAGCTTCCTTCACGTTTAAGCCGCCCGGGTGTCTCGTACACTGTCAATCAGGAGCGGGGTATTTTTCGGCCTAGGGCCGGATACCGGATAGCTTTTTAATTGAAACACGCTCGCGCGGGGAGAATATGTCTATTTTTAAATTCGGTTTTCGGCATGTTTGCGTTCAATTTCCCCGCTAAACTGGTGCTGCTGCTCGACGGGAATTTTTATTGCGATTTTTTTCTCCGTCGCGTAGTTAGATGCAAATTGCGAAAGTACCGGAATCTGTTTTATTAAACTCCCGACGAGGCGAAAATGGCTCGATGCTTGCTTACTTGCCGGCGCAATTTATTTGTCTTCGGTTTTTTTTGTCGGGATTCAATGCTATACCGGCCAGATTTGATGAAATTCCTCACTCTCCTATCGTTTTATTGCATCCCCGACGTTTCCATACAATACAAGGTTCGTCGGGGTAACTAATTGATTTCGTTTCCTTTTTTGTTATCAGTAGAAGTAGTACTTTGTTGGCAATAAGTTATTTAAAACGCGCTTTTTTCTATCAAGATTCAACGCATTCTTGAACCAGCAACGCGAGAGCAAGATAATCACGTTGAAAGAAGAGGGCGCCGGAGGTAACTTGTGGGGCTATTTCACGCACTGCGCCGCCCTTTGTGTGCTCCTATCCATCGGCATTTGCAACGCGCCCCTCATACACGACTACACGGTGGTGTATAGGGGTAGTTTGGACGATGTCACGCTCGTTTGCATCATCGGCGGGATAATGCACCTGTTCTTTTGGATCGTTATATGGCTCTTCTTGACTATCAAGCAGAAATGGACGTTCAAGCTGAGGATTACGGTGAGTTTTTTATTTTCGAGCGCCCCGAATTTACTTGAATCTGATACCAAAAATTCCGTACTAAAAATTTTGTTACTTGATGGATGAGGCACTAATCTAACGCAGGAATATTCCAGATTACTCTAAAGGTGCTCCACTCTATACAGTTCCACACTACTCTCTCTGTTCACTCTACTGTCTCTGTATAATCAACTCTCTCTGGACAATATTCATTCGATGCAGAGTTTACTTTTATATAATATTATTTTGTTGCGGAATTTTTGTTTTTTCGGACTGTATTCAACTTTGAACTTTGAATAACGAAAACGGTTAGATTTTCAAATTAAGTTTCCTCTCTAAATGTGTCTCATGATTATTCATCTTTCCGGGCGACTCGCTGGGAGTCTTGGAGAATCGGCGGCCCGCGCGCTTTAGCGTTACCGTTTTCATTTCCATTCAAATTAAAATGGAATTTCCTCCGCCAGATTTCCTCGCTTTCGACGTGTTATTAACGAGCCGCTCTTTCGGTGTATCGTAGGTTTCTTTCGGGGGAAATTGGCGGAAGGCAAGGAAATCGCCGAATGAATGAAATTATTTTAATTAATGACCTGTTAGAAGGAGGGGTTGATTAATGTAAACACCACCTGAGGAAGTTGATTGAGTATTTAAAATTAGAATAAACTTGTACAACCATACAGGGTGAATGAGTATATACATCAAACGAAGAGTTTAAATGGGATTTCTATGTCGTTTTTTTCTCATTCAATTCATCTTGCGAGTAGTTCCATTTATAAAACTGAAAGCCTTCTTCTTTCACGGCTCGGTGTAATCGCGTTTGGGCGATTAACGCCCTCGATTACGCGCGCGGTTCAATTACTCGTCGTCGAGTAGAGTTCTTGTGAGCGGCGTTTCTCGCGAGGTAGACGGCGAATTTGCGGCTTTTCAGGAAGGCTTCCAACGGGGAAAAGCGCCGGTTTTCGACAATGGAAACGCCGGCTCTTCGGTCGCGTTCTACGATCCTTTTGTTTCCAACTTTCGCTAAATTGCACCGCAAGAAAACCGAAAAGTTTCGTAACAAATGGATCGATAGAATTGCAAATTGTAAAATTGGACGAATACTTTATGACCAATTAGCGTCATTATGGAAATGATCTCCTTTTGTTCTTTAATAATAGTAAAAGTTTGCTTTTAATGGTTTTAATTTCGCATGATTGCTTTTAAATATTTAATAAATTGTCCTGTTGTTGATATCGCGTATAATAGTATTTACACTTAATATATTCACGTATTTTCAATTTTCCAATTTTCCCTGAAACCCATTAACTTATCGACCACGTTTATTAGCATGTAATCGATTCCCAGCTAATGATATCGGTTAAGAAACCTGCCGCTTCCAATTAATAAACATCAAACGATCGTCTACTATACCTTATTAATTCGCCATACCGACAATATCAGAATGTTAGTAACAATCGAATTCTCTTTCAGTAATAAACAAGCCCTTTAGAAGGAATTTAACATAGAGAATAATGAGCAGGGCTCTTTATTAATTACAAAACGTTTCATTGTTTGTATCAACTTCTAAGATCTTGTTCATTTACAATTACTTTCCGAACAGTAGGGAAATTTCCGAAGTATTAACTTTCTGCTAGCATTGAAAAACTAAACAAAACGTTTAAACATTGTTAACGACTCCATTGTGTGCACCTTCCCGATCCCATTTTATTCGAACAAGTTCAGTCGAGTTGACTTCTCCACTGCGCTCGGCAATAATAAAATACGGGAGTTTCTATGAACAATTCGGCTCTGAATTACACCGGCGTTCCGTATTTAGGAAACTTTTCCGACTACCGTCCGAGGAGAGTTCGCCTGGAAAACTGCGAAATTACGTAGGTACTCCGCGAACGGGGAAAACTGAGACAAAAACGGAAAACTCCGGGCTCTCGCATAAAACGCCGGATATCGCGCCCGGGAAATTAGGAGAAAAACGTTCTCTTTATGTTAATTCAAGTGGTTTGTAATTAGCTGAAAATTTTTGCTGCTGTATACTTTTTTTCTTCTAAATTTACCATACAGGGTGGCCCAGAACCCACGCCTCACCGGGAAAGGCCTTATGGAAACTACAATGGATACGATCATTTAGGAGCTCCGTCGTGCTAATACCAAACCTACAGAATTTTTTATTGCTTCAAAAGTCGCAGCTGATTTTGGCAGCTTTTGTTAACCTTGAAAGTGAAAAGGCCATAGAATGTTTCAATAATGTCAAATTGGTGTATAGCTCATTCACATGATTTTCGTGGATTTGAATTCCTACTGGGATTGGTCGATTTTAAACCTCTTTATTTACCAAAGAAATAACTTCTTCATGTTTTCGACTGCCGTTTTGGCATCTCCATTGTCGTTTCCATAAGGCCTTTCCCGGTGAGGCTTGAATTCTGGGCCAACATGTATTGTGCAATTATAATTAAACATACAGAAATAGTACCATTTCCTGTTTTTTTTAACGAAATTATCGTATCTATTTCAGATCGGCCGCGCCACGGTGAAGGAGTCCCGCTCGCTGCGCTTGGTGCACGACGTGCATCTGAACAACAGACGCGAGGATACCGCCCAACAGCCGTTGCTTGTCGTGGGCAACGGGAGGACCTACAGCGTGACGGACACGTCGCCCAAGCGCGCCATCATGGGCGTCATACAGAAGGCGGCGCTCATCAACAAGTCCAAGAGCAACGGGTCCATCACCACCAACGATGATGGAGATGAACAGGTAAAAAAATTCGTGTGTATACTGTGATAAAAAAGTACCCGGAAATTTGGAATACATCGCAATATTTCTTGAGCGTTCTTCACAATATGCTTCCTTTTAAAGCGATATACTCATAGTCAAACGCCTTTTCCAATCATCGAAACATTTTTATAGGCCATTTTTGGTATGGCTTTTAGCTCCTTCTGCTAATTTTCGTTGATGGCATTTATAGAGTCAAAACGGGATTCCCTAAGCGGCAGTTTGAGTTTGGGAACACAAACTTGTAGCACGGGACTAAATCTGGTGAATAAGGCGGCTGGTCGACGGTACTTCACACGAACCTTAAGCATTTGCATCGATTCGGCCCACGAAATTCCGTTCAATATCCAATATATGAGACAAACTCTTTGTTCATTATTTTTGTCCATTGCAAAATTCGTAGAGCACCTGATTCAGATCAGTTGCTACAACCAAACTGATTGAGAAATCACTCTAATTTTTTGCATGCTGATTAAGAAATACTAGAAATACTTAAAAATATAAGTGCAGGTAATTTAAATCAGAATTTCCGGGTATTTTTTTGTCAGAAGGTATATCAGAAATTTTTTAAGGGTTCCTGTAAATTCAGAATAATAGTCTCTGTAACCTAATAGTAAATTTTTGGATTTCTAAATCTTCAGTAAAGTTCCTATCATCCTTTACTGGTCAATAATACGTGTTTCTTGTTAAAGATTTACTGGCTGAGACCGGTCCTGGCGCCGACGCAAAATACTCCGGACGGTTCGAATTACTTTTGTTGGTTCAAAAAGAAGCCGAAGCAAAAAGTGACTTTCAACGAGACGACGACGACGTCGGGAAATCGGTAACATGGCTTTTCTTTTCTAAGAACTGTGCGTGTGGCGTTTTCTTTTTTGTGTTGTACCTTGTATAATTTTGCGAAGTTGTCAGATAAATTTCTTGTACATATTCGACGGCTTGTTTCTGTTTATCTGGCAACTTGGTCATTTAGTTCGTATTTCGAGTTATTTTTATTTTCGCTGTAATTTCGGGAATTTAAACGAAAAGGTCGAAAAAACGATAGAGTGGAATTGGTTAATGAATAAATGAAAACCTTTTTGATTGGATTTCTAGAAAAAAATTATTATAGTGATGTTGTGTTGTGATTTTTGCTTATTTTTTTGTACAGTTAATAGTAGAATATTTGATTAGCACCAGTGATTAGAGTATCAATAAAAAAATAGAGCAATTTTTTTAATTTAAATTGATAAATTTTTTTTATTATTTATTTAAATTAATGGTACATCGCATTGCGATATTTTTGAATAATCTAAAAAAATTCTATATATGCAATTTTATCTCGATTTTCTAGTCAAAATAAACCGTAGCACTATATTTATTTCGATTCAAAAAATATCGCAATTTTGCAGATGTTACCGCACCCGGCATGCGCTTGGTTCGCCTTTTAGTAACACCCTGTAACTTATTACTTTTCAGTTAGTATTTTAGACAAAGATGATAAGCTCTGTTTGCGTTCAGAAAAAGCTTTCAAGTTTCCGCAAACAAAGCTGACATCAGTAGCGCATATTGTTTGTTGAAGTTATAATAACCGAGATTAAAAACACTTCATTTTTATATCCTCTTTTATTTCTCCGTCACTGTCGTTATAATTTGAGGAACAAAAAAATAGTGTATGAGAGATTTTCTTTAAATATTAAATATTAAAATTCCCATGGTGAAACTTCCCGCATTAACACAACGTCTCCAGGTAAACTGAAGGGGGGAAATTAAAACGTCACTCCTGGATACGTGGTTAATAAACTCAACCACAATGGTGTTACGTTACGTTAACGTACGTAATCGATATTCCAACATTAATGCATTTCATACATAAATTACATTGTCGTGTTGCGAGGGCGTCGTAAATTGTCCTTTTAAACCCCATTGTCTTGCATTCGATATTGTTCGTTTGGGAAGTAAACATCGAAGAAAATTCAATTAAACTCTAAACTCGGAAAGTTCACTTCGCAACAACTATAGCTTTTTTGACTAACAATAAAATACTATTTATATTGATGGTATTTTACTCTAAATATCTGCCTGGAAAATTGAGAATTTACATTAGCTAGTTCTTGGGCGTTTTTTTTGTTCGTTCAGTTCAAACAAATTTACATCGGTGTGCGGTGAACGGTTTTTTAATTTCCGTTTTCCAACAAAAGAATCCAGTTTCGCGTCTAATTTACAGCGGCAACGCGCCCCGAGGCGTCGTTGTAAGTGTCTAAAAGCGCAAAGATCGCCTTTTATTTTCCTTCGAAAAAAGTGCGAACAGATTTAGATAAACGTAAAGTGTGGCGATTAAATCGGAAATTCACTTTCCCTACACCCATCGAATTTATATCGGACATTAATGAGAGAGAACCCTTGCGCGAAATAATAGTAATAGATACAAAATTAAACAGTTTATTTACCTTACAGTTAGCGCTGAGAGCGAAGAAATAACTTATACCAAATCTACTCCAGAATCCTCTTTTAACCCGCAAAAAATTGTATTACTTTATCATTTAAATAGTAACAGGGGAAAATAGGAAATACAAACAACATGTGCAGCAAAATATTATTACTTGTAAGAAAAATCGTGCAAGCTGTTGCATATAAGATTGGAATATTCAACACAACGAATTCAAGATAAGAATTCTATTCCAAACTCCTCATACCCACATAAATTAGGTGAAATTTCCCATCAAAGTTGTACTCGAACAAAATCCATTTCAAAGGCCGCATCAAACTAATATTTGTTTCCTTTGATATGGATTCTCAGAGATGAAAAACGGCCGCTTTTCTGACGACAATCGAATGCAGAGATACACTTTTCCACCCCCGAATACGTAAGAGGTGATTCGAAACGAATTGGAAATATCTTCCCTTACCTCCCTTTTATGGGGAAAATGGGGGTGGAGGGTCAACTGCGTCTTCGGTGAGTCATCCTCGCTTATAAAACGTCTCGAATTATTTACTACAGAAGTTTTACGATTAGATGAGAAACTTTGGATTGGATATCCCATCAAAAAAAATTACTTATCGTCTATTGAAGATTCTACAGTTTTATCACTATAATCGATCCAAAACAATACAAATTACAAGTAGATCGACTTACGATAATTTTCTTAATAACATACATTTGTAACAAATCCAATCTAAACACTACAGTCTGGTGTATTATTAATGATACGACACACAATAAGCTAACACCCCATCAAGAAATGACTAGGTATTTACCAACCCTACATAATTAATAACAGCAACAGACGTTTCCCATTAGAAACCCCTCTTCGGCGAAACCCCATTCCCACTCATACATATTCCTATCTAGAAATTACACCGGCGTTTAATTGCCCATCTTATCGATTGCGCGACCGATATATAAACCCATCACCTTGCCTCGCTTCGTTCCCGCTCCGAAAAGACACGTCTCCCTAATCCACCGAATCCGATTGTTTTGCAGCGCAAAGGCCAGCGTGCGAAGGAGCACCATCCCCGGAATGGACGAAGACGACGGGGACTACGCCACCCTCAGGGAATTACCCCTGCCGCCCGGCAGCGCATCGCAGAGGATCTCCAACGGCGACGACACGGCCAGCGAAGAGGGAAAGGTATATAAATCCAATAATAATAACAATGTTATCGTCGTCGATGTTCGTTATACTTGTGCTGTGCGTAGACGTAGGCCCTAATTAACCGATTTCGCTTTGCTTTACTCTACATATTATTATAGCTTTTGGCTTGCGTTCACGACGAACACATAACGTACGCTAGCACGAATCAGGATTTCGATCCGCCCGCTGACGCTTTCGAAGAACGAAGTCCTCTGCTCGACGAGGCGTCGGTCATTGTTCATAGCAACTACGAGAACCAGGTGAGTGGATCTTCAAACGTTTTCGATTTCGCTGCATTGCGACAACTATTTCGACGGCACTCGTATCGTTTGCGCGACCACATTTCGAACACCACCTGTACTGAAACGATAAATGATAATACAGTTAAAGAGTAACAACAGTAGTTTATGTATTACATTCATGTATTGTATTACATTCATATTATCTACACTAATATTACCCTCTTATTATACTCATACTACACTTATTTTACACTCTACAAAATGAAATACGTGATGGCAATAATTGAAAAAAGTTGCCTCTTACTCCAAAGAAAAATTCAATTTGATTGATTAGTTTAATAGTTTCATTAATTTCTTCACTGCATCAAAGATAAGTATCTAGTATAGTACAATTTCGCTATGAATTATAATAAAATGTATCTACTGTGCAATCTAAGAGAGCTAGCATGCTTTATGAAGTATTTTTTAGGATTCATAGGAAACATTGTATACACTACACACATGTAAATCGAATTTTAAATCGAATCAGTCAATAAACATGCAAGTACACAAATCATAAAGTATATAAGGTCTTATTCCAGGTGCAAACGGGAGCGGCGCCGAGATGCCTGCGTCGCGCCGACTCCGGCATGATACCGCACGAGGAGATCCCCGGCCGATCGGACTCCATAAGCACCGAGAGCTCCCATTCGCCGCCCGATCCGCCGGGCAGCAGCCACAGCGAAACCTCCAGCGGCATACACTCCAACGACAGCGAGCACCATCTCTCCATCACCAAGCACACCCCGTCTGCCGCCAAAGACGCCGAATGGAAGACCGACCCAGTCATCAACATCATCGAGAACCCGCACCCGGACGGGCAGGCCCCGGAGAACACCGTCGTCATCAGGAGGAAGTCCATCAGACCCAATAAGGTCGGTTCGAAACACTCATACGCCAGGAATCGCAATTTACTCCGCCATTTCCAGGTGGATATCATAGCGCCGGCGATAATGGAAGAGGATCCGTACGGCAGGTGCACCAACATGCGCATGACCTCCTTCACCGACAAGAGCCAGTCGTGCTCGGCGACGCTGCCCCATTACCCGACGCAGCCCGTGCAGAACGTGTACCCGAATTGCTCGACCATGCCGCTGCCGCAGCACTCGCAGAACAGCGTCGTCGCCAACGGCATTGGCGGCCTGGTGAACGGCAACAGCTGCAACGTCTACCCGCGACAGCACTCCACCATACCGACGCACCACAACGGCGTCAAGCTGATCACCAACAGCATCAATCCGTACGCGAAAAGACTGCCGACCAAAGTCGGGGAACCCCTCAAGTACGAGCCTATTTACACAGCTATCAATAGGAAGTCGGGGGAGATATGCCACTATACGTCGTAAATCTAAGCGTCGAAAAATTGTTTTTTTTTTATATTATTCTGTTGATTGATTATGATATTTGTTAGGAACCCCCCTTATGGTTGTGTGGTACAGGGCTCAACGGGAAATTAGGCGTTAATTCTTAGGAAATTGGAATTCGGGAATATTGAGAGAGATTGGGCGAAAATGGGGTAGTGGAGTAGATGAAAATTGGCAATTAAGTTTCGATGTCCTACTGACTTCACACCCTAATCTCGGGGATTTACGAGCCGGCGCTATTTCGCCGATCGTTGTTTTTAATATTCCCGTCAAAAAGAACTGATATTACATTATGAATATTAAAATATACTGTTGAGGTCTGTCGATAGGTAGATTTATACGCGCACTAGTCAAGAGTAAGTTTTTTTATATGAAAATTTTTATATTTTTTAGGCGATTATACCGGAAACAACCCACAAGACTTACCTATTATTGTTCGTGGCACTTTCTTGCGAATCACAGCAAGTTCTTATTGAATTAACATACCATGTAAAACAATCTTAAGAACCGAAACCCTAATATAAACGTTTTCCACACTACAATAATCTCGAATGCTCTAATCCTATTATAACCTAAATTTAATTTGTCTAGCTTTTCGATTTAATCCCTTCTTATATTTCCCCGCTCGCTTTCGCAACTACCAGCAAGAAAGTATGAAATCCACTACACTTTCAAGGAATCGAGCAAGTGGGATAATAATTTATACAGTATGCTTCTTTAGTAGATTTTTTTAAATTATTTTTCTATTTAATGTTCCTAAAATAGCAATAAAGTGTCACGATTTTTGACCATTCTAATCTAATTATACTAGATATATCTAATTTCCATATCACCCGTATCTTCGTAACTAACATTCATTGCATTTAAGATAAGATATACCTAGTTAAGAACGAAGTTATGTATACAGAGTGCTCTAATGAAAAACCGTTGAAATAACGCATTTTGTATATATCCTTCATTTTTACCAAAAACATAAAATAATTAACGATAACGGTAGTTTTTAAAATGAATAGCTTTTTATATGAAATTTTTATTTACACCTAATTGTATAACAAGTATATTAAAATCAATGTGATGCTCACCATATTTACTCTATCGAAACTCCTACCTAGCTGCAAAGGTTGTCAAAACTATCTAAAAACGGGCGTTTAATCGTCGGTAATAATAGGTTAGTGATTATTGTATAAGCTATAGTTTTAGTTGTTTATCGTATATTTCATGTAAGACATTTTTTTAACGGAATTCGCCGAATATACCATCGAAATTAGATTAGAAGTTGAGAGATACAAAAAAATCTGTAGTACTTAGGTGTATTATACGCAACTTTCACCATATCTGTAGTTCGTTGAAACCAATACAGGGTGTTTGAAAAAAAAAAACTAATTAGAGCTAGATGGTAGAATTTATACAGCGAGATCTATAAAAAAATCTAAACTGAACTAGTTTCGAGAAATCACCAATTCTTAAGCTGTATAAATATAGATAGATTGTGCTACTAAAATAGAGCATAATGAATGATATAAGTATTTTGCTACCTATGTATTATTAGACCAACATCTTTACTCACAATATCACCTCCGTACTTTCATGTGATTCCCCACATATCCGAAATAAGTTATTTTTTTATCAACAATTTGCAAAATTGTTCATCGTATGAATTAGCTGAAAGAGTACTGACAATAATAGCAAAGACCTTAAGATTAAGCATAATAGCACAATATTTTAACAAGTTTTGATACGCATTTTTTATTGAAGATACCAGTCCGGCGGATTCCGTTCGAAAAATTGCATATAAATTTGAAAAAAGTATTTTATTTGAAACTAAATGTTCAAGAGAAAGTAAATCCCCTTGTATGTATAATTCCTGAATCTAAACGCGAAATGGATCAAGCGAGATCATTATCGATGTGTTTGTAGGTAACTCATTGTGCTTATTCCTATTTTTTTACGCAAATTCTAATTAACTCGTTGATCTCTTCGTGCATGTTAATTTATTAATTTCCTCGTTTTTTATTATATTGTTGATTTTTTAAATAGACAAAGCCACTCTTCTAGTCAAATCATTACACTATTCAATAACTAAACCAAAAAAATGTTCAAAAATATTCCCAAATTCGTTGGTTAATTTTTCTTTTATAAAAATAAACAGTGAATTGTGATTAGTTGTTTAAGAAATAGTGAAACAATTAGATATTATCAGACTAAAAATAAATAAGGTTGTGATTTTAATTGAGATTACATTCAAAGGATTTTGGAATATTTTTTGGAATACTATATTTATAATAATCGTACTTTTAAAAACTATATAAACTTGTTCTCTATCCAGTATGTAAAAAAAGTGATATCCATGGTGTTTATATAGTTTCTATGTTGCATCACTATTATAATAAATTATTATTATTTATTAAAATGCGTTCATTTTTTATATTCCCTATAGTTTACGCCACTTCAAAAAGTATTTTAAAATTACATATTGCCTCTGTTTTTAAGATAATACAACCACTCTTTTTTTCTACCCACTTTGCTCTCTTTTACGCATATAATAAACATTTTATTTACTCAAAAAGTCCTTACCTGGTTCAATCAGTGAGAAAATCGTCCGAATCCTCGTCGAACCCGCTAGTGGTCTCCTCCGTTTCGGTTTGGCAGACCAAACAAACGCTTCCCATGTCCGTCCAGCATTCGTCGCAGTAGATAAAATGGCAGAACTCGCCGGGGCACTCCACGAAATCGCTGGCGCTCTCTTTGCGCGGCTCGGGCTCCTCGCAAATCAGGCACTTTCGCCGGGCGAACGCGAACACCCTCAGCCAGTCGCACGCCTTCGGGTGGTTCATTCGCAGGATCTGGATGCCGGTGAAGGACTCTTTCAGGCGCTGCTCGCGCACCAATCGACGAATCTTCTTCCTCATGAACCTGTAATTCGCAAGAAGAAGGTTTAATTTGTGGTCTGCGGGGATTCCCGCATATTTCCTGCTAGATGCAACAGGACTACAGTTGAGTTTTAATGCAGGCAACCACTTTGACGTGGTTACTGGTTTGTAATGTTGGTTGCATATACTAGAAGGCGATTATTAGACTTTACAAGGGTAGGGTGAAAAGTTCTCGACCCGACAATGAGAAACCGCGATTTTCTGTTAACAATTTCGAAATCTTTAGTTCTAGGCAGTTCTAATTAATTTTGGTTCGTTTTAGATTGTTCTAGTCAGTTCTAAATGGTTCCGGACCGGTCTAATTAATTCTAGATTGTTCAAAATTGTTCTGAAGCGTTCTAAATGGTTTTAGACAGTCTAAATGACAGCTTTATAAATGATTCTGAAGCGATTAAAATGGTTTTAGACAGTTCTAAATAATTCTGGAGCGTTCCAAACAGTTCTAAACCGTTATAATTGATTCCGGAGTGTTCTAAATGACTATGGAGCGTTCTAAATGGTTCTGAAGCCTCCTTAAATGATTCTGCAGCGTTCTAATTTTTTCTAAACAGTTCTGATTGAATATGGAGCGTTCTAGATTGTTCTAGACAGTTCTAAATGATTTAGGCCGAACACTTTTCACCCCACCCTTGTAGGTAGGAATGTGTAGAGACGAGTAGAGAGGAGTAGAGAGAAGTAGGAAAGTGTAGGGAAGTGTAGGAAAGGGTATAGGGAAGTGTAAGAACAATACCTGAAAAATCCTTTACGGCGCTTTAACGTTTCGTTGTACAAATACAAAACTCTTTTCTTCTCCCTTTTCCTGTAGAAATACGAACAAATGGCCCTCCTGAATCTCAAAGCGTACGCTTGGGCGAACGTGAGTATTATTATCGCCAAATAAGTGAGGTATATTTTCAAATAATAATAATTCGGCAACAATAGTGGTCTTGGTAGGCAAATGGCGTTAGATTTCTGTATTCTAATCCGTTTTTTGATGTTGAAACCTTTCACTAGCGATCTCAATAGCGAAGCAATCATTCCTGTGCCTTAAATTTGATTACATTGGATTTAAAAAATATATAAGAACTTTAACGCGCAAACCTTTGACCTGTAACAATAGATCGTGATGGCCGATTTGCAAGTAATCGATCCTAGCGTGCCTTCTTATTATATCTAAGGCTTCGAAGAAGATCCTGTCCAGCAGCACCAGGATGGTTACGATTAGAATTTCGAACAGAATCAAAAACAAATCGGTCTTTAATTGTTGGCACTCGGCTTTTAGGGGTTTAGGCGATCGAGGATCGATGATCTTTTTCCGTTCGATTTTCTTCAACGGTAATAAAGTGTATTTTTCTTGCAGTCGACGCCTGGCGTCGATTTTTCTAAAGTACCTGCGAGTATTGCAATAAAATAAGCTCTAGGTACATGGGATTCGACAGCGGTAGAATTGAATTACTCGGTTATGTAGATATTGTCGAATTCGATGTCTCTAAGATATCTATCGTGATACTTCTGGGACTCCTGCAATATTCTTAACAGCACGAAAGCCAGCAAACGTTTAACAGCTATTAGAATTTTCAAGAAGATCCGTCGTTTCCTGTTCACCTCGTGCCAAATCGCCTTGGCCGTATCTCTGGCATCCCGAACGTCCTTCAAAGGCTTCAAATTCCCTAGCTTATACTGCAACTTCACGTCCTTGAAGTTCTTCGAGAGGAAATTCCGAGATTGCTTCAAATAGGAGTACCCTTCACCGAAACCTTTCAGCACAACAACCATTTTAGGATTCTAATTGAAGATGTAGCGGGTACATACCGGGATCCATGTCCTTGGATGGGTCGCACCTGCTGATGCCCCCCAAGGCTTCGGCTATGTTGCAGATAAAGTCCAACTTCATGGGCCAGCAGAGTATCCAACCGGCCACCCAGGTGACCGTATCGTAGCAGGTGTCGTAGCCTTTTTTGAACATCTCCCGGCACTTCAACGAGGCCTTGACGAATTGATTCTCGCACCGCTGCTCGATCTTCTTCATGTACATTTTCTCGAAGCGCACCGCTTCAACTTTTTCACCTTTAATGCAAGATAGTACGATTATTGCAAATAACAAATAATTGAAAAAATAAATAACTTATTAATAGACGTCCTTAGTCTATTATTAGGCAGTTATCAATTCGGCGAATTTGACCTATCCAATCACCTTTAGTTTCGAACTTATCGCCCACCAAATCCGACTGCTTGGTGTCGCCCATAACTGCGTCCAAGTAATCGTTTTCCTCCTTGATTTTCCTCATCTCCGCCTCGCCTTCCACCTCCCCGGTAATCGGCGCCGAGACGTCCTTCACCGACCTTATGGTGTCCTTCACCTCGTTCATGTCGGTCTTCATGCCGAAGATGGCGTCCACGAACGGCTTAAACATCAACTCGAACCTGCGGATGGTTATCGTTTACCCACTCTGAAGCCCTGAAGCCTATTATGTACTATGGATGCTAGATTAGTTAGGAATGTTGTGGGTGTTTACCTGGTTTTGGTCATGTTGAAAGTGAGAGAGGCGGTGCAGGAGAACACGCGCACCACTTCCCTGCCGTTGTTGGTCATATTTTCGACGGGACCTGCTATGACGAAGGCTATGACAGCGGCCTTGAGGACGGAACGGCCGACTTTGCCGCCTAGAATGGGGAAAGTGAGGCACACGATGCATCGGATTTGCGATGAAAAGCCGTACCCCACGGCTAGCATCAAGCAAATTATTCCACCTACTATTAGTCCTGCGAGGAAAGCGATGATGTTGGAAGAGGTGTTAGAGGAACTTTGTAGGGCTTACCGGCATCCTCGGTGAATTCCAAATCTACTATTATGAATTTGTAAAATAGTATGCCTAAGGTTAAGCCGAAAATGAAGCCGAATATTCGTTTTAAATGTTTGTATTCGTGGGGTTTGGTGAAGAAAAGGGGCTTGAAAAGCGGTAGGTTTTTTCTGCAATTTTTGCAGAATGTGCTTCGCGACATTTTACACTTAGCTGTAATGTCAAAAATGATGTTTGTCCCATCAAAATTATGACTTGATGCAAATAGAACTTAACCATAGACCTATTAACTAATAGGTCTATGAAATTAACCTAAATAATAACAATTTTATTAAGCATTTAAAAACTCGATTAATATCCAAAAATTGTAACAGGTAATAATTAAACTGAAAAGCGTACAGTAAAAAATAAATTTAATTCATAAGTAAGTACATAAATAATAAGATAATCTAAAAATCCATCATAAACGATCGTTTATCCGACGTGAAACTCTTACAGAAAATATTGTAAACGACCTCTCTCCCTTATTTTTCTTTAATACAAAAACTGTTTCGTCGAATCCAATGCGACCAAAATGAGGTAGATTGTGATAAAAATCAAACATCCGGCAACCGTGCTGATGACGAACGTCGGATTTTGCCTGAACATTACTAGAAGAAAAACGGTAATGGCCAGCACTATCGTCGCCAGTAATGGAATTATTATCACCGGTCCCCATTCGGAGGCATTCTTTCCTATAAATACCAAAAAAATCATAAAATAAATTCCACAAAAAAAAATCGACGCATTAAAATTAAACTCGACTTTGCCCATTACCCACCTATCCCGTGATGTTGGAAAGTTCAGTACTTTCGATAAGATTAGTGGTATGATTAAAAGGAGTATCTATTTGCTTGTACTTCAAGCAAGAGCTTTTACTTCCCAGTATTTTGTAGAGAATAATCTTTTACATGAAATAAATTCTTCGATGGGAAGTGTTTATTTTGATTAGAAATATAAATTAGTAGTAAATACTAAGACTAATACGAAGACGCTTCCTGGCCGTGATGCATCCACGGACGTGAATATTCCTTTAGAACTTCATGTAGCCTGCACAAATACTACAAAATCCTCTGCGGTTGAAATATTCTTCCCCTTGAAGTTTTGGTTTTATTATTCTAATATGGATACAATCTATCGCTACAATAACCCAGGTATCGTCTGATATCTACAGCAACTCCTAGTTGAAACCGAGTATGAAGTAATTTCTCCTATTACTTATTTTAATCTAACTTTAAGAATTATGTGGAGTAAATGCTATAATTTTTTTGAAGTGAAAACTACGAAGTTAAGCATGTACTTGAAGTATACAAGCAAATACTCCTTTTAATCATACCATCGAACATCATCGATGTTTTGTATGCGGATCAAATTTAGTATAAAGTTGGTTATTTTTTCAAAATATCATTTGACATTTTTGTTATAAATATATAGGGTAATCAAAAATCAAATTTTTTAACTAGAACATTTTAACTGATGGAGACATATTTTCCTAAGAATATCAAAAAATAATAAAAAACGTGACATTAAAACTAAACTCGACTTTACCCATTACCCACCTATCCAATGATGTTGTGAATTTCAATACTTTCGATAAGATTTTTGTGTAGGTACGGGTCAAATTTAATATAAATTTAACACAAAGTATTGGCTGTTTATTTAACCTATAAATTTGACATGTTGATTACTGTTTGATTATACAGGGTAGTCAAAAATGATATCAAACTCATATAATTTACAAAAAAAAGTACTTACTTGGAAAATACAGTCCGTCCGTAAACGTGCTGCTCCAAAAAAACGGACTAAACGTCAAATTTGTGTACGCAGTCCTGTTGACTGTAAGCATCTTCGATAATGATTAAATACCTAATTAACATCGCTTAACTATTTGTTTATTCGGAATAACATGGCTGATAATTTTTATGTATATAAAAGTTTAATCAACCCGATTGTGATTAAAAGTGTTGAAACGGTTTAAAAGGCGAAGATGAGAATCGGTATAATTGAATTGTTTATTAAAAAAATGTAACACGCAATTAACCCTTTATGGCGCAATTTTATCGCATTAAAACGCATTTTAAGAAAATCGTTTTTTTTTTCTAACTTAACTATGACGTATTGCGCAAAATTATAGCGACGTTGCCAGGTAAATAAAATTTACGATACTTTTACTACATCAACAAAGGGGAGTTCATTAATGGATTCGAGACTGTGAACAGTTAAAGGGGGGTTTCTTTGTATTTTTTTATCGTCAATACTGTTACGCAATTCATCGCAAACAATGCGAACGACTGTGTTTATGACTTGGCGAGATTTTTTATACCTTTTATTTCCTTTCGGTCAAAACGAAGGTAAAAAGGTAATCGACATGAAGCTGGACGATGTGGGTCAAGTTCAGAATAAACAAGAAACACGTACAGGTATTTCAACTTGAAAATAAAATCGAATTTAATTGTTTAATAGCAAATAATAGTTGCATAATAAATTTATATTATCGCATTTGAAGCTATGTAGATTGAGACGAGATTTGGAGGTGTTACCTGATTTTACTAAAAATAAAGAAAGCAAAATCTGCACGAAGGGAAAATATTTAGCGAATTTTTTACCTCTTTGATTGACGCGAACCGAAATCCTCCAGCAGAGCGGAATATCGCACAAACGAAAAATCCTTTTTTTTTCCTCAAGCACACTATTCGCCTGAAATTCACTGGGAAAAAGTTTATCTAGATAATCTCCGGGGGACGTCTTGTGTGCAGAATACTCTCGAGGATCCTTCTTCGGCGATTTCGCGTTGTTAATTTATTTATTTAAGTAAGAAGAAGAAGAAAAAGGTGGGTAAGTAGGTAGGAATGCGAGAGACGCGCATCGAATTCGCATCGGATTTTTTTCTGTATAATGAGAGTCGGGAAATTCCGACTTTTAAGGCCCAACTCGTCTCGAACACACGCCATTTGGAAGATTGAGGACCGTTTTTAATTGATTAATTGATTAATCGTACAATTTTAGGATTAAATTGATTACCCTTCCAAATTACATACCAATTCATTAATATAATACCGTACACCTACTTAAAAAGATGCGGAATGATAATTCCCCGGAGCAACGGAAACTCAAAAACGACGCGACAACGTTGCTGCAATTTAAGGGATTTTTCTGACGAGCCGCAAATGAGGTATACAGATGGTATTCTAGTATAATAAAATTCGTTTTTTCAGACATATCTGGCTAATTTTACGTCGAAAAAAGCTCATATAGACGTCGATTAAAGCGCCCGTAACGGCGAATACTCCGTACTCGAAGGTCGAATTTTTAGTACTTTTCCCATCGCCAATAAAACGAATTAATTTTGTAACTTGCGCGAAGAGGAGAGATCACATATGCGTGCGTGTGTGCGAGTACCATACGAACGTGTTGTCATTGGCCTTGCACTGGAACGAGTTTTTCATGATATGAGATGGACAGCGTCGACTCGTACACTATCAATGCCTCTTTTTTTTCCTGCCGCGATGTATCCATTACAGCCCTTTATCCTCGATTTATCTCCATTACACTTATTACGCATATTTACCCACTTTATATAATAATCTCTGTTATTAGCATTAATAACATTATCCTTACAAGTCCCGTGTATTTATTATTAGTACGATTTTATAAGAAGGCTAAATATTTAGTGCATATTCAATTTTTGGTTCACCCTGCACAATTATTGCATTTACAATTATGTATTCACAAGCAATTTGCTACCAAACTTTTGTCATTCTCCCTACTTTTATCATTCTCTCTACTTTTATCATTCTCTCTACTTTTATCATTCTCCATACTTTTATCATTCTCTCTGCTTTTTTATCCCATTACAGCCTTTAATCATCGATTAACTCCATTTTACACTTATTACGCTTATTTACGCACTTTATAATAATACATGTTATTAGCATTAATAACATCATCTTTACGAGTCCTGTTTATTTATTATTAATACGATTTTATAAGAAACAGATTAAATGCTTATTGCATATTCAATTTTTGGTTCACCCTGCACAATTATTGCATTTCTACTTTCTTTTTGCTTACTTTACTTTAACGATTAGTTAGAGTTTGTGCTGAAATAATAACCAGGACCACATTGGATATTTTTTTAAAAAGTACCTTTCGAAATGCAATTTCAATTTAAATCGGCGGTTTTATCGGGTATATAAACCAGGCGTTTAATCCCATATACCGCCCACCTAGGGGTCATAGCGGTTTAACTTTTAGCGAAATACCTATCAAATTGCGTCACACGAGCGACTTCCCATGTTATTGCTCCGCACGGCATTCTAGGTTTTCATTAAAATTTATGTATCGGTTAATAAACGGTCTGTTTAAATAATATATCATTGTTAAGGTAAATAAAATAGACGGCCATTTACCGAAGACATTCGTCATGTAGATAAGCTTATCTAAAGTACTACTACATTCGATGATGGGACTCGCTTTTTCTCGTTCTTATAATAATTCCGACCAACTGTCCGCGAAACGATACATTCAAAATAGCGTGCTCGTCGTTGCACAGTTAGAAAAATTTAAAATTCAAATTCGCAACAATTCATTACTAACTCTCGTGTAACCATTAATCTTTATTTATATTTATTTATTTAAAAAACATCGGTATTGGAAGATATTAGAGGAAATTTTTTGCGGAATAGGACCGTTAAAATTTGCGGAATGATGGTATTTTTTATTGGCCCGTCGTTTATTACACGAATATTTTTATTATTTCCTTCGACCTACGTATGTCGATTCGTGTCCTCCATGTTCGGTAATTTGTGTCAATGTGTCGGGAATTTCATATAAAAAAAATAATCGCCCGTCTCGCTCGGGAGCGAAATTGAATTTGCTCACGCTGGGCGAGACTCGAGACCAAAGACAGTTTTATTTATTAATCGAATAAGACCATTAAATAGTTATGTTAGTTACTTTATCAAGTGTATATTTAAGAATTAGATTTTCAGGAAAAATATTCCGTTATTATTAAGAATTATTTTGCTGCTTAAATGAGCATTATCTTATCTTCAATATTTGATGGTAATAATCATTCTGAAATACTTTTAAATTGCATATTAAATAATAAATATTTATTTTGTTAAAAAGAATACAAAAGTCTACAGGGTAATTCATTAACTGGATAAACTCGAGTATCTGATTAGATCTATAAAAAATGTAGTTGATGATAAAAAAGGCAGAACCATTCTATTTTTTCTACATTTCAACACATTTTCAAAGAACCCAGCTTTTATTGCCATTATAAAATTCAATGAAAGAACACCATTAAATACCTGCGAGATCGGTACTCAGATATTTAAATTTTCCCAGAAACTTTTAAAGACTTCACTTCATCGCAATTTAAATTTACTTAATACCAATCGCGCAATGCACAAATAGAATTTACATTAAATCAACCATTAATTTTCCAGTGCGGCACTAAAAGTCGAAAAAAATCGCTGAGAAAAATTTGTATTATTAAAATAGTAGATACGTTTGGAAATAAACGAAAGAGTTAATTCTTGAAGAACCCCCGTATAATTCAACGTCATTATTTCGAAGTTTTATTTTTTTTGCGCGAGTATTATCGAAGCTAATAAATACGCGGATAGGGCATTAACTTTGAATACTTAACGATCTTTTATTTTCGGATTTAGCGGACTGATTTATTTCGACGTGCAGCCGCTTTTTCGTCGGTAGATAACTGAAAAATTCGTTAACGGAAAAAAAAATAAATTGAGATCGCTCTCCGCTCGGCTAGGATTTATTTCGATAGGTAAATATTTCGCGAATTTAGATAGCAATAAATGCGACCGGAAAATGGGCTTCTTGTAAGTTATTATTATTTTTTAAGATGTCGGTAGGAATATTGAATTTCTGTATCAATGTATATCTCGTCCCGCCGCCGCGACGTCACCGACGCAGAAGAGAATCGACGCCGATAGAGAAACTCCCTTCTCTTTATAGTGGTTAATTAAGTCTTTACGATTTTTTTCTAATCTATTTTTTCGAATGGCTAAAGTTGATGTAACAGAGTCTCGTTAATCGGGAAAATTTATGTACCTACCCACTTTGATCATTTATTTTATGTGTCCCCATTTTTTATTCTAAATACTTATTGTTCTCCAAATAATAGTTATTAGTCAGTATAGTTACAATATCGAAAGATCATGAAGATTAACATCAAAAATGTTTTATTTGGGGAATTTGAAACGTTTCCAGGTTAGTGGAACTTTTAAACTATTGTATTCATTTCTGAAATTTGAACGCTCTGTATATTTTTTCATATTTATTTCGTCCTCATCTACGTACTTTTTTAGAACAATCTTATGAAGTTGCAAATTTGTAAATTAAAATAATCGTTAAATACACTTAAATAGTTACAATTATTCACAAGCAATTTGCTTTCAAACTTTTATCATTCTCTCAACTTTTATTATTAGCTTTAATAATCTACTTTTATCATTATCTCTACTTTTATTATTCTCTCTACTTTTGTCATTCTCTCAACTTTCATTATTCTCTCTACTATTTTATCGTCTCCACTTTTATTATTCTCTCTACTTTTGTCATTCTCCCAACTTTCATTATTCTCTCTACTATTTTATCGTCTCCACTTTTATTATTCTCTCTACTTTTGTCATTCTCCCAACTTTCATTATTCTCTCTACTATTTTATCGTCTCCACTTTTATCATTCTCTCTACTTTTATCATTTTCTCTACTTTTATTAATCTCTCTACTTCTTTTAATCCTCTCTACTTTTATGATTAACCTACTTTCATCGTCATCATTTCCCTACGTTTATCGAAGGAATAAAAGAAGGAAAAATTTCCAGGCGATCCGTTTTTTTGGATGGCCGATTTGGGCACGTTATACATCAGAACGGTTTTGCAAAAAACTATAACGAGGTTGATATTCTGGTCGTACAACGTTTCTTTACTTCTCTTCATAGTGTACATGTGTAGAGCACGCAATGAAAAGGGGATGTTAATTAACGACATCGCTTTCGCTTCAACTATGTTCGAAGTAAGTTCCTTTTAATCGCCCGAATAGCCAAATTATCAACAGTTTTGATACGTTTTAGTGTCAGATAATGTACGGGAATAGCATGAGAAAGTTTCGCTTGTTCAACAAAGCCTTTGCAGCAATCGGAAACGTTGTGGTAAAGGGACAGAAAAAACGACCCGACGAATCGCTGAATGAAGAAATGAAGGAGTTCAGCAAAAAATTGAAAATTTTCACCATAATAATACATTTCGTCATCATTCCATTCGCGTATCATTTATACATTGGCTTGTTAACCGTAAAAAATCAACATAATTTAGCCCTAATTCTTATAAATATTGCCTCCTTGAACCGACCTGCTCTTTACAACACCTTGTATATCGTATTCGTCATAATAGTAGGGACTCATTCGACATTGTATACCAAAGTAGCTTTGCTTAATATTATTTACGTTAACGTTCAAATCAAATTCGCTCTGAAACATCTACTGAACTCCATGGAGAAAATGCAACAAATCGATCGGCAATTCGTCGATATTTCCAATTGTACTGATTCCGATGAATATCAGAGAAAAGTTAAAACGGAACTCCTTTATTTCTTAAAACGGCACCTCAAAATAAAACAGTAAGTCCCGAAGAACCACCTAAATAATTTTATTCAATAATTTGATATTTATTCAACGAATTTTAGGGTTGCTAAATTTATCACCAGTGCCATGAGATGGCGATATTTATCGTTTGCTTTGACTTCTGGCATAGCCATTGGCACCAATTTAGTTTCGGCAATGGTAAGTAATGGATTCTATAGCGGCTAAATGTAAAAAATGGCGATCCGATGATTTTTAGAAAGCCACCGGATTGGATACTGTTGGTCCCGTAGCTATGTTCCTTATTATGGTTCACAGTGCCGTAGTCCTAACCGAAAGCGGAGAGCAAATTAAAATTGAGGTACCTATCTGATAACAAACGTGGCCTTTTTCATGTAAAGTGGTTGTTTCAGTGCGAGAATATTCACAAACAAGCCCAGCAATTCGCTTGGTACAAATGGAATAAAGAGAATTGCGAATTGCTGTTGATGTTACTTTGCCAAACGGAGAAGCCTATTGAAATACATTGCCACGGTTTCGCTACAATGAGCAGGGTGTCCTTATTATCAGTGAGTGGAGTTTTCCATAATTTAGGGAAAATTTAATTAAAGTATGCTTTTTAGCTCTATCGAATGGCCTATTCGACAATAACATTCTTCAGATATGCTTAGTATATTAAAAAAGAAAGATGTATGTCACAAATTAAATTATATTATCCAATTTTTATGGATTAACTTTAACCTTAAGTTTTTGTAATAAATATAGCGTCTCGTTATTTTTATTTACTTTATTTTACTTACCAATTGCCCTAAAATATTACGTGTACTTTTACAAGAGCAATAAAACGAAAGTTTGTTATGTAATTTAATAAATTTGCTAGTGAAAATACAGTTGCGATTACTATAAACATCAAAAATATTTTGTTCGGAAAATATGAAACTTTCGAACACAGAATAAATATAATAAAAATAAGTTATTATTTTTATTCTGTACTTTCGAAGGTGAGTGAAATAAGAAAATGAGTCAATTATGATTTATACAGTGTGTCCAATTAAGTTGGAACTATTTTATTAAAAAAACATCGTAACCTATAGGTTCATTATTGAATTTTGTAACAATTTTGTTAACAATTAAATAGTTAATGCATAAATATCATATCGTTTTATTTTGCAAATGAAATGGAATCACAACATTAAAGGTTTAGGTACCTACCGGTACAAGCTTACAATGCGGGGGAAGCCTTTTTCAACGATCTCGCTTTTCTCTTGCTGGCAAGTTATGCGAAGTAGGTATTTATAAATCCCCATAACTAAGAATGTTATAATGGTATTGTTCAAGGACCAGATGATAACCTGATACGAGAAATCCATGAGGAAATTTTGCAAGTTTAACCAAGCTATTTGTTATAAAATATTGGATATTGAAAAAGTTGGAAAATTGGTAATGGAGGAGCGATCTTACTCGTTGGTTAAGGTCCCAACGAGTAAGAAAACCAGTAAAAAATTAAGATTTTCTTTCTTACCGTATATTTCATCGTCATTCCTTTCTCTTATTATGTATGTACATATTTGTTAGCCTGTTTACCATCAGGAATTAACGCAATATTCCACTGAATCTTACGAAAATCATCTCTCTGAATCGTCCCGTAGTTTACATCACTCAGTATATTGTAATTTTCATTGTACTGGGCACCCATGCTAAATTATGGATCAAGATAACCATATTTTTGATTCTATACCTCAACATTCAAATCAAATTCGCGCTGAAACATCTATGGAAGGCAATGGAGAAGATGGAACAAATTGATCGGCAATTCGTCGATGTTTCCAATTGCATTGATTCTAATGAATATCAGAAAAAGGAACTCGTTTATTTCGTAAAGCGTCACAGTGAAATAAAAAAGTAAGTTACGGGGAATCCCCGATATTTCGGTTACATTGTGACCCAAACTAAAAAAAAATATTTCAGCACCGTTGAATACGTTACTCGCATTATAAAACGGAGATATTTATTGTTCATTGTGTCCTCGGGTATAGCCGTAGGATGCAATTTAGTTTTGGCAATGGTAAAAAAATATTTTCTTCTCTATAATTCTTCTATAATGTGTAATAAATTTGAGATACACTTCCAGAAATTAAAAAGGGATGGGGATTCTTGGTCCAATGATGGTTACGTTCGTTGTCTATTGCGCTTTAGTCACTTCAGAAGCCAGTAAATAAATCCAAATCAAGTACGGATATAAAATAATAAATTCGATTCGATAAAATTTTTGAATAAAAAGGATTGCAATTTACTGTTGATGTTAAACTCTCTGTCAAACGAAGGAGCTCATTGAAATATAATGTCACAGTTTTGCTACTATGAATAGACTTTTTTTGCTTTCTATAAGACCTTACGACTATTTAATGATAATGTATTATAATTTTTTACTATAATTTTAGTTGAATCGAATGACCAACTCGACTATAACTTTTTTCAAGAGTTCCTAGTAATATCCTAAGGTAATATTATAGTGTGTAACTTTCTTTGTTATTCAATAATCTGTTCAATAATAATTTTTGCCAAACACTTTGTATACATACAGCTAAAGATTGTACTCGCACAATCGAAAAAATAAATGTTCGTTATATTCCCCTAAACAATCCTATTTTAATTACATATCTTAGAAAATTGTTATACAAAAACGTGTTATTGCCAATATCAGAAATTGTTAAATTTTATTTTCTGCAATTTACCACGCTTACCAGATAAGATCCCTAATAAATAGCTACAATTTTTTTCGAATCGAGCACACTCGAATTAGTTTCGACATGCAGGTATTGTATGGAATCTTGTTGATTTGCGGTTTCACCGCAACCGCCCTAGCAAAGCCTCCAAAACCAGGTAAGTCAATTTTTTTAAACCAATAAGTATGACATCGTAGCAAATATGCACTGAATTACCTATACCAAGAGAAACTTCATTCACTCCACTTTGAGAATTTAATGTCCAATGAGAAAAAGAAATAATATTTGAAGATGATGCATTACCAGTTAACTACCTTTATTTATTAAATTGGACATTATTGTCCAGGTTTTTGTGGCCCTGACGAGGTTTTCAATGGTTGCGCTTCGGCTTGCCAAGCGGAACCATCTTGCACAGACCCTTTTCCGGATTACGCTGGATTCTGTACTGAGCAATGCGTGGCAAGGTGCGAATGCGATTCATCCAGAGGTTACATAAGAGACCTTTCGACTGGATTGTGCGTGTATAAAAAATTCTGCCCAACGTATCCAGGTATACCATAATGGAAAATCGTCAGATTTTATAATAGTTGAATTTCATTAGATTTAGCATTCCAGAATTTAGATCAAACGAAACTGTTATCAGGAAGAAAAAATTCAATTATAATCATTTTGCAGATTACTGCGATGGGCGCCATGAAGTTCTCAACGAATGCGCCTCCTCCTGTACGGCTGAACCATCCTGCAACGATGTTTTCCCACAACCAACTGGCATTTGCAACAAAATGTGTGTCAGAAGATGTGAGTGCGACGTGGATAATGGTTACGTAAGAAATTTCGCCACCGGTAAATGTGTACGGATAGACAAGTGCCCGGCAAATGGTAAGTTTTTTTTTCTATATTATTAATTCACCGGCCTCTTGCTAGTAGGTCATCTGATCCAGCTCTTTGATCGTGTATTCCAGAAGCTTGCAGTTTAGGGGAACTGTTGAACAAATGCTCAACTTTTGCCAGATTTTATAGCAGTTGAATTCTACTGGATTTAGTAGTGTTTCCAGATTTTAGTTGAAACTCAATTCTGACTAATTAACAAGTAGGAATAATAGATTTTTTTATTTTGCAGATTACTGCGATGGGCGCCATGAGGTTCTCAATGAATGCGCCTCCTCCTGCATAGCTGAGCCGTCCTGCCTCGATCCTTATCCACAACCAGTTGGCGTTTGCAACCTAATGTGCATCAAAAGATGCGAGTGCGACGTGGACAATGGTTACGTGAGGGACTTAGACACCGGTAGATGCATACGAAAGGATAAATGCCCTGCAACTTGTAAGTTTTTGTCTGCATCAATTCACCGGTATCTTGCTAGTACGGTCATCCGACCAGAGCCTCAATGGGGACTAAACACCGACTAAAGTCTTTAAAATTGTATTACAGGTAATTGCGGTTTTGGAGAGGTGTTTAACGAATGCGCTTCGAGCTGCTTAGCGGAACCAACGTGTCAAGATCCGACTCCCGATCAGGAAGGCTTATGCACTTACCAGTGCGTACAAAGATGCGAATGCGATGCTTCAAAGGGCTACATAAGGGACAAAGACACTGACAGATGCGTTTTGAGAAACGATTGCCCCGTGCCTTGTGCAGGTATTAAAAGAACCCACTGGTATTAATCGAACTAGTGCCCTAATGGCGACTAAACATCGACTAAAGTCTTTAAAATTGTATTACAGATACTTGCGGTTTTGGAGAGGTGTTTAACGATTGCGCTTCGAACTGCTTAGCGGAACCAACGTGTCAAGATCCGACTCCCGATCACGAAGGGATATGCACTTACCAATGCGTACAAAGATGCGAATGCGATGCTTCAAAGGGCTACATAAGGGACAGAGACACCGGCAGATGCGTTTTGAGAAACGATTGCCCGGTGCCTTGTGCAGGTATTAAAAGAACCAGAGCCTTAATGGCGACTAAACATCGACTAAAGTCTTTAAAATTGTATTACAGATACTTGCGGTTTTGGAGAGGTGTTTAACGATTGCGCTTCGAACTGCTTAGCGGAACCAACGTGTCAAGATCCGACTCCCGATCACGAAGGGATATGCACTTACCAATGCGTACAAAGATGCGAATGCGATGCTTCAAAGGGCTACATAAGGGACAGAGACACTGGCATATGCGTTTTGAGAAACGATTGCCCCGTGCCTTGTGCAGGTATTAAACGAACCAGAGCCTTAATGGCGACTAAACATCGACTAAAGTCTTTAAAATTGTATTACAGATACTTGCGGTTTTGGAGAGGTGTTTAACGATTGCGCTTCGAACTGCTTAGCGGAACCAACGTGTCAAGATCCGACTCCCGATCAGGAAGGCTTTTGCACTTACCAATGCGTACAAAGATGCGAATGCGATGCTTCAAAGGGCTACATAAGGGACAGAGACACTGGCATATGCGTTTTGAGAAACGATTGCCCGGTGCCTTGTGCAGGTATTAAACTATCACATTTCTGATCAAACATTCTAAGGCTACTCTGTGGATTGTTTTTATAGGTGAATGCCCGGACAACGAGCATATAGGTTGCGAGACCTGCTGCCCGGAGTCAGTGGAAACGTGCCAGAACAGGAACCCGAAGCCTTGCAAAAAGATGTGCACTACCATTTGCAAGTGGGGTTGTCAATGCGACGAGGGTTACATCAGAGACGAGATTTCCAATCGATGCGTTCGACCCTACCAATGTCCGAATTATTTCCTTCACCACTTTTAGTTTGATGTGGAAATAATAAATGTACTTGATTGATGAAAATTAATTGTTTGTTTTAAACCGTAAAGTTCGCACTGAGAGGAACATGGTCATTAAAATTTAGGACGTATAAAACGTACGACAAAAAGGCAAATATAGCGACATTAATAAATCCTAACTGCAAATTTCAGGCAGCGCAAGTAGAAATTTATTACCTAGGAAGGACCTCTTACTTACTTACATACGTGATTAAGATCCTCAAGTAAGATCTTCTACGAGGGAGCATCAAGTGCAACAAATCTAATATTAATATTTATGATTCGAGTTATATTTTACAAAAAAAAAAACCGCAAAAATACGACGTACCGGTCGAGGTTAACGACTTTACGGGAAACGTAACGTATAGTAACTGCAAAAATCGGTTATATTTTTATATTTTCATCCGCGAATTCATCGCAGGAATTCGTTCGTTACGTTCAAGTTCAATGCTTCAAATTAATAATAGAGTTGCACTTGAACTCGTTTCGAATATTTGAAACACTTTCACTCGCTCAATCATTTGCTGGATTTTGAAATTAGATTTTTTTGGAGTATTTTTGAGGAAATTTCAAGTTTTTTAATTAGTTTTTTTCCTTGATATTTATGTATTATACTAAATAGGCTCCAATTATAAAATGATATCGAATTAGTTTTCTTAAGTTGTTGGAATAAATACTCATTAACACCGATCATTTGTATTAGCATTTCAACTGCTAATCAATATTCCATCGATCGATCGGAATCAATTACATCGACAGAAGCGGCGCGGTCGCGGCTCGACGCTTTAACACCGCTCGTAATTCATCCGTTTTGATCGAGTGCCGAGTAAACGAAATCCCCGGCAGAAAACACGAATTATATCTGCATACATGCATCCGTGCGTCGCTTGAATAATTGTCGATTCGCCTTTGCCGGACGGACGCAAATCGAAAATTATTACCTATAGTTGTTAGAACGCCTCTTTTACGTAATTACGTACAATCGCGGGCGCTTTAACGGCTTCACTGACGGGTATTATAGCGGAAAATCGCAGCGTAATTGAAAAGGATTTAGAATGATTTATGTTACAGCCACTTAACTGCCCGTTACGGTACAGAAAACTCTACATATTAAGCTCTATGAGGTCTTATCAGAATTTTCTGAAATTTTTATAACATTCGCTGTATACAGGGCGTTTAATATTCCTATTCTAACCAGCACGACTGCGTGCAGAGTTTGCTAACAACGCTCTAACAGGTTACGTTGCCGAAAGTGTAACAAATAACAATGTCCTCGTCCTCGACATTGTTAGCTGTGCGAAATGAAGAGCAAGAGCGCGAGACCGCGAATAGGAATAAGGACGAGAAGAAGAAGAAGAAGAAGAGGCGATCGCTGCGTCGGCTGGGCATCTTCGCGAATTCCATCCGATTCCAGCTTGCGAAAGAAGAGCGATTCTTTGGGCACACACGGCCTGGGGGAGGGGGAGCCTATAAGTATATCGGACTACCTTAAATGTCCGAAGTGTACAAAGTGTGCCATCGAATTCGAAAAAAATTTAGCAAATTGGTCGGTTTGCGTTTTGATGTTTTTTGAATAATCGCGAATAAAGTGCGATTTTTTTTAAATTTAATTGTGGTTTATTTTTGTGTTTTTGATTTTTTTATTGTTGATTGAAAACGATGCAAAATTAGTTCAGGTGAGTCGGTTTATTAGAATAATTTGAATAAAAAATTAAATCGCAGGTTGTAAATTAATCGAGAAAACTGTGAAGATGATGCCCATTTTTTAATAACTTTTTGCAAATATTTTTTGCAAATCTTTTTAATAATACTTTCATTTATGTTTTGTTTATTATATGAAAAGCGTTAACAAGGGTGATGCCCAGAAAATTACAAATTAACACCTAGAGTTGTTGGAATTTTTTGTAAAAATAAGAAATTATATTTTTTTTTATTTGTCAATTTTTTAATAAAAATACGAACACTTTTTGCATTTTTTCATATTAAATAAAAATCATGAAATAGTAGGTACCAAAGATAATGGACCAAACCAAACCAATTGGATACAAAAAAAATAAACAAAAAACAGAACAACTTTTAAAAAAAATACAAAAAAAATTCATTTATTCAATAAAATCAATAAATTCTTCAGGAGGACTAATATAGTGGAAAACTTTTGAAGATGGTGTCCACAATTTCCAATTTTCCCGTAAAAATAAATCTTAAAAAACGTTAAAATCTCCAATGTTACAGTTAAATAACTTTTTAAGGAAGTTATTCAAAATTATACACATCTTGTTAATAGATACAATATTTTTAACACATAGTATAATTTGCTCCCAATAACGCAAAATATATTCCAGGAGAATAGATAATAAATCTATTCTAAATAATTCTAATTAATTCAAAAAATCTATGAAAATGAAGAAAATAATTTTGTAGTTCAGTAGCAGAATTATGAAGATGACCTCCAAAAGCTCTCATCGCAATACAAAGTTTTCAATATGAACGTCCTTCCAGAAAAATCAATTCCGAGAGCGTGTCATGTGAAACCCGTAAAAAATCGTCGGGCAAATAAGAAAAGAAGAAGAAACGTAAAGAAGAAACCGCGGCTATTTTGAATCATCGATGCGTTAACTGTCAAGGTTATTAGTCATTATTTTTACGGTGAACATCGCGGACAGCTACCTCTGTTACTTTACGATTTGCAGGTGCATTTCGTTATTTTTCAACCCGGCAAAAAAGTCGGATTTACGTCTAGAGCGCTTTTTATGCCACTTTTATTCGAGCTCTCAGTTTATTCAACGACCTGTTTTATGTTCTCCCTACTTTTAATGACTTTCCTCAAACTTTTTTTCTCCCTACTTTCAACATTCATCGTCGGATATTTAATAATCCCGGGATTCCTCGGGACGCTCTTCGATTTTCATGAAAGCTAATTTCGAATAATCGACCGCAAAATTACCGGTTGCGAGCCGTTTTAATAATGATAATACCGGACAGGCGTCGGTGCCGATTGCCCTGTCACGGTTTAATGGCGTTAATTTGTAGTTTTCGCGTAAAATTTACGATTAACATGTCAGCGTTGATTAGCAAAAAACGAACTACATCATCTTCAAAACCCCTGTTACTGCACTAAATTATATAGATGCTGTATATTTGAGTGTCTTGATGATGCGTGTTTTTCCCCACGGTGTTTATGATGCGTTTTTAAATAATAAAAATATAAGATAATTCAACGTAATTTCAACATCTTATTATCGTATTATGTTACGAGGGGTGACTCGAAACTTCAAAGCTTCCAACAAGCTTCAAGGACTTACCCGAAAAAGGATAGTATTTGAAAATTCTAGATTGCTCAACTATCGCATCTGCGTTCGAATATTTTCCGACCTTCGTCACTGTACGAATAATTGCGCGATGATCTGGCTACGAGGAAAAACGTTTCGACAGCCATTGTCACGTAACAGTTCAAAGGAATAAAAACGGTTTTATTAATGAAACTGGTTCTTATAAGGCGAAACTGAAAACCGACAGGTAAGAGATCCCTCGAGAAGGACGCGAAGGAAAAGAAATTCGGTTCGTTAAACTCTGGTGCATCGTTTTAATTGTATAATCGAGCGATTCGAAGAGTCGAAAAAATTTGCCTAACGACTCATTAGGCTTTGATAATTAAATTTATGACGAAGGTATATCGCAAGTAGTTCATTACATAAATTAAAAATTGACCAGTTATTTAAACAAATAAAAAGCCTATTAAAAGATATAAAATGAACTGTTACTAGTCGGCCTACTGGTCAAAAAATTATTTATTATAATTCGGCTCGCCTTGCAAAATGGTGACATCACCAATAACAGTACGGAAATTAAAAGCGCAATTTTATTACCATTCCTGCGGGTATATGAATTTCGAGTTTGGGTTTTTTTTGGTTTCGTTTATCAAAGTTGTTTTTCAAGAATCCGTAGCGTCGATATCGTAGAAGTCCCGTTTTTAGCGCTGCGGACTGGAATTTAGTATAATGATCCGAACCCACCAACAACCTAAACACCGTTATTATAGCTTTTATATCTGCGAATGCGATTAATTCGAATAAATTTCGCAACATGTCGAAACGCACCTAATTGAATTTGCATCTTTTGATTATATGGTCAACAAAAAAAAACTTCAAATTTAACACCAAGCATTGCAAGCGGTTCGATTATAAGATAAAATGAATCGATTCTTCTTCTTAATGATGCTCGACAATACTGTCATCAAACATAATCGATTGCGCCAATGCGGTTAATCGCTTGAATATCAATTGTTTAAATCAATGCGCTGTTTAATGGACTCCCTGGAAGCGATTTAATTGCAACGAAACGCATCGTAATTAAATTTACGTGTCCGTTTAGAAAAAACGACGCGACGCGTTTCGAATAAATTAATCGATACAAAATCGATGCGCGCAGAAAATCGCGTAGGGGAAGAACCGGAGGAAAAAAAAGAGGTAAAATAAAACTCGATCGATGTAAATTGTAAGTACACACTAAATAAAGTACCGAGTACCACGCACAACTGCGGCGCGGTTTTATGTCGTTGGTGTATAAAATATAAAATGTTGAGAAAATAGCGAGCGCGCTCGCCAAACGGCTACATTCTAAATAAGAATACCTTCGTAAATAACTCCGTAAAAACGACAATATCTGGGCATACCTACGTCGAAGTTGGTAACATTCTTTCGGATTCCTTATACAAATTGATCCAGCGGAATATTTTTCCCTTGTTAAAAATAAGGGAGATAAGAGACTACGATCTGTCTCATCCTTCTTTTCCCTATTTATTAAATATTTTTGCATGCTTTTAATTAGTGAAGACAAATACCTGAAAATCTGGATTTTTTAATTAATTTAAACGTTCATTGACCGACAGTTCATGCTAATTTTCGTGTCCAACGCACGCGGTACTTTATATTAATTAATAAAAAAATCAGAATGCGCATAACTCCGCGTCGTTTTCCCATTGTCTTCGGCGCCGTTTTTGATTTTATTCAATTCCGCGTTTTTTTT